GCTGCTTTAGTTCAGTTCAGTTCTGTTCAGCCTGCATTTTTGGTTTCGCCCGACTATTACAGCATGCTTTACATTCCGTTTACATCACGTGTTAAATAACTGCTGGCTGTCACTGTTCGCGGCTGTGTGTGTGTAATTGTGTGTGCATTTGTTGTTGTTTGCCCAAGCAAATATGCAATGATTTTTGCGCCACCCCCTCTCTCCCCCACGCCTTTCTTCATTCATGTGTGTTGGATACACACCCCCACATACAAAAGCCAACTTCTGGCGGAAGTGGAAGTCGCTTTCGTTGTGTGCGTGTGTATCTAATGGGATTTTCTAATAAAATTTAAATTGTTGCCGCTTTTGCCGTGCGGCGTTCTATGAATTTAATATGACCCCTGTGCATGTGTGTGTGAGTGAGCGAGTGTGTGAATAGGGGCCATAAAGCTTTGCTTATGGCTGGAAAATTAAATAGAGTGCATAATTTAAGCATCAACTTTGCGTTGAATGCATAATAAACTGCTGCAATTGAAAGGCGCCATCTACCCAAGGACTGCTGCATGAATATCGGATAGCTTTAACTTGTGCGAGGGAAACTGTGATCCTGGAAAAGTAAAGCCAAAGGGCCGACGGCAATTGAAAAAGGCTCTGATTAAAAATATTTCAAGCGGAAAGGAAAAATATTGTGCCCCGCTGAAAAGTTACGATAGCATCTTTACATTCGCCCAACGAACGGGTTAAATTGTGGCTACTTATTAAATTTATACAAATTGGTCCTATCTAAAATAAGCAAATTCGACTATTAAAACAGATTTAATATATTATCAAATAAAAACACCTCTTAACGAGGTAAAAAACTAGTGACGATCGCACCTTCAACATACAAAAGTTCTGATATCAACATTTGTGACGAAAAATTATTACACTCGTCATTAAATAGACTTTCTAATATTTTCTCATTCGGCCCGCCCTAGCAAACTATTCCAGCCTTTTTCCCTTTACAGGCATTTTCTATTGCAGCGTGCCGAATGAGAAAATATTAAAAAGTCTATTTAATGACGAGTGTAATAATTTTTCGTCACAAATGTTGATATCAGAACTTTTGTATGTTGAAGGTGCGATCGTCACTAGTTTTTTACCTCGTTAAGAGGTGTTTTTATTTGATATCAGAAGTTTTTGTTTGTTTACATTTGCTCTCATAGGAGCTAATATATACATTTAAATTTAAATTGGTCAATCATAATTTGTAAGCCATTGTATTTAAACGAATTAAGTCAAAAAGGCGATGAAGTATATCAAAATACCTTTTAAACGAGTTTTAGCACATGTCTGTACCTTCAGTAGTGTTGAACTTACAAACTAACGAAATTTAGCTATTTTTAGCTTTTTTCCCGCTAAAGTAGCGGCTTTTTCCAAAAGTCGTAGAACAAAAGATTCCTTTATGGAACTCTTAAGTGCAAATTTACTGATTCCATGACCCCAAAATACAGTTCGTATACCCTCACACAAAATTCAATACTCAGGGAGCGTTAGTTGTTCGAGCTGGCAAAAGTGGCTATTTTCGTATAAAAATAACTTTTAAACGTGACTTTTTACAGTAATGTGTTATATACCAAAATTTAAGGAATCTCAAGGGCTATACAGTTTAAAGTTGTAAAGAAAATCGTTAGAGCCGTTTTTAAGAAAATAGCTAAAAAGTGATTTAGAAAAACAACTTTTAGCCATACATTTTAAACTATTGCATTAAGCCAATTTTACCCAAGGCAACGCGATTAGCATTTTAAATTACCATTTTAACGAGGTGTAGCACGAGTCTGTAGCTTTGGTCGTTTAGAAACTATAAGCCGTCAAAATCTAGCTTTTTTCAATGATTTCCCGCCAAACTAGCGGGTTTTTCCAAAAGTTGTAGAACAAACGTTGTTCATATCCTGCTGCTAAGCACAGTAAAATTTAGTTCAGGATCCTAAAACCACGATTTGATGCATACCCACAAACAAAGGGACAAATTATTTCATTTTGGGAAGAAGAAGAAAATCTTATTTTGGCTATAACTTTTGAACGGAGCGTCGGATTTTATCATATGACCCCTCATCCGACGGGAATTTTTAATAGAAAAACTACTAAAACATTGCGAGGGGGCATTTATCCCCAACGGCCCCATCAGATCCAAATTTCTAAATTTTCACTTTTACACTTTCACCGCTCTCTTTCCCAAACCAATTGATTTTCTTGAGGTCTTGGTATGCAATCCTTTAAGTTTTTGCAATACCTTTCGATTGGTGTATTACTCATTACGATCGGACTATCACAGCAGATTTTCAATTTTGCGGCTATATAATAGTAGTCGCCTTCGCACACTCTCCTGGTGCGCTTCGTCACTACATGGACTGCCGTCCATAGTGATATCTCAAACTGTTGAAAAAATAAGATTCTAAAATTTCTCCAATTTATGTTAAATTTGAGAGACCAGTAACATTAGTTTTAAACTCGTCTTCAGTTATGGTCAAAAGAGCATGTGTATTTCTAAAGTCAATAGTGAGGTCTCATGCAAGCCATTAACCAGAGTCCTAGAATCCTAGCAGGTTTGCTTTTTCCGTCTTTATGACAAATGTAGCCTTTAAATATAGAAAATTTTAAAACGAAGAGTTTAAAACCTCTTTTATCTTACCATGAGGACGATTCCAATTCCGCTTCGTTTCCCTAATAAATTTCCCAAAACTTAATTTCTGGAAATCCAATTAGTTTTATGTTTTTCCCACTCATGTGTTTACATCCAGAACCAATTCTTTCTGGGAAAGATTGCGCTCTAAATAAGCAATTTACTTTTATATCCGAATCCGAAACAAATCGTCTCCTTTTCTCTTGTCTTCTTTAATATTTTAGTTGAGTTCTTACGAATCGGTGCATTGATTATGTGAGGAACAACTTAATGGTTCTCTACTCGCCTTTATCTTTAACCCTTTCTGTGAGAATTAAAAAATTTCCTTTTCTTCCTAGGTGCATGTTTCTCTAATTTAAACGTCCAACAAGTCATGTAGTTCACAATCTTTTGACAAAAAACTGCATTATAAAAAGAAAATTATCAATAAAATAACAAACCAAAAATGGCCGCGGACATTTTACCCCATTTTAAATACAACAAAAGTCCAAGAGAAAGATGGACGCAGTTAACAACAATCCGCCATAATAGGCTTATCACAAATGCAGCATTGTCGTCGTAATCTGTGGTTTCTCTGGGGTAGACAAACAAAATATAAAGTGTTTTCATTTCATGTGATTTATTCTCTTTTATATCCAGAATTCGTGTAGATCTGAAATTTCAGTAGGTAGGACGGCGCTGCTGATTATAAGAAAGGTCCGAAAACCCGAAAAAGCCGTCGGAGATCATAAAACTTCCAACCCGAGAAAACCCCAGACCCGAGTCTAATTTTTGGGTCTGGAACCCAAGCTTATACCATTACCTCCGTATTTAACGATTCGCTTAACAATCAAGGGCAGGTGGAATGCCACTCCCACATCTATGTATGTTTTCCTCTGAAATGACAATAGAATATTTTACAAATTCATAGCTCCGTTTTGTTAACTCTATTAATGGATGCGTTCGAATGCATACACCGGAGGAAAATATATTATTAAAAATTATATTTATACTTCTCCAAAATATCAACAAATCAAAAAAATATGGGAGTCAATATGGGTGTCACAGAAATCTCTTTCAACCAACGGGAACATCAGCCGTAAATGTTCCAACCTTGTTCGTATCCTACCGCTGACCAAAGAATTCCAAAATCTTTTTTAGAAACGGTTATAAAAATATTGGAAAATGTTTTCAATTATACGTTTTAAACATTTTTCTAAAAAATAATCCAAATGTCGAACCCAAGTTTCGAATTAAATTTGTATTTCTTGTTGCAATCTCAAAACTAGACCTCGAATAGAAAAGTTCCCTTTTTGGGTACGTTTTGGTAAGCAGAGGATTTTTGTATACTTGCCGCGTCCGTTTAGTCCGTTCATCCCGGTTCGTTTCGTTTGCTCCCTCTCCCTTTCTCCGTATGTACGTGTGCTTAACCGAAACCACACTCACACACACGCGACGTGGGCTACCTGAAACTGAAATTTTCCCGCATTAGATTGCGGCCCTCCATGTCTCTTCTTCCCACAGTTGTTGTTGTTGCTGCTGCTGTTATGTTGCACGCGGACAGACAATCGTAAAGAAAGATGGGGAGAGTGAGGGGCAGGGATGGGAAAGGGGCGGGGGGAGGGGGTGGGGTAAGGGAGTTTGCCTTTATTTTCTTCCTTTTTGGTCTGGCTCTTCGTTTGCTCTTTCTTGCCCGTTCCTGTTATTCTCCTGCTTTTTTTTTGTTTACTTTATGCTTTCGTTTATCGACCCGTTTTGTGTGAGTTTGGTTTGTGTGCTACATATGCGCTCTCTTCTCTCAGCATTCTCTCATGGGTTCTCTTGCAACATAATTATTGGGTTGGATGCGTTGCATAAAATGCTTTTGTGTAGGTTATTAGCTTTTGCTTTGTTATTACTCTCATTCTTTAAATTAGTTAAGCACTTAAGTAAAAGATTAAATTAATTTAAAAATTAAAAGTTCTATTCTCTCCGCGCCCTTCACTCAAACTTATCAGCTGTTAGCGGTGCTGTTAGCGTTTGCAGAGCAGAGCCGATAGTCGGCGGCGCTCTCTAACACTGGCGGGCAAACAAAATGAGTCGCCCGCCAACACTGCATGAAAACAAAAACAGCAGAAAAAAAGAGATAAAAAAGCGTGTAAAAAAAGACTAAAGCATAAACACAAACAAATCAAAGGTGCAGAGCAATGTAATTGTCGAGTTGGTGAATTAAAATTAGCAGGCAATTGTCGCCAACTAAGGCGGCAGTCCCCTTTTCCTTGGCCCGCGTCCAAAAGGTGTGGCTGTAGTCGCCACAGTGGAGCCTCACAAATCCCTCCTCCGAATATCAGAGAAGATAACGCCCGTACTTATCGAGTTCCCCTCCTTCTCCTTTTTGCAGCGGCGTTGCCACCTCACTGAGCTGCGCGGACTCCAGCACGGGCTCCAGTGAGGATGCGTCCGATCCCGGCTCCCCGTACAGTGCGCACTCGCAACTGAGCGACCCGCCCGACCCGCTGGCCAAGATGCCGCCCCAGATCCTCGGAAGCGCCAGCGGCAGCAGCTCCACGGCGACCGCCTCTCCGCCCTCCGCCAGCAGCGTCACCCAGGTGGCGTCGCCCCCATCGCCAGCCATCCATCACCACCAGCACAGTCATCTCCCCCAGCACAGCGCCACCAGCGGCAGCGGCATGTCCAAGCCGACGACGCCCCAGCGCCACGGCAATCCCAGCCTGCTGCCCACGCTCCAGTGGCCCTGGAACACCAGTCTGGGCAGCACCTCCACCGCCGTTCCCGCCGCCACGGCCAACAAGAACAAGCGAACCGCCACAGGATCGGGAGCGGGAGTGGGAGTAGGGAGCCCTGGCGGAGATGCCTCCTCTCTAACCGGCAGCGGAGGAGCTGCGGCGGCCAAGAAGGCGCGCAGCGAACTGCCCAGCTCATTTGACGCAAGCAAAAGACTGAAGGTCGCCGCCATGGAGGAGTCGCAGACCAAGATCACCGGCTTCTTCAAGTCCCAGATGAAGCCATCGCCCAACGGGGGAAAGCTTTCGCCGCAGCCCGGCCAGCAGAGCACTCCGGCCAACACGCTGACCATGAGCACACCCGCCACCACCGCCTCGCTGAACAAGTACTTCAATATCCTGTCGCAGCTGAAGGAGCAGAAGGCCCAACAGCAGCAGCAGCAGCAGCAACAGCAGTTGCAGCAATCTGCCAAAGCTTTGCCCATACCCGCCCCCGCTGTTCCGGCTGCTCCTGTGCCGCCCGTGGCCACGCCCAGTCCCAGTTTGCCCGTGCCGGCGCTGAAAAAGATCGAGCGCAGCACCAAGCAGCCGGCCAAGATCGCCCAGGTGGCGCCCAATCTGCGCAAGACGCCCAGCAGTGGATCCTCCACCAGCTCTTCGTCCTCCTCGTCCAGCTCCTCTAATGGCTCTAGTACGGGCAAATCCCCGGCCAAGAAGCACGTGGCCATTGCTCCCAGGACGCCGGAGATGAAACAGCAGCAGCAGCAGCAGCAGGGCAAGGCGGCCATGGTCTACCGACCGCCGGTAACGAGTCCCGCCTTGAAGCAAAAGCAGATCTCACCACCCGCCCCCGTGGCGGCCACGCCCCCCGCCCCGGCACCACCACCAGCAGCACTCAATCCCACGCCCGCTCCCGCCAATCCAACGCTCTACCAGCTGCCCGTCCAGCTGCCCAATCTAGTCCAGCTTCCGCCTCAGCTGGCGGCTGCCGCCAATATCATGCAGCTGAACAACGTGGCCAAGGCGGCGGTGGCCGCTGCGGCCAACAACAATGCGGCCGCCCAGGCAGCGCAGGCGGCACAGGCAGCGGCGGCCCAGTATTTCCTCAACGGAACCGTCTTCAAGCTGCAACAGGTGACGACGGCGACGACGACGACAGCGACCACGGCCACCTCGGCGGCAGCCTCGACTGGCAATCCCTTTGGTTTGCTCAATTTGGCCACGGCGGGCAATCCCTTTGGGATACCCAACGCCAGCGGGCAGTTTCCCATTGAGGCCATTCCGGGAGCGGGAAGCTACCTGCATCATCAGCTGCTGCTCGCCAGGCAGAACAACATGAGTTTAAACGGTAAGTAAATAGTTGTTAACTTCTTCAACAATTCCTTTATGTTTATTTATCTTACAGAAAACATGGCTTCCAACTCGTGCGGCAACATGAATTTTGTTAATCCACTCAACAACCAGCAAGTGGGACTCAAGGACAACAAATTATATATAGTGAACTCGGCCGAGTATCTAGGATACTTGATGAGCTTGCAGATAGCGCTGAACAACCAGCAGCATCAGCAGCAACAAATTATATCTGCCACACAGCCGCCACCCTTGGCGGCCACAAACAACAACAGCAATACGAACACTGCCACTCAGCCGCCACCATTGGCGGCCACGAACAACAGCAATGCGAACACTGCCAACAACAACTCGACTGCCAGCAACAGCAACAGTAATAACCACAATGCCTCGAATAATCTAAGCAACATCAGCATCAACAGCACTGCCATACAGCCACAGCGGGCGATTGTGAAGCCGCCGATGCACAGTTCCACGCAGCCGCCGCCGCTGGTGACGATTTCCTCCCTGCCCGCGTGCTCCTCATCTACTGGATCTTCGCCAGCGACGGTCAAACGATCCCTGCCCCCAGCCAAGCCATACCAAAAGCGGCTGACCACAAAGGGCCGCGTGGGGGCGGCTTCGATCATCGCCACACCCACCACACCGCCGCCTTTGGTGCCCACATCCGCTGCCAACAAGGAGCTGGGTCAGCTGCGCAAGAGCACGGGAACCATTGGAACAGCTACGCCGACACCAACGCCTCCGCTGGTCAGCATCGCACCCTCGAAGCTGACGCCCACGATAAGCGTGGCCAAGCAGGGAGCCACGATTAAGCTGGCCACCAGTGCGCCCGATCTCTTTGACCTGGTCAAAAACTCCAAGGTGGTGGCCAAGGTGGCGCAACCGCAGCCGCTGACGCCACTGCCCTTCAGCTCGCCGAGCAGCAGTAGCAACGGTAGCCACTGCCTAAGAGCCTCGCCAGCTTTGTCCACCTCAAACTCTTGCACTCTTTCGGCCTTCAGCAAGATCAAGGTGGAGACATCGGAGCTGGCTTCCCAGAACAGCTCCATGGCCTCCTCATCGATATCATCGCCCAAGCCGCAGAGCTTCGCCGGCCAGCTGCCCAAGAGGGAACCCGAATCGGAGGTGGAGACGCTGAAGCACGATCTTTTGCCAGACTGCAGCAACAGCAACTCGAACTCGAATTCGTGTAGCAGTAGCAGCTACTCGCACTCGGTCAGCTCGGCAGCCGATCTCTCGCTGGAGGCCTCCACGCCCGCCCCATCTCCATCGCCCTCGGCATCGCCATCCGGCTTGGGATCTCCGAGCGACAGCAGCCGGCGAGCAGCCAGCCAGACTGACATGCTCAGCGAGCTGGTTACCTCGTCGTGCATCTCCAGCGGCGGCGATGACTGCTCCCAGGCCACAGACGCACCCTCACCGGCGACACTTCCGCTGCAGCAGCAGCTGGTCAAGAGCGAGGACCTGATTCCGCCGACTCCAACGGCAAGCAGCAGCGGGAGCAGCAACTACGATGAGGAGGACGACAAGTCGGTGGCCTCGCTGGAGACCCATCAGACGCACAAGCGGCTGAGGGATCTGCCCACGCCGGAGTCGGGCATCGGTGGAAGCCTGAGCAACAGCGAGAGCAGCAATTCCATAGCGGATGCCATGTGAGTGGAGATTATAATTATAACTTTCAGTAGCATCATAAACTAATTTCAATTAATTTCCCTATTAGTTCCTCCAAGTCCGCCTCTGTGGGACCACCAACCACTGCCGCGAGCAGCGCCTCCTCCGACAGCAATTCACTGGCCAGCAATGCCCCATCTCCCGCCTCACCGGACGACTGTTCTGCAGCGCCGTCGCCCTCCTGTTCCACCTCCACTGCCGCCTACATTCCGCCCAGCACAGAGGTGGACATTGCGATGGTGGAGGCCAGCAGCAAGAGTCTGCCGAAGAGCGCCATTTCGCCGATCCTGTCGCAGCCAAAGACCATCCGCTTTCCGGCTGGAGCAGGGGCAGGCGGAAAGGGCGGCAAGCGGCACGACGGCGTCTGCTACTGGGACAAGTGCAACAAGAAGCACGAGAGCAACTCGAAGCTGCTCGATCACATGCAGTCGCACCACGTCAATTCGCAGACCGGCCCCTTTGCCTGCCTCTGGGTGGGCTGCAAGGTGTACAACAAGGAGTCTTGCTCGCGCCGCTGGCTGGAACGTCACGTGCTCTCCCACGGTGGCTCCAAGCAGTTCAAGTGCATCGTCGAGGGCTGCGGACTGCGCTTCGGCTCACAGGTGAGTCGACACATCGCTGCAGTTATGTGGTCAGCCTGTAAAACCCTTTATCTTTCAGTTGGCCTTGCAAAAGCATGTGAACAACCACTTTAATGCCACGGACAACGCCAAGGAGAGCACAAGCAAGCGCACCTCAGATCCGCCCGTGCCGAAGCAACTCCGCAAGAATGGCAAGAAGCTGCGATACCGCCGTCAGCCCTTCTCAGGTTGGTTACTTTGCAATACAAATAGATACAAAAATTGATCCCTTTTTTGTTTTATATAAATTAATTAATAGAATATTGAGTTTAATAGAATTGAATGAATTCAAAAAATGCATACAGATGATTCATTCAATTCGAAATGAATTAGAAAAACATTAAATTTATTTCACATGGAATTGAATTAAACAAATCAAAAAAAAACAAAAATTTAATGATTCACGCAGGGCTCTAGTATATCAAATAAAAACACCTCTTAACGAGGTAAAAAACTAGTGACGATCGCACCTTCAACATACAAAAGTTTTGATATCAACATTTGTGACGAAAAATTATTACACTCGTCATTAAATAGACTTTCTAATATTTTCTCATTCGGCCCGCCCTAGCAAACTATTCCAGCCTTTTTCCCTTTACAGGCATTTTCTATTGCAGCGTGCCGAATGAGAAAATATTAAAAAGTCTATTTAATGACGAGTGTAATAATTTTTCGTCACAAATGTTGATATCAGAACTTTTGTATGTTGAAGGTGCGATCGTCACTAGTTTTTTACCTCGTTAAGAGGTGTTTTTATTTGATATCAGAAGTTTTTGTTTGTTTACATTTGCTCTCATAGGAGCTAATATATACATTTAAATTTAAATTGGTCAATCATAATTTGTAAGCCATTGTATTTAAACGAATTAAGTCAAAAAGGCGATGAAGTATATCAAAATACCTTTTAAACGAGTTTTAGCACATGTCTGTACCTTCAGTAGTGTTGAACTTACAAACTAACGAAATTTAGCTATTTTTAGCTTTTCCCGCTAAAGTAGCGGCTTTTTCCAAAAGTCGTAGAACAAAAGATTCCTTTATGGAACTCTTAAGTGCAAATTTACTGATTCCATGACCCCAAAATACAGTTCGTATACCCTCACACAAAATTCAATACTCAGGGAGCGTTAGTTGTTCGAGCTGGCAAAAGTGGCTATTTTCGTATAAAAATAACTTTTAAACGTGACTTTTTACAGTAATGTGTTATATACCAAAATTTAAGGAATCTCAAGGGCTATACAGTTTAAAGTTGTAAAGAAAATCGTTAGAGCCGTTTTTGAGAAAATAGCTAAAAAGTGATTTAGAAAAACAACTTTTAGCCATACATTTTAAACTATTGCATTAAGCCAATTTTACCCAAGGCAACGCGATTAGCATTTTAAATTACCTTTTTAACGAGGTGTAGCACGAGTCTGTAGCTTTGGTCGTTTAGAAACTATAAGCCGTCAAAATCTAGCTTTTTTCAATGATTTCCCGCCAAACTAGCGGGTTTTTCCAAAAGTTGTAGAACAAACGTTGTTCATATCCTGCTGCTAAGCACAGTAAAATTTAGTTCAGGATCCTAAAACCACGATTTGATGCATACCCACAAACAAAGGGACAAATTATTTCATTTTGGGAAGAAGAAGAAAATCTTATTTTGGCTATAACTTTTGAACGGAGCGTCGGATTTTATCATATGACCCCTCATCCGACGGGAATTTTTAATAGAAAAACTACTAAAACATTGCGAGGGGGCATTTATCCCCAACGGCCCCATCAGATCCAAATTTCTAAATTTTCACTTTTACACTTTCACCGCTCTCTTTCCCAAACCAATTGATTTTCTTGAGGTCTTGGTATGCAATCCTTTAAGTTTTTGCAATACCTTTCGATTGGTGTATTACTCATTACGATCGGACTATCACAGCAGATTTTCAATTTTGCGGCTATATAATAGTAGTCGCCTTCGCACACTCTCCTGGTGCGCTTCGTCACTACATGGACTGCCGTCCATAGTGATATCTTTTATCCTAAAACATCCTAATGAATTTCTATATACAACATGAGTTGAGAGATTATACAGTACTAAATCAATTTCTTTATTTACAGCTCGCATGTTCGACTTCTTCGACACGGGTATCATGGAGGGGCTGCAGCACCGCCTACGCCAGATTAGCACACTCACGAACGGAGCCCAGGCGATCGAGTTCCAGGGTCAATGCCTGATGCGAAGGCGCAACAGCCAGGGCGGCTATGAGTGCTTTGTGCGCTGGTCCCCGCGCGAAATGTAAGTTAATCAGAAGCACGGACTTTTTCTCAGATGCTAATTTTCATTTTCATATAGCATTTCCGACGAGTGGCTGCCGGAGTGCTCGAATCGAACGCGCCAGCACACCAAGGTGCTGCACATCAAGCAGATGCGACCGGCTGAAAAGACGCGCGTAGACAGTCTGCTCAGCACGGCCTTTCGGCTGCGCTACGACTCCCAACTTTTCGCCGACAATTATAATGTCAATGAGCAGCAGGCTGGCGATCTGAGCGGCAGCGATTGCGAGGAGGATGCGGACCAAGACGACGAGGAGGTCGAGGAAGATGATGAGGAGGAGGAAGACGGCGGCAGTAGCTCGCGCAGTGCGAGCTGCGAGACGGTGTCCAGCTATCAGCAGGTACTGAGCATCGCCAAGCTCCAAATGCAGCAGCGCCGCAAGCACCCGCGCAAACCACCCAAAGTTATTCTGCCGGCGAGGGAGCATCTGGTTCCAACGGACGCCCTGGTGCCCATTTAAAGCGCTGCCAGATTTATAGTATTCTCTAAGTAATTAAGCCGTAAAGCAAACGACAAACGAGTAAACAGTGACAAGTAGACTAGTTAGTGTACGACATTAGTAAGTTACTACCTACGCATATATCCACTTATGAATAGAAACTATCAGTACTCCCGCTTTGTTCTTTTTTTGTTGTGTTTGGTCCGCGTAACCAGCAGTTTAGTTTATTGTTCCCATCCATAGATCTTTGTACATACTTCGGGATGGAGACAGGAATAAGAGTCAGGAGCATTTAGTGGCCACCTTATCGCAACCCACCCGCGCGTTCTAGCAAGTGCTGTTATGAACAAATGTCCTAATTTCTAGAGTTCTAGTTCTAATTTAGTTTCTAAAGTGTACATTTAGTAGAGATTTACGTGGAAATGCCCGACTGTACAAGACTTGTTTGAAAGCCAATTTTATGTTGATCTTTTTAAATTTAAAATTGAAAGTTACATTTCGTTTTCTTTTTGTTGCCCCTCATCGTATCGTATTGTACTCTTAGAAACTGGCCAAACTTACACTGAAAGCGGAAAAACTACGCACACAACTGAGCAGTTTTAGTTTAAGTATAGTGAAGTGAAGTGGAAGAACACAAGACTTGAAGCATTTACCGCTACAAAATACGAGAAATATTTGTAAAACATTTTGTACTCAACTCGAACAGCAATGCAAACAGTTTTAAGCCTAAGTTAGACCCATGCCCAAGACGAGTATCCATTAATTTAGTGCAAATCGAATGCAATTTTCGCCAATTCATCAGCGTCTCTAGTTCGTTTTGTGAAAATTGGAAGAGACGGAAGAGCATAATGCATAATGTAAATATTATAACATTAACTAGTTTCGCTTTTAAACTTACATTAAAACTATTCATTTAGAACTTAGCCAAGGCAAAACCCAAGTAAAATATGCAAAATAAAGTTAAAGAAAATCAACAATCAACCAGCAAAATATAACAAAAGAACCCCTTATGTTTTCATTTTTTATGATTTTACGGACAAACAGAATGAGATTTCGATTCCGTTGCTATTTTGTGTACATATCCGATTGGCAAACCCAACATTCGAAGCATATAAACAAAATACGGTGACCGTAATTTATACTTTTCCATGCCAATGAATTTATACGTGTTTAAAGTAAGTAACATTTGAATGAAGAACCGAAAAACAGAAAAACAAGAGTACTCATCACTGCCAAAAATGTAATTGAACAACAAGAACACAGTTGTTAAGAACGACTGATTAATTTAGTGTGCGAAATGAGCGGAGCCAGAAGTAATTATTAACTGCTATACCCCTAATTCCAGCTCGAGCACTTTCCCTTTGTTGCACAATAATCACTCGCTAGGAGACGAGTATATCAAATATATCTGTGTGTTGTCTTAAGTAGATGTAGATGCGTCTCTGTGCCCCTCAACTAGTTGTAGCTTGTAAGGAAGAATGAAATATATATAAATGTACGTGTATATCCATTATAAATATATAGAGAGGAGTCAGACAATCGGAAGGAATTCTGTGTCTCTAGATCACTGCCTATATACATGATTTAAAGCAATACTCTTACGATAATCGCCGATCAAGCTTAGTTGACTCTTCCATTCGGTTAGTCTTTCGATGCCTTTCGCCCGAGTTGTTCAACGCTTTGTACTGCAAAAGATGAAAAAAATCTAAAACTAATGCAAATAAGTATCAAATAAAAATCCATGAAAAGTAAAGGAAAAAAATTCAAATAAAATAAAACTACCTCAAATTTTTGCAAGCATAAAACCACAAAAGAATTTTTCGAGACAAGTTTTCTAAAGCGAAGAGAGTAATATAGGTGCAGCGTTATAGGGCAGATAACCGTAGAGATCCGAATCGGGGCAGAGCCGAGAAACAAGGGAAAGTATACACGAGTAGTACACACAAACAAACAAGGGGAAACCGTAGGCTAATCCATATTTTGCTAATATTGCATACAGTCTGTAGGATAAGCAACGATCCAGTTAAACTACATTTACCTTTGCTTTTCCTTATCGATCACTTCGGAGGACCCTTCCGATACGATTATCCAAATATGCATTTGCCTTTAGCCGTGAGCTCAGTTTGAGTTTGTACATAGATTAGTTTATCGAATACGAGATATATATTCAATATCATAACCATAATTTTAATATTACAACCGCTTTAATGAATTGCAGACAGAATTAATTAAGCATTCATAATTATGGTAATTAACAGGCGTACATATACACACGTATACAGGAGAAGTATTTCTAAACATTCGGTTATTTCGAGGTATATCCTAGTTGATTTTGGAATCAGTTCTGTTCTGGCCAAATCCAAGGCGGAAACACAACCACAACAGCAGCGATGTTGCTTCGATTGTAACTAATGTAATCAAAAGAATTATATACATATATATTATTGAACTCTATATACACAACGTAGTATGTACAAGTGGACTCAAACAGATTATGAAACCGAAGAACATGTAACGCTGAGGAATGAAAAATATATGAAAACAAGTATTATGCTAGCTTGGTAGTTTTATTTCGGCTTTAGCCAGGGGACCGATCCGAATGAATTGAGTATGGGACTGAATCGAATGAATTCAGTAATGTAATAATTTAATAATGTGTATTATGTTTTTAATGGAAAGCCAAAGGTCAATATTGGAACAAGAATTACAATTACAAATGTATTTCGATTGCTCCATTTACTATTAGTAATCAGGAAATATTAGATTACGAATATGATTTTATACCTCGGGTAGTTGCCTTATTGAAGAGCGGTTTTGAAACAAATATTTTGTGTCATACTTTTTAAATACCTTTCCTTTCCATTTCCTTTCACTTGGGGGATCCGCACATGCATAGCCATAGGCATGGCTGGATAGTTCGGAGTCCGTACTGCTTACACACCACAAAATGATAACTAATTAAATAAAAAAATACTTTTGTTTAGTTTTTGTTATAAAAAACCATTTGGTTGCTTGTATAAAATGCCATTTATTTATCAAGAATGTTTGTCCTGAAAATATTTGGATGATATACTTTTGGTTGACACCTTTATAAGTCAAATTATGCTCTGGGAAGTTTCTTGGTTTTAATCTTTTCCATGACTTGTATGTAAAACTTCATAGTGCCTACATAGTCATTAGTGATTGAATTTATATCCATAACCATTAAACTCATTTGGTAGAATCCTTTGGGGAACGGTGGGAAAAGATTGTTGTCCAGATACCCGTCACGGGCTGTAAGCTGACCCTGCAGTTGGATAAACTTTGAGAATACTCAATAAAAAAGTCGCCTGTACTGCAGAAATACCGAAAAAGGGCAGGAGTGGTTCACATTACTAAAACGCTTAAACAACTTCCAGACGATAACGCCATAGGGTATAAAGTTCCTTCTTTCGATCACATCACACATTTTAATGTTAACGTCAACTAGAAAAGGCTTGTACTGATTACTGTAGTCCTTCGTATAAAACTGCATTCGAATCTGTAGAATAAAAGCTTTTACGTCGGGTTTTATCAAGAATTCAAAAATTATCTTACAACTGGATTTACTAAAGGAACAATCAAGAAGCAATCCATGTTTACCACCCCCATATTCCAATTGATCGCCTTCACATGGCAAGAGACGTTACTAACCCTCGTCTGATTGACTTGGCACTCCATTTTGTTAAGCTTGTAAACCAACTGGGTCTTCGCCTGGGGGATATGAAAGGTAGTTGGTTTAATACTAAATTTAATCCTGAATTCTCACCATTTGCCAAGCAAAGCAGCCGCCTACAATAACCAGTACCGCGAATTTCATGTTTGTAACTGACAGTGATCGGATTTTAATGATTTTATTATAAAACACTCATTAAATGTATGTATAATTAGTTTCAATCGAATTTTGGAGATCAATATTGGGAAATTCAACAACACTAGTATACAAAATCGAAAACTTCTAAAACTTCATCTAGACTTTATTGAATTCCTATATTTGAGTAAAAAGTTTCTACTCGAAACAACAAAATTAAAGTAATATAAGGAAGGATGACAATTTACCCTTGCAGCTAAAACTAAATCAAGCAATTTGAATATTATTACAAAAACCTTATAAATAAGGAAAATTTGGGTATAAATAGACCGATAGTTCCAATGACAGTTTTGGGATTTGTTTGGGAAACATTCTTGAAATTGCACACATTTTTTGCCAACAACAAAAGCACATTAACAAAACTTCCTTATTTTCAAACAAAACAAGAGAGAACGCTATAGTCGGGTGCCTCGACTATCAGATACCCGTTACTCAGCTAAAGGGAGTGCGAAGGAGATGGAGAAAAAAACTTTGATCCGCCGTAACTTTTTAACGAATGGTCTGATTTAAAAAATTTCTTCTACATTTCGATAGGTATTGATAAACACAATAAAACTGCATTTTTACCGTATATAAGCGATTTGGGGCGTTAGAGGGGGCGTGGCACCCTTTTGAAACAAACTTGCGCTGCGTAGGATCTCCTAAGATCTGCATGCAAAATGTCAATCTTCTAGCTTTTATAGTTTCCGAGATCTTAGCGTTCATACGGACGGACAGACAGACGGACAGACGGACATGGCTATATCGACTCGGCTAGTGACCCCGATCAAGAATATATATACTTTATAGGGTCGGAAATGCTTCCTTCTAGCTGTTACATACTTTTGCACGAATACAATATGTTCTTTTACTCTACGAGTAACAGGTATAAAAATAGCAACCTGATCTTCACCCAAAAAAATCGTATTTTTAAAATATGGCTTAAAAGCCTTGTAAGTTTATTAACTTTTGGATGAGGAAGCGTAATGTGACGATATTTTTACGCTTCGACGAGTATGTGAGTAGCAAATTTAATTGAATTCTGCTTCATCGGTCATTAGAGTTCGCATTTTCGAAAATTTATATTTTTTGACTAAAATTTACAACTTAAAATAATCGAGTTCTGTGGTCTTAGTAATGCAATGTACGGATACTAATTCCTTTTGATCAGTATATCAGATTTTCAACACCACCGGTGCGATTTACGACTACATGGTCTGCTGTCCTCAAAATTATGATCTAGAAGGTTTCTTGCTTTTAATCTGTTCCATGGCTTGTATGAAGAACTTCATAGTCCCTACATACGCCTTCATATCCGTAACTATTAAACTTATTTGGTAGAGTCCTTGGGGAAACGGCGGAAGAAGACTGGTGTCCAGGTACCCGTCTCGAGCTGTTAGCTGGCCCTGTAGTTGGAAAAACTTTAAGAACACTCATTAAAAAAAGAACCCTGTGCTACAGAAATACCGAAAATGGGCAGGAGTGGTTCACATTAGTAAAGCGCTTAAACAACTTCCACATGATGACGCCATAGGGAATGAAGTTCCTTTTTTCGATCACCTCGCACATTTTAACGGTAACGTCGACTAGAAAAGGCTTGTACTGATTGCTGTAGTCCTTCACAAAAACCTGCACTCGAACCTGAAAAAGGTAAAATCTTTTTACGTCGAGTCCTATGACGAGTTTAAACATTCTCTTACAACTGGATTTACTAAAGGCACAATCATGAAGCAATCCATGTTTACCACACCCATATTCCAATTGATCGCCTTCACATGGCAAGAAACGTTCCTAACCCGAGATTTGTTAACTAGGCACTCGATTTTGGTGAGCTTATAAACCAACTGGGAATCCGTCTTGCGAGAAAATAAAAGTTTTTGGTTTTATCCTAAACTGAGTGGAAAATCTCACCAATTGCCAAAAGAAGCAGCTGCTCAGAAACACCAGCACCCCGAATAGCATTTTCTTAACTGACAGATGGGATTTTAATGTATTTAGTTTTGAACATTCACTAAAGCGATAAATAATACGTTTTTAATTAAGAGATCCCGATTTATCATTTTTACAATTAACTTTTTAAATGCCGAGATAGGAATTTCTGGCACTTCCGGCGTCAGTTATTAAAAGTATGAGTTTTAAGACCTTTTTACGATACGCTTTCAATAAACCCCCCGCCCATAAAAAGATACTTTTTTTTTGGAAATTAGAAATTACAATTTATTTCATACAATGTCTGTTGTTGATGGTTGTTTACTTGCTTTATATGTTGTTTCGAATACACAGTTACAGTTTCTAAAACCTCACCATCGGTTACATGTATAGGTAGGTTAGTGTTCTCGGGTGCATGCAACTTAAACAAATAACAATACGAATTCGTGACACAATTGGATCGCGTTACGGCTAACAATAATAAACGGATTTCCCAATTTGTTTATTTGCAGTTTCGGTTTGTGCATTTCTGTTGTGGTCGCGTTCTTGTGGTGGTCGGGAGACGCCTGCAGGCGGAGCGACCTTAGTTCCGGGAAGATGGCGCCACCGCACAGGTTGAGCTCCTCCGCATTCTCAGCATCACGAATGCATCGGCGCCCAACGGGCAGTGGAATGTGCAATCTTCTCGGGAAAGGATCGTTCTGCTTGCCGGGCCTCCCTTACAAATTGATGTTGTTATTTGCCTAATGCTACTATACATGTCGATCTGATGTTGTTGGGTTCGGTTTTGATGTTGCTGCTTATAACTTCTAATTTGTTGGGATTTTACAATTTTTTTTGTTGGATTTTCGTAGTAGATTTCGTGTTGCTAATGCGGTTGTTGTTGTTGTTGGTATGAGTTTCATTTGCAACATTCGTCTACACTTTTTTGGGTTCTGCTTGCACGACTTTTGTTGTTGGTATTCTTGTTTGTTGGTTTATAATTTTGCTACTACAATTTCTTGTTAATATTTTATACATAATATATATTTTATATATATAATATTTTCTTTACTATACAATAACAGCGGAAAAATTGTGTGTTGTGGTTGTTGTTTTGCAGCATTTTGTTTTACTCAGTTTGTCGCAGTACATTCATTCACTTGATTTGTATTGTTTCGTACGTTTTATAACAACTTTCTCATGTTAATATGTATAATTGTTTATGATTTCTTGTTCTTGTTTAAATATATATATTTTGTATATATTATGTATATCAATACCGTAATTGTTTGTATTACCATCTTTCTTATCACAAAAAATCATAATTATATATATAATTTATTATTATTAATTTTTAATATATTATTCTTAGAATTGAACAATAATTAAAAATAAACATAGGACTTAGTTACATTTTGTATGTGTGTGTGTGTGTATGTTGGTTTTTGTGTGTGTGTGTGAATGATTGCATGTAGTTGGTTGTTTTCGCAGTTGACGTTAAAGTATTGCCAAGCGTCCGCTTCCCGCCCCACCATCCAGCACCAACTCTCCTCCAGCGGCCGCTGTAGTGGGCTTCCACACCTACCACCAAACTCGGGGGGCGGTGCGCGCCCAAACAGCGGTTAGCGGACGAGAGCGGTACGTTGTCGCGCCGGATGGCAGCGGGCGGAAGCATTGATGGTGTTGTTGTTTCTGCTTGTTTGTTGTTTTGGCCCTTTCGCTAAATTTGTTGATCTGATTTTGTTGCAGCCAGGTCAGGCTCAATGCAAATGTACAAAGTTTCTTCTGACAATTGTTGTTGGTTGTTGATTTCTTTACAATTTTTTTCTTTTTGTTTAACGAACTTTACATATACACTAAACATTATTTAATAATAATAATGGAAAAAACAAATAACAAAGAGCACACAAAATTGTGGAGCGCAAAAATAATAAGTAAAAGAGAAGGATTTCTTGATATAGCAAAAATCATAATTATTACAACTTTATGAACTTAACTGCAAATTGTTTTCCTCGTGTTTAAGACTGATTTTGAACGGAAAATAACTAAGCTAAACCACGCGCCAGCAAATCGAGGTGAACGGAGGAGGCAACAGGTGCAAATTGGCGTTGCATGGCGGAATCCTGCGGCCCGGCAGGACTGGTTTCGGTTGTTCTTCCTATGTACAAACGGCTCCCGCCCGGGTTGCCCCGCACACGCACCGCTCGATGTTTTGATTGACACAATTTTACCTGCTCCTCCTGCAACAACTGCTGCTGCTGTTGATGTTGCTGTTGATGTTGTTGTGGCTGCTGTTGCTTGCTGATTGCTGGGCGCCGTTTGTCTATTTGTTGTTGTGTGTTTGCATTGATTGATTTATTTCGTGTACAGGTAAATGGCCACAATCAAGCCGTAGAGACCCAACACTTCGGCGAAGATGAGAATCAGGATCATGCCGACGAACAGTCTGGGCTGCTGTGCTGTGCCACGGACACCGGCGTCTCCCACGATGCCGATCGCAAAACCGGCTGCCAGGCCAGAGAAGCCCACCGCCAAACCGGCTCCCAGGTGAATGAAGCCCCTGGAGATCGGATCGGCGTAGTTAGTAAATGTAATCAATTGCGGGAGTGGAGTGTGTGATGAATAGTTTACCTGTAGAGTGAGTACTTTGAGGGTTCTTCCAGCGCGCCGGCAATGAGCACAGCCACCACCAGACCGTAAATGGCAATGATACCCGCCATGACCACAGGAATGATGGATTTCATGATCAGTTCAGGACGCATCACTGACATGGCAGCAATACCGGTACCAGACTTAGCAGTGCCATAAGCAGCGCCCAGAGCTAAGGGAGAGATTCAAAAGGATCATAATTAATACAAGTTCTAGATGGTTTTTCCACCAATTTGCCAAACTTTGCCATATCGAACATGTTCATGTAGCTAGTGGGATTTTTGATTCTAGTCTCCATATAATAATCAATACTATAAGTCAAAGGTTATCAATTTAGGTATATACAATTTGTATTACTCATAGATAGGGTTCGAGGAATAAATTTTTTCCATTTAGTGTTTTTTCTCCCGCTACTCGAAGCTTCTGTGCTTAAATTATACGAATTACTAAAGCTCACAAAAGGGAGTCACTAATTAGGTGATAATATTCCAAGTACCGTTTCAAAGCATTATGTAACTTACTAATATTTCCAGCATTTTAGCCATGGCTAAGCGCAAAAGTTTGGCTATCAATTGCTCCAACTTTGGCCGCGGGCGTAAAAGTTAGCAGTCACATGATCGCCCATAACTGACGTTGTTTGATGAAAAAACCCCCCAAGTCCCCACCCTCAAAAGTGCCACTCATCGCCCAGAGTTGAGTTTGTGCGGAGAGCACAATAAAAACTCGCTTCTCTCGCATTCCGACATTCCGCTCGCAATTCGTCGAGTTTTACTGCTTGCTCTCTCGAAAAGTCAGGCAAATATTGATAAGGCCGAGCTAAAGTTTATACAACAGGTATTATATTATATGGGCCAGGTGGATCAGTTCGGTGTTCATTATACCATTATAACACAAAATTTACTGGCGAGAGATTCTATGTACATATTTTTTGTATTGATGGGGCATTAATTGAAGTATAAAACCAGTTTCAAATGACGGTCAACTGAGTGTTTGTGTGTTTGTGAGAGGGCTGATAAATCGAATTAAGCCGCACGCACACCACAAACTAAACCGACTCTCATTGATATGGGTGTATTCAAAGTTTACGGAGCGAGAGAGCAAATATCCCCCCATGTCATGTGATTCGATGTTAATTACTTATTTTCCGCCCCAAACCAAGATATGACTGGAATTCAATTAAGAGCAACGACGGATGGCTTAGAAACGCTCTGAATCTTCTTATATTCTGTATATCTGCGAGTCTACGTCACTAAACAGGAAAGTGATGGGAAATGGTCATGAAAAAAACCAGAACGAACTTGAATAGGCAATTTGTTATAACCACAAGAGATATCTACGCGTCTAGCACGAGCACACAGCGAAATCTATGAGGTCGAGGCTGTCGTCACAAAAGCACGCACACATCCCCATGAAAATCTATGTGTCCGAAGCCCAAGTACAGAAATAATATAGTGCGTTTGTGGCCCGCATTGCGTGAAATGGCATTAAAGAGCTAAAATTCATTGAGGAACCATTCTCGGGCTATTGACCCAGTACTTTCCAGGGGGCTTACACCACGTGGTTCCCCGAACATGTAATAACATAATATCATATATAAAATAAAAGTTCCCTTAACGGTCCTCAATATCGAGATGATTTTTTTCCCTGTGTAAGCGAAAATCATGCGTGCAGCTGGCAGGTGTGCCAGTGTGTACACACCACGATTGTGTCTGTATTCCACTTCGGCATTGACGCTTTTTCAGCTGTATTGGCGCCGCATTCAAATTCACAAATAATAACTGAAAAAGCTTAAATGGCATTGACTTGTTTTGCCTTTTAACTGCTCCTTCTGATGCTGCCGTGCATTTTAAATACCCCTCGCACACACACAAGAACATGGTATTTATCAAGCGACAGACGGCATCGCAGACATTTCTGTGGGCGTTGAAATAAAGAAACAAAAAAAAATTGCAGGGAATCGGGAATAAGAGGAAGAGGCGACAACAGAATAAGAATCAACAAGAACAACAACTGCCAGCACATTCGAAGATAATTATAAAATGGGGGAGATAGCCAGAGACTGGCAAAACACAGCATCAAGTGAAAAATAAAAGAAACCCCAACAAAACAAAAACAAATTGAAGGCGTCACAGTTGAGTGAGCAGAAAACAGAACGACGAACAGAGCGAGGGAGAGCGATGAAAATAGAGGCACATTTTGGATGAACCAGGTTCTACACGGTCAAAAAAGAAATGCATGACGGACCAATTATCGCTGCAGGTGTCTGTTTGTTTTTATAATCTTTCCTGCATGCGGCAAGAATTCGGACGGGAAGCGATAATATACACAAGATAAGATAAGTCCAGCCGATTCCAGAGGCTGTACCATCGAAACAGGGTGCCCAATGTTGAGTTCTAGTCGTTCATTGATTAAATTGCAATACAATTGAAAGGCGTTCGCTCACTCACACAGCAGCATCCCAATTACTTTGTTGATGTGTGAGTTTTTCTGTTAAATTCGGTATTACAACAGTGGGACTTGTGGGGAACTTTCCAATATGATGGTAGTTCGTCACGTGTGGAAGCAAATTATGCGTTAACATAACCGATTTTTACATAATTTACTAGCCTACTACCATTCTATGTATATATCTACTACTATTCCCGCTACTGCGATTGCGCAGGCGAGCGTAGGAGTGTGTGCGTGCTCGAGTATGCTGGAGCTGCTGCTGAATGTCATTGTGTGAAGGATTTTCGTGGCAACTTGGGTATTTTTAGCCCAGTGCGAGACGAGGATGTGGGCCAGCATTGGCATTACAAGTGGCTAGTGCTGATAATAAACCGCAGCTCAAAGCAACGCCCATTGTTCGCAGTGCAGTGAGTCAGTTTATCAGTCATCGAAAATGAAATAACTGCAGTTGCAAGCTGAAAGAGAGGGAGAGATAATTTTCTTTCTCTCAACCTCATGTGATCGTAAGGCAGTAGCGTTGCCAGATCAGCGGCACAGTTACTGATGATAAAAAGCTGGAAATTGATTTATGCTGTTGACTCTAATTGCATAAGCAGTCAGATAACTTTGTAGTCGAGCGATGATAATGGGCCAAGTAAACACGACAGGAAGCCTTCTCCCTCTTCTTCTTGACTACCAAAACACAGTGGCGGGGGTGGGGGGGTTAGGCGCAAATCACAAGACCAGTTACAAGGCATGACATAAGGATTGCGTCACAAATGGGTCGAAATTAGTGGAAAGCGGTGTGGGGCAGCCTAAACTTGGCTCTCATAAACAGCAGCGCGTGCTCGCTGTTATTTCCCATACAATGCCTTAAGTTCTTCTTGCGACACTCTCTTGGGAATTTGCTATCTTATCTTGGCCAAGTCAATTGGTAAATAAGCCACTTATCAGCGGGGTAACTACGAATGAGTGGCCATGATAAGCCACTGGAAATGATCGTCAGCTAGCCATGTGATGTGGGCTGGAACCCAATTGATCATGCAGCAAACGATTTGGGCATGTGATTACTGAAAAGATCTTTCATATTGGGTCATAAGTTGTCAGCTAATTGGGTTTGCAACGAGTGCGATAAGGAAATGGTTTACATTGATTTCTGTAAGGTTTCCTAATCATTCGGCATGTGATTTCGATTTCCGCATAGAAAGGGTCATAAGGTGTCAGTTAATTGGGCTTAGAAAGAGTTAAAAGCCCGGATTTTATCTTTTACTGTAAGGTTTCTGTTCTAACCAATAAGATGGAAAGGAAAAAAACTTCAATATGGCAACACTTCGCCAGTCTTGTGACTGTTGAGAGAAAAGGAAAGCGCGCTTCATAAACTTCACCAAAAACAGTAACTGTTCTCGCACTCATACACACGCGCTCAATGCCACCAAGTGCGAGAGTGCGCAGCGCTCAAGAGAGCGAGGGAGAGAGCGATGTGCTCACATGTGTGTGTGTGTATGAGTAATGCCGTTTTTAGCATGCTGAAAAGGCGAAATTTCTTTTTTCAACTTGGCCGCTGCGAAATAAGCGTAATTAAAATTGCTAATTCTACAAGTTGTAAATACAGGGGAATATTTTTCGATTCAAAGGCGAGTTTGCTAATCCGAAGCTACTTCGGTTTTCTGCTGGTCACGCGCACACCAGTGAGCAACTTGCTCCCTTTGTGTGGGTTAGCCCCGTGTTCGTACACCATTTGTCTACACTTGCCGCTATTTCGCGTTACTACCACATGAAAAGCGCCCGCACACCCACACGCTGGCCCCCGCTCTTCCTCTTCCACCTTTTACGCCACACAAAATGTTCGATTTTTCACGGCATGGGCATGGCATCCTCGTCCTTAATTCTAGTCCGGAATCTGGATCCCGATTTGAACTTACCCGAGAAGATGATGGCGGAGGCGGCGCCCATAACTCCGAAGAAGGGGCCATAGATTGGGTTGTCGCTGCTCACTTCAGAAGACATTTTGCTTTGTTTGTTGTGTTTTTTAGGCTACAAATGATCGAAAAATCGAGATTTTAATTCGTTTCGCTGCTGATTGCACTGTAGTTTTATCTTTTATTCTTGTTCGGCGTTTTGCACGGCTGAATGTTATGCGCGCTCGTTATATGTATGCGTTGCTTCGAGTCGAAACAAAGTATTTTTATTATATGTACAATATATGTGCTATATACGTGGGTATTTTACGCTGCTCTGCGACCAATGCTGCTGCGACGACGAACGAATTGCGAGTGGACGCTCTCGAAATATACTTAAATATACTTTTTAATCGCGAGCAGCGAGTAGTGGCCAACGACCAAAGTGGGAGAGAGTCGCACGCGAGAAGAGAGCGGACGAGAGGCGACTCGTTGGATTATTGGATTTTGCTGACGGTGTGAGCATGTCATGTGCCTGTGTGCGTGAGAGAGTGAGCGCATGACAGAATGGGCTCATGAAAGTAAGACCAATTGGCAATGACAACGGTCTGGAAAATTACACAGGCACACACAATCACATGGAAGTTGCTGAAAACTCCGTTTTCTGGGTTCTTGGCAAAAGTGAAACCATTTGCCATTTTCGCTTAAGAAGCCTTTTGTCTCCGTTATATTTTCGCCCTACGCGCAAAACGCACACCCACAAGCCTTCCCATTGCCATTGGCTGCGAGTGGCCTGCCTGTGTGTGTGTGTATGTCGTGGCAGAAAATATTGTACAATTTTTTTTCTCGCTGATTAAACTCTGTTTAATTTGAAGTTGTCGCAGCAGCACGATTTATCGCAGGCACGAAACTTTTCCGCAGGGCTGGCCTCACATGACCGCCTATCTTTCGACTGGCTTTTTCACTCACGTGATTAGAAATCTAATTAAAAGCAATTCGCTGCTCTGTGGCTGGCCTCTTCGGGTTACTTGCTGGCTGCTGCTTAAAAGCGCGGATCGGATACTGAACACCAACGAGTTATTCTGCTTTGCTTTTATAAACTTTAGTCACGGGGGCGGATTGGTGCGATATTTGGGCCAGCGTTGCCACACGTGGTAAGTCGAAACGGACTAAAACTGTTCCCACTTTGGGGAAATACTAAAAAATACTGTTTTCGTACTCATCTTATAAAAGGGTGAGTGCAATAAAATGATAAACCCACCTGTAACATATACAGAAATTAATAATCTTGTTTGTAAACTGTTATTTTTTGAAGTAGACGAGATCTTGTCTTTAATGTCTTGTTTAAAATTGATATAAGTTACCCAGAGAACAAATATTCTGCAGACGTGTTTTCGCCTGAATATCGGAAAATTGGGCCTCCAACATAGCCAATTAGTAACCTAAAATCCTTCAAAAACAACTTAGCTTAAATTGGTTTCGCTTATTTTTTCAAGGAAATAAAGAGCTGATTTTGGCACCCCTTATTTATTTATTTATATAAAGCTAATTTACAGTGTTAAACTATGAGATAACTGAAAAGGAGATTTAGAGCGCTAGCAACTAAGGATTTCAGCTAGACTGTTTATTTTTATATGAGAACTGGAACTGGCTTATGGTCACATCTTATACGTGTTGCGTTGCACCACGGTAACTCTAAAAATGGTATTGTTGGGAGTTGCCACATAGTAGCAAAACGTATTTTATTTAAAATTTAAAAGTTTGGAGAAGAAAACTAAATCCGATTTAACGTCTGTTAAAATGTATCCTCCATTTACATATCTCGCAAAAAAGAAGTTTGTAGTACGAGCAAGAACACTGCTTTAAGTGTTTTTCATTTGTTTTTCTTTGCCAATTTGGCTTTTGTATAATCTATTGATTACGGCACTTAAATCAACCCACGATAGTAAACAATCTTGAAAGACTTCAAATTATAGTTAAAACTATTTCAACACATTTAATTAGAGTAATTAAACAAATTAATATTACATAGTCGGTAGATTTACAATAAGCTTTTTCCGCCCCATCCTAGTATTTCTCCAGAGCCTTGGAAAGAAGCGTGTTCATGTTGGTCAGAAGCATCCGGGGATCCTCCGCCAAACCGGCGCCCACCATGGCGTTGGCAAAGAGCTGCTTGGCGATGAGCTGGGCCAGATCCTTGTCGCTCTCGCGCAGCTTGTTTAGCTTCTTGATGATGGGGTGCCTTAAAAAAAGGATAACAAAGTAAGTAAAGTTGCCTAAGGTTGCAAGGTAACCACCACTACTCACTTCGGATTGATCTCCAGTTCTGGCTGCAGCAGGGCAAATCGATTCTGTTCGGGAACCTGGTGACTTTGGGTGCGGATAAAGTGGCGAGCGGCGGCCATCTCCTCCACGGTGATGACACAGGGGTGGGTGTCCAGGCGGGAGGTGGGCTTCACCTTAATAACCTGGCCCTTGAGCTCCTCCTCCAGCCAGGGAATCAAAGCGTCCAGCTCCGAGCGCAGCAGGCTGCCCTCGCCAAAGTCAGTGACGGTCGCCGAGTCCTTTGAGTCCTGGCGCATCTCCTTCTCCACGGACACGAGGTTCTTGCTCTTGTACTTGCCCAGCTGCATGAGCACCAGCTCGTCGTAGGGCTCATAGCAGAAGAGCACCAGCTCGTTGCGCTTCTTGAGGCTCTCGTAGTACGGCGAAGATTCGGCCAGAACGCGATTGGGCGCCGCCAGGTAGTAGATATTCTGCTGTTCCGCCGGAACGCTCTTGTAGTACTCGTCCAGGGACATACGGCCACTGGCGTCCTCGGACTTGGAAGACTCGAAGCGCAGCAGCTTGGCAATTTCCTCCTTCTCACTCGCATCGCTGGAGGTTACAATGCCCTCCTTCAGGAAGAGCCCGTAGTCGCGATAGAAGGCCTCGTATTCCTCGGGCTGCTTCTTGGAGCGCTCCTGCAGGAAACGAATCACACGGCTCGAAATCACACTGGACAGCTTGCGAATCAGGCTGCTGTTCTGCAGCAGCTCGCGGCTCAAGTTTAGAGGAATGTCCTCGGAGTCGACGACGCCCTTCACGAAGCGCAGCCACTTGGGCAGCAGGTGCTCCGTCTTGGACTGTATAAGCACCTTGCGCGTGTACAAGGCGACGCCGGTGTTTCCGTCGCGGGACATCTCAAATAGCCCAGGTTTTCCCTCTGGAAAATAGAGCAGCGCATGAATGCTCAGAGGAACATCGGCATTGTAGTGAAGCGTAAACCGCGGCACATCAAAGCTGTTGCTGATGAAGCGATAGAAGTCGTGGTGCTGCTCCTGGCTGATGCTCTGCGGATCGAGCAACCACAGCGGCTTGATCTCGTTGGCCTGCTTGCCGTTGAGCAGGATGGGCGAGCCCACAAAGTTGCTGTACTTCTTGATCACCGCCTGGATGCGCTCCTCGTCCGCGTACTCGCGGCACTCGGTCTTCAGGTGCAGCACAATGCGGGTGCCCAGCTCGGCGTCGGCCACCTCCTCGATCTCGTAGGAGCCACTGCCGTCCGTGGACCACTTCAGGCCGGGCGCATTGGGCGTGGCCGCCCGCGTGTAGACCTCCACCTTGTTGGCCACAATGAAGGAGGAGTAGAAGCCCACGCCGAACTGACCGATGATGTTGGAGGAAGCCTCCGAGGAGGCCGCCTGCTGGTTGCCCTTCATCTGCTCCAGAAACTGCTTGGAACCGCTGCGTGCGATGGTGCCCAGGTTGCTGACCAGCTCCTCCTTGGTCATGCCGATGCCCGTGTCCTGGATGATCAGCTGCATCTGCGGCTTGTCGGTGGTGATGCGAATCTCCAGCGGCCGATCCTTGCCAGCCAGATTCTCGCCGCCGGCGCTCAGCGAGGTGTAGCGAAACTTCTCCAGCGCATCGCTGGCATTCGAGATGAGCTCGCGCACGAAGACTTCGTGGTCGGAGTACAGGGAGCGGGCCACGATGTCCAGCAGCTGGCGGGTCTCCGCCTGGAACTCGTGCTTGTCCACCACCGATTCGGGGGATTTCTTCGGCTCCGTGGAGAAGCGACGCAGCGGGGGGGCTATTAATGGATGTTATGTAAACTTAAGATTTGGGATGGTTTGGAAAATTCGAAGTCTTACCGGCCGGCGATCGCCGAGATTCCAGGGCGAGATTAAGCGCTGCTGGGGCGGATCGGTGGCTCTGCCTCAGCACTTGGGCAAAGCGGCTGAAGCGGCACGCCTGGCCCAGCACACCCATCGCTCGCAGTGACATCTTATTTAGCCTGGAATTGTGTTTTTTGGCCAACTAAACTGAAATGTTATTCAACTGAAGTTTCTCTCAGCGCACATGTGTGCAATCGATTAAACGTATTCGATAACGCCAATGAACTAGTTCGGCTATCGATATTAGGGATGTCGAAATATTTAAAAATATCGTATCGATGATATTTTTTATTTAAACAAAAAATCAAAATGATATTTGATATATCAGAAAAAAAATATCTATATATCAGATATTTTTGATATTTTTTTTATTTTATTTTTATTTTATTTTTGTTTTATTATTTTTTTTTTAATTTTAAGCTGCATAAGCATTAACCACTAAACATTAACCCACATTCGATCTTAAATTATATTTTTATAATTTTTAGTTTATATTTATTAATAAATGAAAGAAAACAATATTTATTTTTGCTTTCTTTTGTTTTTATTTATAATATTCAAGTCAAGTATTTCCCGCGCATTTTTTTTAGCGCGTTTTCTTGAATTCTGAATGCTATGCTATGCATTTTCACTTGCCGAAAAATAAATTTTAGCGGCGGTCATCTTTCACATATGTATTTTTTCTTGTCCCGATGAAAAGTGAAACCACTTAAAATTATCGAAAAAATGTGAAAAAAATCGATGATATATTCAAAAAAAATATCACGATAAAAATATTTATTTTTTCGTAAAAATATCGATATATTGATATTTTGATATATTTTCGACATCCCTAATCGATATGAGTGAGCACTGTTGACAACCCTACTCGCCAATGCAACTCTGCTGAAGCGCGTCCGCGTCGCGTTGTATTTTTGTTGAGTTTTTAAGCTAATCTTAATTTTGCGTGTCTTATTAATTAGAAAACCATGTGTTAAGTGTTCCCCGATCGCAAAGCAAGACGAGTAGATCCGAAAATGGGCGCCTCCACCATCGACAGCGTGCGGGTGCTGCTGCAATCGCTGCCCGCGGCCACGGCGAACATCGCTTCTCAGCCGGCCGATCAGCAGACGCCGGTAAAAATAGCGTTTACAGGGACGCCGCTGCGCTCCAGGAATCCCAGCCAGCTACAGGTGGTCCCGGAGAAGGTCGAGGAGAAGCCTGCCTCGCCGCCGGAGGAGTTCTGGCGGGATCTGCAGCAGTTCCACGAGCGACGGGGGTGAGTTTGCTCAAGTACACCCGCCATTTGAGATCCCCTGACCCACTTTTTCCTCTGCTCTTAACAGCACTCCATTGACGCAGCCCGCCAAGATGAGTGGCCAGCAGGTGGACCTGTACAGGCTGTACAACGAGGTAACCGAACGCGGCGGCTTCAACAAGGTGAACATGCGGGACGAGTGGGAGGAGGTGTACAGCGCCATGGAGACGCTAAGGGAGCGCTGCGTCAATGGGACGGCGACCATCAAGCACATCTACAGACGCTATCTGGACAAGTACGAGCGGCTGAACTTCTTTGGCGAGGATCCGGACAAGATGGAGGCCTTGGAGGCGGCCATCGAGAATGCCGAAATGGGCGGAGGACGCTCGAGATCCAGATTTTTGGCTGGTGCCGGCGGTGGTCTGGGCAGTATCTTCGGTTCCGCGCACTCCACTTTGCCGGCGGTGCCGATGGCCTACAATCAGCGTCAGCACGCGGTGAATGTGGAGCGAAGGCGGCAGTACAAGATGTCCACGCATCTGCACCGACACAGCACCTACGAGAAGCTGCTGCTGTCCCTGCTCTCACCGCTGCCCAACGAGCAGGACTTTGCCATCAATGTGTGCACTTTGATGACCAACGAACCGCGGCACACGTTGCAACTGGCAGACTGCCCCAAGCTGCTCGACGTGCTGCTGGCGCACCTGGGCGTCTATGCCGACTTCACTATGCGAAAGCTGTTCCAGCACAGCTATGCCGAACTGCGGCACAATTCGCAGCTCAGCTTTTGGCGCGACCTGCTGCACGACCGGCCACAGATCCTGGAGCTCTACACGGACGAGCAGGCGTGGCTGGACAACGGGCTGATTAGCAAGGAGGACACGGAGACCTCTGCGGCGCGCAGTGAACTGCTGGCGGCCTGCGACGAGCTGGACTTCCTCAACCTGCGACGCGGCAGTGGGACGGACGAACGCATGGGACACCGCGTGCTCCAGATTGTCCGGCTAGTGCGGGCACTCAGTTTCCACCAGGAGAACCACGCGCTCCTGGCCTCCAACCGCACTTTGTGGCGATATCTGGTCATGGGCGCGAATGTGCGATGGAGTAAGTATACAAGTTTATTGAAAAACAAGAAAGGAAGCTTATAAACCCTTGCAGATCATTCCTATTAACTTACAAATCGAAAAAATGTTCAATTTCCTATTATTTCTCATTAATTTTCCAATCGTTCCTATGGCAGCTATATGATATAGTAGTTCAATTTTGATGAAATTCAAATAGAAATTCGGAAATATTTAAAAATAGTCATATCCCAGAGTAGAAGAGAATACTATAAAAACCAACGAAGCAATAATTTTGTTCCTATTGTTTTGCATTTAATTTTCCGACCCTTCCTATGGCAGCTATATGATATAGTGTTCCGATTTTTTCTAAATTTTATTCGAAATTCATAAATATTTAAAAAATAATATTCCCAAAAGTGGAAGGTAATATTTAAGTGTTTTTTTAAATTTAAAAAAAAAAGCTAGAATTTTGTATACATTTTTTCCTATGGGAGCTATGAGATACACATCCAGAATATATATATTTCAGGGATCGTAACTGTTATGAGTTTTATTTTAAAAATCGCTTTTTAATCATTATGTCATGAGTTTTAAGTAAAACTCAAAGAATAATTGTTACTCTGTGAGTTTTATATAAAACTTGACAAATAAAACTTATTCTCTGAGTTTTATTTTCCGCTTGGAAAATAACAGTTATTCCTTGAGTTTTATATAAAAATCAAAAAATAAAACTTATTCTCTGAGTTTTATTTTTTCGATCAAAAATAAAACTCAAAATCGTTTAGTGGCGGCTGTGTAGGCGATAAAAATGTTTTAAAAAATAAGGTATGGTATTTGATCTATTGGGTTTATTTAAAGATTTTTACCAACTGAAAATAACCACCATAAGTATGATTAATTAATTAATTTACGTCGCGCAAAGGAGAAATCCAAGTTTTAATTCATTATGCGCGGATCCACGGAATGTGATATGGGTTATAGAACACCCCCCACTCGAGTGAAAAATAAAAGGAAAATTGTTTTGGTATCACACCCTACAACAAAATCCTAGATCCGCCACTGCACTACATATCCGAACCACTGTACATAAGTGAGTACATTTGGTAAGAAAATCCATTGTATATACTGGCTCAGTGATAAGTATCAGCTCCACAACAACAGAGGTTAACTTCCAGCTAAGGGTAAAACCTTTTTTCAGATTATAAAGCTTTGTCTATATTTTGCAGCATTTGTCACGAAAAATTATAACATAAGACTGCAAACAGTAATCGTAACTATTATGAGTTTTATCCTAAAAAACGCATATATATACAATGTTTAAAAATGCCAGTGGTGTAAGGTTTAAGCTGGAATTTATTTAAACTTTTTATTTAGCTTCACAAATAAAAGTTGTTTTATGGATTCTGATGATAGCTTGGATCTAAGGTCCGTTAGAATTAACTTGAGAGCAGAAAAGGACCTCTCAACGCTCACTTGGGTAGCTGGCACGGCATGGACCACTTTTGCCATTTGGTAGAGGTATGGATATACGAATTTTTTCTCCTCCCAATAACTCATAACATCCGTATTTACATCGATAGGCTTGGGGCAAAAATTGTCGATTTCGCTGTAGGCTTTTTTAATGTCCTCATCATAAGCGTCGGAGTTCTCTACACTCTGAATATCTTCAAAAGAGTTAAGAAACTCTTTGAGGAGAGAATTCGATTGATTAGAACATGATGTTGGTTCATCTTCAGGTATATTTTGACGAGAATCGCTCTAAACAAATCAAATTAAAACATATATTAAGTCATACCAAATTATTAATTAATGTATAAGCCGAAGCTTTTTACTTACTTTGTTATAAACAGCATGTATCTGTAAATACAATTGCTTCAGCTGACTTCTTGCTCTGATTATGTCTTGAGGGTTTTTATTCAAAACTCGACGAATACGAGGATCCAAATAGACTGCACAAATAACGATATGATTTTCCAAAAGGGTATCTTCTCTTTTTTGAAGGCAATCCACCAATACCTTATTACTGGTACCCATCGCTTTTACAGCTAGCTTTAATTCGAGCCATATCTTATAAAAGTCTCCCAAAAACATTTGCTCCGATTGAAATTTTTTGGTAGCGACGAATAATGGCTCTAATGTATTGCACATAGTTCTGATCATACTCCAATCAGTAGCCGTCAACTTTGATAGATCATCATATTCATTTTTACAAAACGCTTCATAATCCAACAGTCTTTGAAACATCAAGTATGTTGAGCCCCAACGAGTTGGGACATCCATGACGGGTAGAGGTAATCCCTGGGCGCAAGACTTATACCTTAAACATTTATAAAACTTAAGGATATGCCATCTAGTAATATAATATTATTAATACAAACCTGCATGACGGAGTCCGTAACATTTTGACTACTGCACGCGCTTTTTCTATGATTTTGATACACTCCGGGTTGTTTAGAAAATCCTTTACACTTAACTGCAGGGTATGGGCAGCGCATTTAACAGATGTGATAGAAAATAATTCTATGTTTTTAATTAGATCGTCGTCATCGTCATTAAATTCATTACCATCCATGTTTAATGCAGGGTCCTCGTTTAAAAGAGACACAGCTTTAATCATATTCCTGCCATTATCGGTGGTTATGCTGTATATCTGATTCTTTGAAATATTAAACTCATTTAAAATATCTTCGATTTCCGAGCATAGATTGCTACCTGAATGTCTTTGGTGCAGTTCGACAAGTCCGAGAGTTTTTACGCAAATCCGGTTATTATGATACATCTGGGCGTTGATTCCTAAAATTCCACGGTTACATCTTGTTGCTGTATCCATTTTAATACATATAATTTGGTTTTTAAATAACAACTTAATAGAGTCTTTTAACTCATTATACTTCCTGGCAATTAACGTCATTATGTTTCTTGATGAAACAGGGCTCATATTGAGACCATCGAAGATTTGCCCGGTTAAAGTGGTAAAAGCTTCTGAATCCAACACCGAAAACGGCATTTTTTCGGATGTTACCAAGTCTATACAAGCCTCCGTGACTTCACTTTTAGTCATGCTGACAGAAAACTTGATTTTCGAGTCTTTTTCTATAATGGTTTTTCTATCGTGCACGTCTTTATCGAAAACGTTTTTGTGGTGGTCCGAAAGATGACGCTTTAAATTCGATAAGTAGGAACCTGCAAAACTCTTTTTGCATATTTTACAAATTGATTGATTTTTTATTGCATCAAAATCGAAATAGTTTCGCGGTAAGTTATAGGCTTTACGTCCCATATTAATATTCAAAATTATTTTTTTGGGAGCAGATGCTTATACTAGACTCTATGAATATAAACAAACACATTATAAAAATTTTGACGTCTAAGCGGAGACATACAAGACGAATTTTCTTTTATGAATAAATTATAAAAAATTGTAAAAGGAGTTGAACTACTGTTATTATACATATATTATATATATATATGTGGAGCTTACACTTACCCACTGAGCCAGTATATACAATGGATTTTCTTGACCAAATGTATTACCCATATCACATTCCGTGGATCCGCGCATAATGAATTAAAACTTGGATTTCTCCTTTGCGCGACGTAAATTAATTAATTAATCATACTTATGGTGGTTATTTTCAGTTGGTAAAAATCTTTAAATAAACCCAATAGATCAAATACCATACCTTATTTTTTAAAACATTTTTATCGCCTACACAGCCGCCACTAAACGATTTTGAGTTTTATTTTTGATCGAAAAAATAAAACTCAGAGAATAAGTTTTATTTTTTGATTTTTATATAAAACTCAAGGAATAACTGTTATTTTCCAAGCGGAAAATAAAACTCAGAGAATAAGTGTTATTTGTCAATTTTTATATAAAACTCAGAGAATAACGATTATTTTTTGAGTTTTAAATAAAAATTGCAAAAATAAAAATCATTGCGAATATGTAAAATACAATGTTTTATAATGACAGTGGTATAGTTTTTTTTTTTTTATGAGTCTTCCTTGTCGTTGATTTTTTTGTTTAAAAAAACAAAAATAACAGTTATTTTCGTTCCCTGATATATTTTATGGGGTCGAAAACATCTCCTTCACTGAGTTGCAAACTGAAATCTAAGACCCTTTTTTTTTGTCTTCCCTAGACAACATCCACATCCAGGCCCTCGAGACGGCCGGCAACCTGGCGCAGCAATTTGAACTGCTCGATCCCACCACTGACGAGCTGTCGCGGAATCTTCTGGCCACCCTCTGCGAGGGCGTCGACTCCAACGACCGGGCGGTGATCATTAGCTGCCTGGAGATACTCTACAAGCTGTGCAGTCGCGAGGGCAATTCGCAGCACATCAATCGTTGCCTTGGCCTGGACTTTTACCAACGCGCCATGCTGCTGCTCTCGCTTACGGACGTTATGCTGATTATCTTCACCCTGGAGGCGGTCTACGCGCTCAGTTCGCTGGGCGCGCGTCCCTGCTCGATGCTGATGCAAGTACGGGGACTAATGGACCAGCTGGTGGCCCTGATCACCGTGGAGGCGCAGTCCTACGGCACCGAGGGTTGCATACTCATGCGGGTGGTGGAAGTGGTGCCGGGCAACATGGTCGCCTCGATGGCTCACAACATGCCCGCTATGCAGGCTCCCATGGCGGCAGCTTCCATTACGACGCTTCCAACATCTCTGCAAGTTGCCGTCAAGCCGCCAGCAGCTTTGCCCACGCCGACGCCCTCGCAGACGCAGGTGCTCCTGCCGCAGGGAGAGCAGCAGTCGGTTCCCATTCCTGGTCTGCCGATGCCCAGTCTGCCGCATGTTAACCTGCCCGTACCCAGTCTGCCGCAGGTGCAATTGCCACCCATCCCGGCCACTGTGACCCTTCCCAGTCTGCCCACCGTCTCGCAGAATTTCACCCACGAGGACGAGCAGTACGCCTTGGCCTGGCTGGGAGCCACCTACGAGCGGGCAGGCACCGGCACCGATCTGCGCGTGGAGCAGGCGGAGATGTACAGGATCTACTTGTCGCATTGCCAAAAGGCGGGCAAGCTCTCGGTGGTCAATCACATGCAGTTTCCCCGTCTGGTTCGGCTGATATTCAACCAGACGGTGGGACCGGTGATTGTGCGGCTGCTGGACGGAGCGGAGCTGCCCGGAACCTACTATGTGGGCATTCGGATGCGGGCACAGCCGCTGGTCATGCAACAGAGGCCCGCCGCCAGCATAATTCCTGTTAAAAAGGAGACTCCCATATTGCCCAAGCTGCCGGCTGCCGGTGATACTGTTCCATTGGATGCTCCTACGGAGGAAACGGCTTCTTCCGCTGTAACTCCGCCACCAAGCTCCTCGCTGATCAAAAGCCTGTTGGCCAACAAGGTCACCGAGCGCCAGCAGAAGCAGAAGGCCCAGGCCCAATCGCCCCAGCCGCCAGCCTTGGTGCCCACCACTGCGTCCGGCACAAATGCCAGCCAACCCATCAAAGTAACTTCTACGGCTATTAGCGCCTTTGTGAACAATCCTCTGATGCAGCACACACCGGTGAAGGTGGGCCAGACCACCATTAAGCCGCTGCACCCCCAGATGGCCATTGAAAAGAAGCCCATCACGGACTCGGCACCGCCTCCCCTCGCTCCGTTGAGTGGCGCCAATGTGGTGCAAACCAAGGATGCCAGTGGGCGCACACTAATCATTGCTTCAGCCGCTGCGAAAAGGAAACTAACCGTTGACGAAGAACAGAACAAGCGACTGGCCATGGATGCCGCCGCCAGCAGTTCCAGCTCAAATTCCTCAGCTGCTGGAAAGGAAGAAACGCAGGTGACTCCCTCAAAGAATGCGGCCAATCTGTACGCTGATCTGGCGGCTTCCATACTGGAGGATGAAGACCTGGACGACGTTCCACCGCTGGCCAAGTCAAGTCAGGAGCAGCAATCCCAACAGCAGCAGCAGCTTCAACTCATACCGGCCAAAGTTCAGCCTGCCCAGCGGCAGTTGGTCTTTCCCGGCAGCAGTGTCGTCTCTCCAGCACCTCCGCCGCAACTCAAACTGGCCACCACGGCTACGATTAAGACGGATCAGGGCATGCAGACGGTGCCGGTGATCCTGCAGCCCAAGACCACGATGGATGCCACGCCGGCGCCGCAGACGCAGTATGTGCTGGCCACCAATCAGCAAGGTCAAACGTATCTGGTGGCCCAGCAAACGCAACCGACAATGCCGCCATCCTCCACCCAGTCGGCGCCACCCACGTTGCTGGTGACCCAAACGCCGCAGCAACAGACCAAGACCATAATCATACTGCAGCAACCGGGCGGAGTTTCCTCTGCCAATGTGGCAGGTACGCAAAAGATGATAATGACAACGGCCCAGGGCCAACAGGTCCTGGTGACCACCACCACGGCACCGCAACTGACACAGCCACGTGCTTCGACGCCCCAGCAGCAGCAAATCTTTATTGCCCCTCAGCGACCGGTGCCCGCGTTGGGTGCTGGCCAAATGTCGCCCTCACTTCTGTCGCAGCTTAACCAGATTCCGGCCACCATCAAGCTACACCAGCCTGCTCCCCAATTGGCACAGCAGCAGCAGCAGCGGCTAGTGGCCACCAAGCCAGGCGCTGCACTGCCCATTCCCCAGCTGCAGCAGCACCAGTCCATCATCCAGCAGCACATCATCTCCGGCCCCGCAACAACACCGACTGCGGCTGGAAGCGTTCCGGTTGCAGGCGAAAAGAGGCAGGTCATTCTGGGCGGCATCAAGGAGACAACGCTCATTACCCAAACCCCGGCCACGGCGGCTCCTCTGCAGCAGAGTCAGCTCAATTCGCAGACGATCATCACCACACAGCCGCCCACCAGCACAGCTGCCGTTGGGGGCGTGGCTCAGCAGCATATACGAACTGTTTTGGATCAACAGCAGCAGCAGCATCATCCTTCCATCATTCAACAGAAGATCACCATGCCAGCAGTAAGTATTATTTTTTGTCACTCATCACTAGACCTCGGATTATGCATATTTGTCCATTTTTGTTCCGATTTTTACCAAAATTTCTAGGTAGGCGTCATATTTTTTAAATGTAATAAATTCGGATCCATATCGGAAATATGAAAAATGTATGCAAAAAATATATGCATAAAATATGCAAAATATATGCGAACAACTGTAGGCTCTAATTTTTAATGCAGCCCTCTGGTATTCTAAGAAACCTTCAGGGCTAAAAACTATTCTGCCCCTCCTACTATTTTTGCCCCTTCTCGCCCACTCGTTGGAAATATAAATAGGGTTTCCTTAAATTGGGGAAAAATTTAGATATCTCAGAAATGACGAAAAGAAACAAACAATTTTCTTCGGGTAAATTAGGTTGGCTATGAAATGGTCAATAGTTGAGTTTATTTTATATTATGCAAATATGCAAAAAAAAAAATATGCCATTAATTTTAAACTATATTTTTATTGAAACGAACTTTGTTGTTTTCAGTATTGATATATCTTTATCCTATAAAAATATGCAAAATCCGAGGGGTACTCATCACCGATATATATTAACATATTATTCTTTATATTTTGTAGGTTACGGAAACGAACAAGCCGAAAGTAGTAGCCGTTTCAGCTCCAGGAACTCCGCCAAGCACGGCGCTGCTTGCTAAGAAGCCTTTGCAGCCCCTGCCATCTCAAGGGACCAGTTTAAAGCCATCTGTAACCCAGGCTGTGGTGGTGACACCGTCAGGTGGCAGTGATTCAACGGAAGGCGGCAAAATAGTTGTGGCAGCAACCAGCAGCGAAGCCAAGCCAACGGAGCAACAAGTGGTGGCTCAGACGACAGTGGCCTCTGCTGTTGTCACCACCGCTCCCAGCAGCAGTGGTTTGGTGGTCAGTCAAAGTGTCTACGCTGCGCCAGCTCCCAATGGCAGTCCCACGCCCTCCGCCATGCCCGTGGACGCCAACTGGTTGTTCATTTGCGACTGGCGGAATTGTCCTCGCAAGAAATTCAAGTCTCTCAACGAGCTCAAGTATCATGTGTGCAATGTCCATTGTCCGGATCATTTGGACTCGGATGCCGACATTTACTGTCAGTGGGGAAGTGGGCCCACCTTCTGCGACAACAGGGCGCGCAAACGCTACTCACTGATGACGCATCTGATCGATCGGCATATGACCATGGAGAATCTGCGCGCCAGTGTGCAGCGGCGCTTGGCCACCGGCATTCATAATGTGGCGCCGACGCAGCCGCCCGTTACCATAGTGCGCAATGAGGGGCACGCCCAACGACTGGCGGCGGGACAGGCTGCTGGTCCGTCCGCGGGTCCTGCTCCTCCGGCTCCTGTGGTGGGCAGCGCCGCGATGCAGGCCATGAGCCGGCACACCACCGATTACACGAACTCTAGGGAGATGTTGGACGAAACCGAGGGTCCCGTCACCAAGAGCATCCGACTAACGGCGGCTCTGATTATACGCAACCTCGTCACCTACTCGTCTACGGCCAAGCGAACATTAAAGCGCTATGAACCCCACCTGGCCAATGTGGCCCTGAGCAATGTGGAGGCCAGCGGAGTGCTCTCCCACATCATGTACGAGCTGAGCCAATAATAATAATTAATTATACTGACCTGTAATAACGACACTATAAATTGTGAAAAAATCATACCATATTTGTCTAAATGATAACTTAAACTTTCATATTATCAAGAAAGTAAGGTAATATTCGGGAAATTGCTATTGTCTGTTTCTCTTGCTGCGAATAAATGTTGTGAATGTTTTTTAAATGTATACCTTTTTGGGTAGAAACAGACTAAATGTATCTATATTTGCAAGTATTAAAATCGTAACTTTTCTATATATACTATTTTGCTACTGACGATGAAAAACTTTGATTTAATACAAGTTTAAAGAATTTTTTAGGAGTGTTATTGGTTTATTAAGTGTTTATAACCTTCTTGATAAGACATAAGTTTTCATATCTGTTTTTTAATTGGTTTTACTGGTTTAAACAATCATAAAAACTTAAGTCACACAAAGAAACCATTCTTATCGACTAACATATGGTACAAGTACAGGACAAAACAGGTATTATCATACGATAGCTTTTCCGTTTTTCAAGAAATTATCATCATCCACGATCGTGTAGCGGTTGCTTCTGTACGTATCCAATTCGAAAATGTACTTCTTGCCGCAGTCCTTCATCAGCTTGTGGATGACTGGTTTGATATTCTCGATGCCCGCCAGATTGGCCAGTTCATTGTAGTAAACAAACTAAAAGTTTAGGTTGTTAGTAAGATATAAGATTTGATCTATGTGACATATCCGGTACTTGGGGAGTTTTGATTCCCCTTTTAGTGCTTAGCAAATATTCACCTGTCGTTCTCCCATCTGATGTGCCTTCTTGTGGTTGTGGACGCCGCAGCCCCATCGCTCTCCGATTTCCTGCTCCAGCTCGGCGATCATCTGCTCCCGCGAGGGGAACTCCCGCTGGCCCGTGAAGAACTTGAGCGTGAAGCGGACCTGCATGTCGAAAATGTGGGTGGGTATCACGTTGAAGGGCAGTCCCACAAAGGCCATGGTCGGGTGATTGATGTTGATGCAGTGCTTCCACAGTGGCTGGACGAAGTTGTCTATCACCTGGATGCCCACATCGGTGCTGAGACAGGGGAATGTGTACTTGTAGCCGGTGCAGAACATCACATGGTCGAAGCTCTCCGTGCTGCCGTCCGTGAAGACGGCTCCATCCTGAGTGAAGCGTTGCACGTCCGGTTTCTGTGTGACATTGCCCATGAAAGCTGTGTTGGGAGTGGTGGACAGGTGGTGGCTGAGGAACACCTGCTTGGCGGTTATGCGAACGTGGTTGGTGATGTCCATTCCGCTGGGACCAGCGCCAATGATCAAAACACGCTCGTCTGTGGGGGTAATAAGTCGATTACATTCATTAATCAGATTATAGTTATTTTTAATAATTAGTATTATGATGTTAATGAAGAATTTAGTAAAGTTTTATAATATTATTAAATTAGAATGTAAAACTAGGAATATCAGTAAACACGAAATACATTTTTGATCGAAGGCAACAGTACGTATGAGTGATAAACTTGGTAATTTCTATAGGGTGCCTTAGATAGGATCCTAAAAAGTTTCTTACTTTCTTAAATTCGTACGATAAAATGATTGCTTTAGCTTGCTTGGGAAATATTCATAACTTGTATAATTATTTTTCTTTTTACATTCCGTATGGTAAACAAAAGGTGGTAATGGTATAATTAGCGCCTTAAGATTTCCACCAAAATGTTCGCTATTATTAATAATTAGTATTATGATGTTACTGAAGAATTTAATGGAATTTTACAAAATTATTAAATTAGAATATAAGACTAGGAATATCAAAGGCAACAGTACGTATGAGTGATAAGCTTGAAAATTTCTACTGGAGTGCCTTAGATAATATCCTAAAAAGTTTCATACTTTCTTATATTCATCGAATCATTGCATTAGCTTTCTTGGGAAATATGCAACTTTTGTATAATTATTTTGCTTTTTACATTCCGTATGGTAAACAAAAGGTGGTAATGGTATAATTAGCGCTTTAAGATTTCCACCAAAATGTTCGCCATTTTTAATAATTAGTATTATGGTGTTACTGAAGAATTTAATCGAATTTTAAAAAATTATTTAATTAGAATATAAGACTAGGAATATCAGTAAAAACTAAATATATTTTGATCAAAGGCAACAGTACGTATGAGTGATAAGCTTGAAAATTTCTATTGGAGTGCCTTAGATAGTATCCTAAAAAGTTTCATAATTTCTTAAATTCATCGAATCGTACGATTAGGCTTTCTTGGGAAATATGCATAACTTGTATAATCATTTTTCTTTTCACATTCCGTATGGTAAATAGAAGGTGGTAATGGTATAATTAGCGCCTTAAGATTTCCACCAAAATGTTCGCTATCAGCACAGAAACACGTGCAACGCGCGCTTTAAATTGGCACAGACCCTCAACACTTGTTATTATTATGTCACTCGGCCGTCAACAATATTATCTGCTGTCGAGGGTGCTCCAATTATTTATGAGGAATAACAGAAGTGGGACTCTGGCCAGACGACCGCGTTGGTTGCCAAGTCCCGGAGCTTTGGTTTCGGCAGACTGATGCGCTGATAGATACAGGTATTCTTATCTCACCCTTAAACTTATCTGCCTTGCGGTACAGGTGGCTGTGCATCGTCTTGCCCTCGAAAAGGTCCAATCCCTCGACACTGGGAATGTCCGGTTCCGTGTAGTGTCCATTACATACGTACACAAAGTCGTAGTAGACTGGGTCGCAGGTATCCGTGCTGTGGTCCCACACATAGACCTAAAAAAAGAGGGCCCCCGTAATATCAATCAGTATTTCGTCAGTCACATTGTAAGCTCAAGATCCGTATGAGCGGTGAATAACAAGTCGCAGTGATTGAGACACCAAAAAACAAACTGGTTCGAAAATACATATATGTAAGTGACGTCGCTACCAACCTCCCAGTCGTCCAAGCGAGGACGCACTCTTATCACCTCGTGCTGCAGCTTGATATGAGGCTTCAGCTTAAAGTGTTCCGCATAGGAGCGCAGAAATTCCAGCACCTGATTGGAGGTGATGAAGGATTCGGCTATGTCGTCGGGGTACGAGTAGTCCGGATAGCCCATGACCTCCTTGGGCAAATTGGTGCTGCAAGCCAAGTCGCAAAATCAGTCATCTTTCTACAATTTTCATTCCAATTTACTTACCGCAGTCCCTCGTACATACTACTGTGCACCTCGTCGTACTCGTCCTTGGGCATTTTGTCGGAGAAAATCCAGGTTCCCCCGATTTCGGCTCCCCGCTCGTAGGCCACCGCATCGAGGCCTGCTTCCAGGGAGTTCTTCAGGGCGCACAGACCCGCTGTTCCAGCTGAAATTTAAAGTCAGCGAAGCACTTTTAAAGAGAATATATGTACATCACCTCCTATTACGCAAACGCGACGCTTCTGGTCCAATGGAGTTTTCATCATTTTGGGATATTCCTAAAAACGGTAGCCTAGTTTCGAAATTGCTTGTCTCTTCAGCAACACGTCGCTTCGCCTCTGCGACTGACCAACGACTAACCGAGGGGCTCGAGCTCCCACAGATATAATAGACCCGGGAAGGCGTCACGATGTGCGCTACAGTCGAGTAGGATAGGTTGTTTACGCGCCCGGTGCAACTGATAAGTTGATTCCCAAATGGTAGTATAAGGAAGGGGACTTCGCAAGGCGGCTTCATCCACCGCTGTCGCCTTATCATTAGCGGTTGCCGGTGACATAACAGCGACGCTCGCATCGCCATCGGCCGTTCTGTAAGCGTCTGGGATCGTCAACAGATCGGAATTACAGTCAAACCCCACTAACATAGAATCGCAAAAAGCCTTGTCGATCTCACAATTACTTATTAACCCCAAAATTAATTTTCTAGTTTTAGGTTTGATATGAGTCACTTCCAGAACAAAAGTAAAAAGAAACAGTAGTTAAATGAAAAAGATTATGGATTTCTATTTAATTTCAGTTATATTTACTAGATTAAAAATGAAAGGGAAAAGATTATGAATTTCTGGTAAATTTAAGTCAAAGTACATAGGTGATTATGAATTTACTGTAGAATATAAACGGAAAGTCTAGAAAACACAAGAAAAGGGTATACATTTTCCATGCTAAGTAAAATCAAAGTGCTAGCCTTAGGCATTCATCCATAATAATCTTTTATCATAATATTGATTTAAATATTTTTTAATACTACAATTTCAATCATGTTTTATAGGTTATATTCTTTGAACTGATTTTTATTTTGAGAATTGTGACTGTAAGCCATGAACATCTGGCTGCTGGACGACGTAGGAACCGATCCCAAGCTCATAACGAACGCTCTGATAACACTATCACTTGAGATTCGGCGGAGATTTATACCCCCTTACCCGGAGTCACTGTGTCAATTCAGTTTAACAGCCTATTTGAGCTTTTAATTATCAGCCGGCCGCACCAATACAACAGCGAGTATTGAATATCATCAGCGACGGGAATATAATTAATTTCATTCAATTACAAAAACATTGCCGAGGGCAACATTGTAGCAGCGAAGCCTATGGAAAATTCTTTGCTGGGGGTGTGAATAGGGGTTGGCAGGGGGAAGGGCCACATTCCTAGAAACGGGTGTGAGGAAGCCAAGTAATAGATGTTTCTAAGGCAGTGATAATGGAATTGATTGGGTCGATACTCAACTGGAATCGCATTCAACATAAGCATGCTTTGACAGCTCCCCGTTGTTAATCAAGATCAAATTGAGCTGGAGTGTTTATACTTCACGCTTCTTGGCAACCACCCACTTTAATCTCGTTTTGATATGATATTTCTTAGCTGTTTGCTATGCAAATAATAGAAATTTCCTGTGTTCATGACTGGGTTAAATAGATCGCAAATAATTTAACGCAAAGTTACCTAAGTACAAACGAAACTCCCAGTTTTGCCAACTAGTTGGTGCTGGTGGTCAAAGATATACTTTATTTGGCATAATTATTTAAAATTGTCCTTAGATTAGGTGTTTTTCTTCTATTTTACTTCTAGATTTTTTTTACAGGAATGTTAGCCATTCGATAAAGGACAGAATTCTTATTAAAATGAACTTGGTATGACGTTGTTTCGGACGAACTTCCGTTTTTTTAAGCAAAATTATCTTTTGGTAATTTTTTGATTTTTTATGAGGGGATATGTTAATTAGTTTTTTATGCTTAAATGTTTGACATTATTTTTGAAACGATATGATACATATAAAAATCAATGAGAGAAAATGTTTGGTACTAACGCTTTGGTTTATCTTCACCTCATTTTTGAGTATGCTGAACATAAGTTAAAATAAACTATACTAACGTAAGAATATATATATATATATATATATATATATATATATATATATGTAGAAGTATGCTTCCTTTCTTGTTTATCACAATTTTAAAGCTTTCTAAGAAGTGTTTCCGGCCCGGATTGTGGTTTTGGAGAATTCTCGCTGAATAAGACAGCTTAAAATTTAATGTTAAATTATTAAGCAGTAAAGGCTAGAGTTGTGCAAGCAGCGTAATTCATTTCACTGCAGGTCTTCGTTGAGTAACAACCCGCAGAGATGAAGAATTTTTTTTAAGGATAATTAACATAAAATAGTGTTTTATAATAAAAAGTACCATTTTTTGCGTGATATAAAAATGTTTTGTATCCTTTTCCTTGTCATTTTCGCTTTGCAATATCAAAGCGAAGCATTTAACCTTTCGCCCTATCCGAACTTAGTGGTAAAATACCCAGAACACTTAAAGCAAAATCGGAGCTCGTACTTTGGATATTCGCTCGTCATTCGGACTAACAGGTAAGTTGTAAGATTCGGGCAGTGATTCAATGAGCCTATAATAATAAAAGGTTTATACTCATATTCGCAAAATAAAAAGTGCCAAATTTATTTTATAAAATTAAAAAATGAATGCAAAGACTTTGTGCCGCATATAATCTTATTGAATTGGTTTTATATCAAATTTATATTAAAAACTGTCGAAATCGTAAAAAAAAAAAAAATGTATATCATAAACATTATTTGATTTAATTGAAAGGATATATATGGCTGGTCGAAATTATTTTCCTTCCCTATTGTACTTAGTTATCCCTACAAAACACCGAAATCTAAAACCACTATTGTTTTTTATTTTTTATTAATTTGGCATGGCAGTATTATAGTGGCAGCTCCTCGTGCTAATTCCCCCGCTCAGTTAGAAATCATTGAGCCTGGGATGATCTTTAAGTGCTCCCTTGCAGACGGCCACTGCGATTCGTATGACATAGATCCAAGCCCCAATGTATATCAAAAAGCAGGGGAAAACATTTTAAAGGCTGAGGGCAGGGACTATCAGTGGCTGGGAGGATCGATGGACGGCGGGACCAGGGATGAGGATAATCTCGTTGTGTGTGCTCCGCGATTTTACAGTCTAAAAGAGGAGGTTTACGATGGATGGTTAGATGAGCCTGTAACAGAATCAGAGAAAAAACAGATCTCCATGATTGGAACCTGCTACACGGTGAAGGACACAACTAAACCGCGGACCGGCATTCGTATCAATCCATTCACCCGTAAATATAGGCAGACCCATGAAATGGAAAACAATAGAACAGAACCCTTCTATCAAATGGGTGAACTAGGACTGAGTGCTCATGTGACGAAGAACTCCACGATTCTGATGGGAGCACCCGGAATCGATGTATTTAAGGGGACGGTGTTTTTAATGCAGAAAAATCAAAACGGAGGAGCGAGACCATCGTCACTAAGGCTTAAGAGAGAAGTATCCGAGCCAAATAAATGGGGCCAGGAGGAGGGCTCATACTTTGGCTATGCCGTTAGCTCTGGCTACTTTGACAGTTCGAAGCCGGACAACCTCCTCTACGTGGGCACCGCTCCTCATGCCAATAAAAATTTAGGAGAGGCCTACATCTTTGAATATCGAGATCTAGGAAAGAACATCCAAAAGCTCTACGTCTTCAATGGCACGCAGTTTGGCGAATACTTCGGCTACTCCGTTTTGGCGGAGGATCTCAATGGAGACGGAATGACGGACGTCATCATATCAGCACCCCAGTATGTTCCGGATATGCTTTCCCACGACAACGGTGCCATCTATGTGTTTATCAACCGAGGCTCTGTGAGTAATAAATTTAAACTGAAGTTTAAGTGGCTGACTAATGCCGCATTATTCTTGCAGTTTGTGTTTGACCGGGCGGTTATTTCTTCGCCAGCGGGCAGTAAGGGCCGATTTGGAACTACCCTATCGCCAATAGGCGATATCAACCGAGATGGATACAATGGTATGTTATTAAGACACCTAGTTACCATTTTAGGTGTATATAAATATAAGATTAATATTGCATTCTTCTACAGATGTGGCCGTGGGAGCTCCCTTTGCCGGAAACGGTGCGGTGTTTATTTACCTGGGTAGCGAACACGGATTAAGGAAAGAGCCTAGTCAGCGATTGAATGCTCCTCTCCATCATACTTCCAAGTTAGGATCACATTTAGAAATGTTTGGTCATGGCTTATCCCGCGGATCGGATATAGACAAAAACGGGTTCAACGACTTTGCCATCGGAGCTCCCAATGAGGAGGTTACTTATCTGTACAAGGCATATCCTGTTGTAAAGGTAATAGCAACAGTAGAACCTACAAGACATCGGATTGAACCGGAGCAAGACAAGCTGAATATAACCGCCTGCTACAAGCTGACTACCTCATCCACGATAAAGGAGGTACAGGAGCAGGAGTTAGACATCCGGATTGAGCTCGACGCGGGAAAGGGTAGTTTCAACAAGAGTATTTGGATCCACTTCTCGGATACTGCGGGTCTCGAAGAAAAGTGCACGAAACACGAAATTGAAATGACACCAGAAGCTAAGTTCGACAACATTACGATGAAGATGCACTACGAGCTAAAGAAAAAGATTCCGGAAAATCCAGAAGAAATTGATGAACCCATAACAGAGTTCTGCGAAGACTGTGCGGTTCTTGATCCGGCAGAACCAAAGTTTTCCACAGGGAATATCACCTTTAGCACTGGCTGTTTCAATGATACTTGCGTGGCTGATCTGAAGCTAAGGATCTCATATGCAAGGTAAGGAAATATATGAGTGTTCTGTTCTTATACCCTAAGAAAAGGTCGTTTAATTTTGACCCGAAGTTTGTAACACAGCGAAGAAGTATATGTATGTACTTAATATATACTTACTTACTTACAAGACGGAGTAAATATTTTAACACCAATTTTAATCTTTTTACTTTTTTTCTCATTTGAAATATCTGCAGTTTTTTTTACAAAAGTATTTATTTTTCTCCCAGCTCCGAATTTATTTTGGGTTCTTCCGACACCCTACGTTTGAGGTACGACATCATCAACGATGGGGAGGACGCTTTCCAGCCGCTATTCAAGGTGTTCAGCACTCCCAGCCTGGATTTCGCTCAGATTCCGGGTAACTGCGAGGTTGCCAAAGGCGTCATGTTGTGCGACCTGAACAATGGATTTCGGCTGGGCAAATCCCTATCCACCTACGTCGATGTATTTTTCGATGTTAGCCAGTTGGGAGGACAGTCACTGGCCATCGACGCAACAGTTTCCAGTGCCCTAAGCGAGTTGAATCCCAAGGATAACAATATAATCACAGTGATCAGCCTCAAGGAGAATTCTGAAATCGATGTCATTGGGTAAGTAAAAAAAGTGACTGTAAATTTTTAAAACATTCCAAAACTTTGATTAATTTTCAGAGTTCAGAAGAATGATCAAATTGTTCTTAAAGAGGATCCTTACACCGCGGAACTCATGAACCAATACGAGATCATGAGCCACGGTCCAAGTACAATAGAAAAGTTAAATGTGTCACTTTATATTCCCGTGGCTTATAAGACGACTGATTCTAAAACTATTCCCATCATGAATATATCCAGCATTCAAATACAGGCCAGCTACACGCCTGATTCTAAGCCACTCAGGATCGATCTTTTTAATCAGTTTAATGAACTGGTCAAGGTCTTCACGGAATCCTATAGGCAAACCTCCTTATCGACGACTAGAAAGCGTAGGAATGCCGAAGCTCTGAATGGCCTCAACGAAAATTCCACAATATTAAGTGTCCAGACTGAAGAACTGTTGGAAGAAGACCTTCCGAAGGACAACACCATTGTGTTTAATTGCCAGGATATCGAAAATACGGCATGCGTTCGGATCGAAATGAGGGTAGATCTAAAGCCCGATAAACCAATTAATCTAAACATAAGCTTCAATGTGGATCTGAGGGACATGGAGGGTTCCTGGAACTACTTTGTCTTCAAGACCGACATGAATCTGCTTAAGATGGGTGATTCCACCTTGACTTCTCTGTTTGTACATAAAAAAATCAAATCGAATATTATATTTAGAAATGGAATGGACATCTGGCAAATAATTTTGTCAGTGTTGGAAGGCTTTCATCGAGAGACTAAACTGCACGTCTGGCAATTAATGTTGTCCATATTGGTGGGTTTGCTTCTGCTTTCTGCAATAACATTTATACTTTACAAGGTTCGTATTAGGTTATATAAAATAGATATTTTTTACGAAAAATTTTATTTATTCCGCAGTTTGGATTCTTCAAACGACCCATAAGGGAAAAATTGAACAGGATGATTGAACAGATATCCTCCGAGATTGAGATGCAAAACCTTTAAAAAACTACATCGCTTGAGGATTGTTACCGATTTCCCTGGTTCAAAAACCAATAACAACCCCGCTGACACAAACAAACATGACTCGAAAATGTAATTCATTCCTTCTTGAATATGAGTTTAAAAATAAAGTTAAATTACAAGTTTGCGTTTATAACTAAATTATATTTTATGGAATCTGTATAACTACATTTTATGGCTTTTTCTTTAAAATAGTTTTATGAAATTGTTTGTTGTTATTTGACTAGAAGATGGTTTCCGAGATCTTAGCGTTCAGCCAGACAGACTCGGAATGTGATGCATGTAATACATAATTCCCGACGAATATAATGTAACCTTTTATTCGAAGAGTATCAGGTATAAAATATATAAGGTATTGTCATTCTCATAAATATTAATATCCGTTTCAACCATGACTTTAGATTCGCTAAATAATAAATGTCTTGAATGAATAATCTGAGCCACAAATTCTTTAATGCAACAATCAGTCTAGAGCGATCATAAATTATTTTGTATCAGCGCTGATACAATTTACTGTCGGTCAGATTGTGGCTTTCATTCATTATTTTCTTTTATTCTGCATTACTTTGGAAATTTGTACAACCTACAACCTATTATATATAGCCAAGTTAATATATCAAGTAATCATTTGAATCATCAAAAGATTTAGCAAAAAGAGTTTATATTTTAATGGACCAAATAGCCAAAATAAAAATAAACCCCAATTATACCAAAGGAGCTACACTATACAAGCAACAGGTTTAGCCTTGTTTAGATAAAGGACGTATTACAAACTTGACAGCAATCCAATTCCTAAGTGAATGTCATAATTTCACCAAAGACTCGCTTCCTCCACGCTTATCAGCCGACGAAACTTGTCATGCCAAAAATGGACATAATATACAGCCCTCCGTTTTTACAGGCACCGAACAGAAGTTCTTCGGCCTGATAAGAAAAGGTTTTTGGTATAAAAGGGCGGACAGACTCTGGGAAAACCATGAGTTGTAAGACCTGTCCAAGATGAAACTGTTCGTACTCCTGGCTCTGGCCGTGGCCGCAGCCACCGCCCTGCCCGCCCCCTCTGCCGAGCAGAAGCTGACTCCCGTGCCCGTCAAGGACATCCAGGGTCGCATCACCAACGGCTACCCAGCCTACGAGGGCAAGGTGCCCTACATCGTGGGCCTGAGCTTCAGCGGCAACGGAGGCAACTGGTGGTGCGGAGGCTCCATCATCGGCAACACCTGGGTCCTGACCGCGGCCCACTGCACCAACAACGCCAACGGAGTGACCATCAACTACGGAGCCAGCATCCGCACCCAGCCGCAGTACTCCCACTGGGTGGGCGGTGGCAACATCATCCAGCACCACCACTTCAACAGCGGCAACCTGCACAACGACATCTCGCTGATCCGCACCCCGCACGTGGACTTCTGGCACCTGGTCAACAGGGTGGAGCTGCCCAGCTTCAACGACCGCTACCAGGACTACGCCGGCTGGTGGGCCGTGGCCTCCGGATGGGGCGGCACCTACGACGGAAGCCCACTCCCCGACTGGCTCCAGGCCGTCGATGTCCAGATCATGTCCCAGAGCGACTGCAGCCGCTCCTGGTCCCTGCACGAGAACATGATCTGCATCAACACCAACGGAGGCAAGTCGACCTGCGGAGGCGACTCCGGCGGTCCTCTGGTCACACACGAGGGCAACCGCCTGGTCGGAGTGACCTCCTTCGGCTCCGGAGCCGGCTGCCAGGCCGGACACCCCGCCGTCTTCAGCCGCGTCACCGGATACCTCGACTGGATCCGCGACAACACCGGCATCTCCTATTGAGAGCCCTGAGTTTTTCCCTGTTTTGTGGCTTTTTTTTCGAAATATATATAAAAAGTTTCAAAAAAAGCTAGTTCCAACCACCAGTTGGGTTTCTTGGCATCCTGTTCCTGTTCCAGTGTGTTGATGGGGATGTGGATGGCCAAAACGTAACGAGGTAACTGGGAATTAATTTTTGTATACTGGGTACCACAAAAACCGGTAAGTCCTTAAGCGAGGTTTTTAAATTTTACTCAGCTTCAAAGCATGCCGATTTCAGTAACTTTAGTTCCGCTAAGCTAAAACAAGAAGGATCGCTATAGTCGGGTTGGTGTCCCGACTATCTAATACCCGACACTCAGCTAAAGGGAGTGCGAGGGAGATGGATACATATAATTTTTTTGATTGCGCATAACTTTCTATTGAATGGTCCGATTTGAAAAATGTCTTCTACATTTCGATAGGTATAAATATACACAACAAAATTGCATGTATACTTTTCGGAAATCTTTAAAGATGTGGCCTACAGACACATTTTAAAATCGTTAGTGGTCGATTGTGGGCGTTAGAGGGAGCGTGGCGCTCGGCTGAAATAAACTTGCGCTGCGTAGGAGGCCCAAGAATATGTGTGGAAAATCTCAACCTTCCAGCTTTTGTAGTTTCCGAGATCTCAGCGGTTATCCAGACGGACAGACAGACGGGCATGGCTAGATCGACACGGCTAGTGACCCTGATCAAGAATATATATACTTTTAAACGCGGACGAAGTATCTTAGGGAAAGCTAGTATAAAATGGGTTTCATACAAATCAACTATTTGCTTATCACTTATTTAGGGTGTAATTGCGTAAATAACAAAATGAAAGTAGCAGAAAGCAGATTAATACTAAACACAATCTATTTTCCACAATTTTCAAATTGCTATTAGCATATAGAAAGCAACACGTTAACACTTTGACTTCTTTTAACACCTTAACTCTTTTTAAAGAAGATTTATTTACACCGAATGTAAAATATTTTTTTATGGAAGCACATCATTATTCTATTGACAACTTTTATGAGTACACTTCTTGATGCGACGACTATCAGCTTTGAAGTGAAGGATATACCCCAAGCTAGCGCTTATATAGCAAGAGCACATACACTCTGAGAAAATTGTGAAAACCATTTCAGAAATTCAAAGAAATTAGTGCACTTATGAATGTCTTTTCTGATCTCAAAATCTTAAAGCAAAACTATTCTTTGGGCTTTCAACAGCAAGTAAGAAACGATAAATTTAAATTATAGGGGGATTTAACTTAATAATAAATTTATTTAAGTGCGTTTTGTCACTTGCTTACTTGCTACCTTATCCTTCTTTTCCTTTGCAAATTCACTGAACCAAGCTTCAAAGTAGCTTTGTTGCCTGAAAAATGTCACGCCTACTTTGCGTGGTCCTGCTTGATCCATGAGGACCAACTGCACTATGACAAAGGAATCAAAAAGCTTGACGCCTTTTTGTATGTGTTATGCAAACACCTATCCTCTCTAAACGCAGCTTATCGAAGAGAAGAAAACTGAATAGTGAATAGTATAACAATTAAAAAAGTAATTATTTAATTTAATTATTTATCAAATAAAAACACCTCTTAACGAGGTAAAAAACTAGTGACGATCGCACCTTCAACGTACAAAAGTTCTGATATCAACTTTTGTGACGAAAAATAATTTTAGATGCGACTAAATAAGTACGCTACCTAAAATTTACTCGTTCGGCCCGCTTTAGCAAATATTTAATATCTACACGAATGTTTTTCTGTTTTAGCGTGCCGAATGAATAAATTTTAGGTAGCGTACTTATTTAGTCGCATCTAAAATTATTTTTCGTCACAAAAGTTGATATCAGAACTTTTGTACGTTGAAGGTGCGATCGTCACTAGTTTTTTACCTCGTTAAGAGGTGTTTTTATTTGATATCAGAAGTTTTTGTTTGTTTACTTTTGCTCTCATAGGTGCTAATATAAACATTTAAATTTAAATTGGTCATAAATCATAATTCTTAAACTATTGTATTTTAACGAATTAAGTTAAAAAGGCGTTGAAGTATTTCAAAATACCTTTTAAACGAGGTATAGCACATGTCTGTACCTTTAGTAGTGTAGAACTTAAAAACTAACGAAATTTAGCCATTTTTAGCTATTTTCCCGCTAAAGTAGCGGCTTTTTCCAAAAGTCGTAGAACAAAAGATTCCTATATGGAACTCTTAAGTGCAAATTTACTGATTCCATGACCCTAAAATACAGTTCGGATACCCTCCCACAAAATTCAATACTCAGGGAGCGTTAATTGTTCGAGCTGGCAAAAGTGGCTATTTTCGTATAAAAATAACTTTTAAACGTGACTTTTTACAGTAATGTGTTATATACCAAAATTTAAGGAATCTCAAGGGCTATACAGTTTAAGGTTTTAAAGAAAATCGTTAGAGCCGTTTTTGAGAAAAATAAAAAAAGCTAAAAAAAAAGTTTTAAAAAATTGTCTTTTGTTCATATTTTTTTAATTATTACATTTACACAAATTGCATATAGAAGGCGTTTATAGCATTTAAAAATACCTTTCAAACGAGATGCAGCACAAGTCTGTAGCTTTAGTAGTATAGAAGTTACGGCTTTCCGATTTTTAGCTATTTATAGCTGTTTTCCCGCTAAACTAGCGAGTTTTTCCAAAAGTGGTAGAACAAAAGTTTTTTATATCGATGTGATGAACGTCATATAAAATTTTCAAAACTTAAAAAACATGTTTTGGACAAGTGGACAAGTGGACAAGTGGACAAACAGAAATTAATTTTCATTTTTGGAAGAAGAAGAAAATCATATTTTGGCTATAACTTTTGAACGGAGAGTCGGATTTTGACAAATGATCCCTCATTCGACGGGTATTTTCAAGAGGAATACAACTAAAACATTGCGAGGGGGCATTTATCCCCACCGGCCCCAACAGCTCCAAATTTCGAAATTTTCAATTTTTCACTTTCACCGCTCTCTCTCCCAAGCCAATTGATTTTCTTAAAGTCTTGGTATGCAATCCTTTAAGTTTTTGCAATACCTTTCGATTGGTGTATTACTCATTACGATCGGACTATCACTGCCGATTTTCAATTTTGCGGCTATATAATAGTAGTCGCCTTCGCACACTCTCCTGGTGCGCTTCGTCACTACATGGACTGCCGTCCATAGTGATTTAATTTGTTTTCATTTATTTTGTTGTTTCGTCTTTTTGGTCTTAATATATTAATACCACAATTAAAATTTTATCACAACTATTTATTTTTCGTCATGCGTTTTGTTGTTTTAAGATACAGTTTCAAATTGTAGATCAACTATTTCTCTTAACTTAGGGAGGCTATAGTGTCCGCCCCATAATCTCTGGGTCGTGAGCTGAAATCCCAGTTTTACAATCGAGTTTTTTAAGCTTCATTTTTCTATTGTTTTTCGATCGAGCATTCCTAGCGGCACGAAACTGGCAAAAAATTATCTCCATTATATCACAATTTTTCATCACCAATATCAATATCCGATATCATCACCAAGAAGAGAAAAATTCATCAATTTTTATCAGTAAATCATTGCCTCTTTTATCAGCTTACATTTTTCTAAGTGCGTTATATCAACACTTACCATATCCCTTAGTATGAAACCAAACTTCAAAGTAGCGTTGTTGCCAGAAAAATGCAACGCCTACTTTGCGTGGTCCAGCTTGATCCAGAAGGACCAACTGCACTTTGACAAAGCAAACAAAAAGCTTGAAGCCTTTTTATTGCGTTATGCAAACACCTATCGTTTTTAAACACAGCCTATTGAAGAGTAGTAGTGGCGGATTTTTCTTAGCAAAATCCAAACTATTGGAACTTTGAAATACATGAATAGTGGTATCTGTCGCATCCACATCCCCATCAACACACTGGAACAGGAACAGGATGCCAAAAAACCCAACTGGTGGCTGGAACGAGCTTTTCTTGAAACTTTTTATATATATTTCGAAAAAAAAGCCACAAAACAGGGAAAAACTCAGGGCTCTCAATAGGAGATGCCGGTGTTGTCGCGGATCCAGTCGAGGTATCCGGTGACGCGGCTGAAGACGGCGGGGTGTCCGGCCTGGCAGCCGGCTCCGGAGCCGAAGGAGGTCACTCCGACCAGGCGGTTGCCCTCGTGTGTGACCAGAGGACCGCCGGAGTCGCCTCCGCAGGTCGACTTGCCTCCGTTGGTGTTGATGCAGATCATGTTCTCGTGCAGGGACCAGGAGCGGCTGCAGTCGCTCTGGGACATGATCTGGACATCGACGGCCTGGAGCCAGTCGGGGAGTGGGCTTCCGTCGTAGGTGCCGCCCCATCCGGAGGCCACGGCCCACCAGCCGGCGTAGTCCTGGTAGCGGTCGTTGAAGCTGGGCAGCTCCACCCTGTTGACCAGGTGCCAGAAGTCCACGTGCGGGGTGCGGATCAGCGAGATGTCGTTGTGCAGGTTGCCGCTGTTGAAGTGGTGGTGCTGGATGATGTTGCCACCGCCCACCCAGTGGGAGTACTGCGGCTGGGTGCGGATGCTGGCTCCGTAGTTGATGGTCACTCCGTTGGCGTTGTTGGTGCAGTGGGCCGCGGTCAGGACCCAGGTGTTGCCGATGATGGAGCCTCCGCACCACCAGTTGCCTCCGTTGCCGCTGAAGCTCAGGCCCACGATGTAGGGCACCTTGCCCTCGTAGGCTGGGTAGCCGTTGGTGATGCGACCCTGGATGTCCTTGACGGGCACGGGGGTCAGCTTCTGGGTCTGCTCGGCAGAGGGGGCGGGCAGGGCAGTGGCTGCGGCCACGGCCAGAGCCAGGAATACGAACAGTTTCATCTTGGACAGGTCTTACAACTCATGGTTTTCCCAGAGTCTGTCCGCCCTTTTATACCAAAAACCTTTTCTTATCAGGCCGAAGAACTTCTGTTCGGTGCCTGTAAAAACGGAGGGCTGTATATCATGTCCAGTTTTTGGCATGACAAGTTTGGTCAACTGATAAGCGCGGAGGAAGCGAGTGTTTGGTGAAATTATGACATTCACTTAGGAATTTGATTGCTGTCAAGTTTGTAATACGTCCTCTATCTAAACTTAGCTAGTCCTTTTAGTTGTTCAGCTCCTATTCCTATTTTTATTTCAAATATGTTTTCCAAGGTATTTGAATACAGTTTATATTTTTCTTTAAAACTAGTTTTTAGCGTTTACTTAATTGAACTAAGCATTTGATTTAATGATAAAATTTGGATTCGTGTAAATAAATTATGCGGCTTAAAATCGAATATTTAAAATAGTTTAAAAAAATAGTTTACCCACAAGAACAATAAGAAAATTATAGATTATCTTATTTGTAAGAATCTGAACATGTTTTAATGGTCGCTATCAGAATCTGAAAATCAACCACATTTCAAATGGTGGCTTTTTAAATTGGCGCCGCGATCAGAAACTTAAACGTTGGTTTCCTGTGAGCCTCCTCCTTGATTCAGATGATCAGATTGGAAATTCTGAAAAAAAGGGAAATCTTCCGGGAAAACTCATGAATGACACATTGATTTCAGATTGCAACGCGATAGCAGGGACTCCGGAACTGGTTCGCTCCAACTGAACCGATATCGTTACTTTAAAATGGGCGGCACGATCGGTGAGCTTTTTTCGAAAGCTTTTATTTTCAATTCCTGATCTCTGGATCCGGAACCGGTTCGCTCCACCGGACCGTCACCGGAACCGGTTCGGAGCGAACCGCGGCTCGCGACACAACGCACAATCACAAAATCACAACCTCCAGCTCGCGAGAACGGGAGAACCGAGAACCCCTCGAACAGAACGTCGACCGGATCGTTTTCCCCACCTTCCACTTGCTAAACATTTCGCAGAGCTCTCGGTTAAAGGTTCAAAGTGATGTGAGGCGAAAAAACAACAAGTCAAGTCGAAAAAGAAAGCAAAGGCGCTGCGAAGCGGAGCGGCTGGGAATAAAATGAAACTGGGATCGCGGCACCAGTTTTTTTAGTGGTTTTCCTTTGTGCGTCTCGTTCGTGTTTGCTGCTCCCCGCTTTGCTCGCCCCTTTCGTCGCCGACTTTTATTTTGTTTTGCTTTTGCTTTTGCCCATTTTATCAGAATCGGAACCCAATCCGATTTCAATCCCATTTCAATTCCGATTTCAATCCCGACCACCTCCAAAAAAGCGCAAGGTGAGCTGATCACCGATCCGATCCGCTCCAAAACCGAGTGCATAGTGCATGCAAAGTCGCGAGGCTGCTGCGCTTTCGAAATTACACAACCCACATGGGGCAGCGCCAACAAAAGCCCCAGCAGCAGCAACAACAACAACAATAGCGGGCAGCCAAGCATTCTGCCACCGACCATGGCCCCCACCACCAGTCCGCCGCCCAAGCTGGCCAAGTTCAAGTCCTCGTCGCTGGACCACGAGATCTACACGGCGAATCGACGCGGCACCATTGCCACGGCCTCCAGCGACTGGAAGGCGCTCCGCGGAGGAGGGGGAGGAGGTGGCGGCCCTGGAACCCATCCCTCCAACGGACGTTCCCTTCACGCCGGCGGAGCCATGACCAGGGCCGCCTCCACATCCTCACTGGCCAGCAGCACGCGCACCATGACCAACTACCAGGAGTACAAGATGGAGATTATCAACCAGGTGAGCACCAGATGGCCTTTAAAAGGCGCCACTAAAGTCAGATTTAAGGATTTGAAGATAGATAGGGTTGAATGTAGCGTTTTTAAACCCCATAAAGTAATTATATTTTCTTGATCTGTCGAATTCAAATCTATTAATTCATTTTTGGCAGCTGACCTATACCCAAAAAAAAAAATCTATATGTAACGTAGATCGATGGTACATTATTTATTAATATTAATATTAATAAATATTAATTTGATATGTGGCCAGGTAAATTTGACCTGATCGAAAAGAGTATTTCATGTAAAAAAAATATTGGTTTTGCATGACCTCAAATTTACGAACGAATGAAGGTTTTTAAGCGTTTTGTTAGTTGTTTTGCCAAATTTCTAAAATATTATACATTTGAAGTCCCTTTATTCTATGAAGAAAAGTTTTTAATTTTATAAAAAACATAAGTAAAGAAATGTGTATACCACAAAAATAATCATATTTAATTTTAACAAGCTTTTGTCATGATGTACATACTTTTTTGCTTCGTCATAAAAATTACCCAAAAAAAATACATTTTTTAGAAGCTATTACAAATTATATATTTTTTCATCTAAAACTTTTATTAAATAAATAAAGAATGTTTGTTTTTTAATATCAACATCTAGAGGCCACCATATGAATAAATATTTAGTTATTGCTCACTGTTACCGATAATTGATAAGACTTTTGGGTGGGTCTGGAAACTTTACTTTTTTAATTTTTTATATTTTCTAAATCTTTTTAGTTTTATCTTTAAAAAAAAATATTATATAAAGAAACATTCAAAATCCCTGAAATTATTCACATTTTATAGTCTGAAAAGCCAACCATTCCAATCTTTAGCAAGTGCATAATAGTGAGAAACAGAAGCTGAACGCTAAAGCTGTTTAAATAAAATGCTGTATTTTGTGGACAAATTTTGAAATTACGATCACAACAAAACAAACAAAATTTCGGCAAACAGAACCTCGATTCTTATTTACTGTGCCAAAATGTTTGCGAAATTACCTAATTACGTGGTGGCTGCGATCGAGGACGATCCATTTGTATCTTCATATATATGTACATATATCATTTACCATTTGGGTCGCGGCTGTTACTGTCACAATTTAATTGATAAGGCAAATATTTTTTGTTTCGGTCATTCGTGTTTATCTCAGACTGATAAAAAGCTCCAATGCACGCACGTTTTCCTTCGCTTTGCTATGTAAAATATTTACCCGTCTCTGCTAGGTGAGCGAAATGTAAAGTGTTTATTTAATATATTTGCCTTTGTGGCTGCCTTTGCCGAGACTGATAACTATAATTTGTTGAGGAATTTTATTTTCTAAGCGCATTGCGGAAGTTGCTTCAAAATGCAGGGCCCAAGCTTATCAACAGGGGAAACAGTTGAGGATTTAGATGAGGCCATTGCCAAATATGTACGGTTCCTAAAAACAAAAGCACCTGGAAAAAGGGAAGAACCCCCAGGCGCCACGGGTAAAACAATTATAAACAACTATTCCAAAAATAAAGCGAGCACTCACACGATAATACCCGAAAGCCTCAAGTGATGAATTCATCGAACTCTGGCCGACAAAGTCAATTTTATGGTTTTCGGCCGGGCCAAACTGGCCAAAAGGTAAAAGTTGGGCGCACAAGTGTATTGCCATAACGAGATCAGGTAAACAAATTGACGGATTTATTGGTGCGGCCCGCGGGCAGGTGATCAATTCGCTGGGAGGCTGGACGGGTTCGGTTTCGGAATTGTCAAGACCCCAACCGCAAGGCCAGCTATTCGGATTCGCCATGGATTCGATCTCTTCGGCCTGGCCATGTCATAAGTCAAGTTGGCGCCAAAGTAGTTAATTGTCTGTTTACTTGCGACCAAGTCGTTGGCGTGACGAACGGTAATTGTGCGACATAAATTGGGGAGAGAAACGTTATAAAGCTAAATTGATCGGTCATGAGGGGGGATTTTTAATTGCGACAAATATTTAGCGTCTTATAGTTTCGCCTTAATTATTTCCCCCAGCACGTGCTGATTTTCCTCTTTTTGTTTAGAACCGCTTTTATTTTGTTTATTACCGCCAGTGCAGCCAGCAATTTTAGAGACTCTGTAAGAGGTGAGATTGAAATAGCCCAGGTGTCCGCGGAACTCTGCTGTAAATACGTAAATAGGTTCGCCGGAAATTTCGAGGCAGATATTGATTGAGTGCCCCGCCGATGTGCCAATATTGCCTGGCAATGATCAAAGCACAGCAGTTAATTTGATTGAACCTTTGGCTTTTTCGTTTTATTTCAGGGCAAATGCCTGTGCGGCCAATACATCAGAGCCCGGTTGCGACGGGCTGGAGTCCTTAACCGGAAGGTGACACAGCGGCTGCGCAACATCCTGGATCCCGGATCCTCGCACGTGGTCTATGAGGTTTTTCCCGCCCTGAATAGCGTGAGTAAAGGAGAGGCCTCTAAAGTGAATAAGCTACTGATGATAACCCAATTTAATCCACAGATGGGGGAGGAACTGGAGCGCATGCATCCGCGGGTATACACAAACATATCGCGCCAGCTGTCGAGGGCGCCGTTCGGTGAGCTGGAGGACGGCGACATGGCGCCCATGCTGCTCAACCTGGTGGCCAAGGATCTGTTCCGCTCCAGCATCACCTGGGGCAAGATAATCTCAATCTTCGCCGTCTGCGGCGGCTTCGCCATCGACTGCGTGCGCCAAGGTCACTTCGACTACCTGCAGTGCCTGATAGACGGGCTGGCTGAGATCATAGAGGACGACCTGGTCTACTGGCTGATCGACAACGGCGGCTGGCTGGGCCTGTCGCGGCACATCCGACCGCGGGTCGGCGAGTTCACGTTCCTGGGCTGGCTAACGCTGTTCGTGACCATCTCGGCGGGCGCCTATATGGTTTCGAACGTGTGTAGGCGCATCGGTGGCCACCTGTATTCGCTGATCTTCTAGAATTGCCCCGGAACGCTCCGTTTTAGATGTATATTCGTACCATTTAGTCAGTGAGAGCTTCGAATCATTCCTGCTTCCATGGACACCGAGTCGTGTAGTAGTCTGTAGTGCACCTTGTTTTAACTATAATATTGTTATCCTGTTTCTTCTCTTTGTACATACAAGGCTAACCTAGGCGCAATAAAGCGTGTGTTTAAAACTATTGGTTTGAATTTTGGCGCCAAAGCGGGGATGCCAGATGGGCCGAATAGTTACCGATAAGCCAACAGGTAGTTTTGCACGTTGGTTAACAGATTCCAGAAATTCAAATGAATTTTTGAATGTGAAAATTAAAAACCTTTACATTTTACATTCACATTTAAAGTGCAATAATCTTTTATACATTTGTTTGCCATTACACAAAGTGTATACTTACTCTTTCAGATTTGTTGTACAAAATGTAAATCAAACAAATCTAAATGATGAACATAAGTTAATATTATTACACCATTTACACTGTTCCATAGTTTAACCGTTTTATTGATATAATTTGAAAGTAATTATCTTGAAAGGCTTGCCACCTAGTCAAAACTTGAATATTCTGTGTCTGGTGGCAACGCTCTGACTTAGCCATCCATTTGTTGTGAATGGTCTATCCGTAATTATTTATTGTAAATAAAATAGGTTTCCAGCAAATAATGCCATGTCCTGTGAGTACTCCGTGTCCGTGGTCACGAGCGTTGTGTAACGTACATTTGCAGTGTCCAACCAGGCCGAGGAGACCAGTCCGGACGCCCACGTGGAGGAGGCAGCAGGTGCAGCCTTCCCCGGGGATGCAGCGCCCCAGGAGTTCCTCTACTGCGAGAGCTGCGGGAACGTTTACGGAGACGGCGAGGCGTACGCCAGGGATCACAGTGGGCAGCCCGGATCCTGCGGCGGCGTTAGTGAGGGACTGGCGTTCGTAGACGAGACGGCAAGAGACTACATTTTGGAGGAGGTCCACGAGGAAGACATCGTCGAGCCGGACGTGCCGCTCTGGGAGCTGGTGGAGGAAGTTCCGGCCACGGCGGAGCAGCATGAGTCCACCATGTCCGAACGCTACTTCTGCTACGACTGCCACAGCATTTTCGAGAACCGCAGCAGTGCCGAGGAGCACCTTTGTCCGCGGCCGGATTCCGGGGCAGGTTCCAGCCAGCCACTCAAGGCGGAGGCCCGTCCCCCAGTTCGTCGAAAGCTGGCCAGTGTTAGTGGCCAGAGGACGGGACCAAAAGACGCCATCTCCGCAATTAGCTGTGGGATCTGCAACACCGTTTTCAGTTCGGACAAGTTCCTAAAGTTCCACATGCGGATCCACGACAGTCGCGCCTCCAAGAGCATCCAGGAGGCCCTTCCCGTGGGCGCCCATCAGCAGTACAGCGAGCTGAATCAGTTCTACTGCGAGATCTGCAACAAGAGGTAGGTGTATTTGGCTAAGTTACCTAAAAGTAATATGAATTCATTATTTCTTTCCTTGCCAGCTTTGATGAGAACCTCTTGACGGTACACAAGCAGATGCACCAGCAGTCTAGCAACGAGATTATGTGCAGCATTTGCAACCGAAAGTTCGAGGACGACGTTACCTACCAGATGCACCAAAAGATCCACGAAAAGCCTCGCGAGACCGACGCATCCAGCCGATTGAGCCAGCGTCCTGGACAAGGCGACAACAAGGAGAAGCCCGGCTTTCCCTGCCAGTACTGCGAGCGCGTGTTCACCCGTCCCTTCGAGAAGGTCAAGCACGAACGCGTGCACACCGGCGAGAAGCCCTACGCCTGCGAGGTCTGCGGCAAGACCTTTCGCGTGTCCTATTCGCTGACCCTCCACCTGCGCACCCACACCAACATTCGACCGTATGTGTGCACGGTGTGCAACAAGCGGTGGGTACAGAATGAGATATCCCCATGCTTGAACTACAGATAAATTGTTATTTCAGGTTTAAATCGCATCAAGTGTACGCCCATCACCTGCGCATCCACAGTTCGGAGCGGCAGTTCACCTGCGACGCGTGCCCCAAGACCTTTCGCACCTCCGTGCAGCTGTACGCCCACAAGAACACCCACACCAAGCCGTACCAGTGCACCGTCTGCAATCGGCCCTTCTCCTCGCTGTACGCCGTCCGGAATCACATGGTGACGCACAAGGAGGACAAGGAAAAGGGAACTTCGAACTCCAAGAACGGAAAGAATGCAGCTGGGAAATTCTATTGCAGCACTTGTGGCGCCGAGTATGCGCGTCTCTTCTCGCTGCGCCTGCACATGAAGTCGAGCCACGGCGTCGTGGAGGATGGCGCCGCGCAGCAGGAGGATCCCTCCTCCACAGCGGAAGATTTGCAGGCAGCCGAGACCGATGACTCCGAGACAGCGGTGCTGATAGCAGCTGCCCAGGCAGATGCCGCCTATATTAACGCTGTGGTGAACGACGTCGATGTCGTGGGATCCGTGCCCACCTACGAGGAGTGCGTGGAGGTGGGTTTTCATGTTAATTAACCCTTAAAATATTGAATAATCTTTCCTTTCTTCTTTCAGTTCGACGTGGACAACTTCCACAGCGAGGAGATTATCACGGATTGGCTTAAGTAACTGTTTAAATTTCTACTCCGACTAGTAAATAGATCTATTGTTATACCAATTGTAAATACCTTCTTCCTTGGAAGCCATTATTATTCGCGATTAGTTGTGTTAGAAATTGTAAAAACTTTATTGGGATCATAACTGGCGTGTAACAAGTAAATATATTGCTGGCGTACAATGAGACCAGTCCGTTGTGTTAGCGTGTACAGGGATAAATTAAGGGCGAATATTTAACTACAACTAATTAGACTAACAAAACGTGTGATTGGTATGCAGCCTGGGCGGGCACCTACTCCTGGTCGCCCGCAGCCTCGTCCTCCTCCTCGCTGTTGTCCTCGTCGCAGATCTCCTTGAGGACCTCCACCAGGTTCTTGGCCTCGTCCAGTTCCTGGCGCATCGTGTCCATCTCCTCCTCCAGCCCCTCGATGCGCTCGTGAAGATGTCGGTTCTCGGTGAGCGAATCCTCCAGAGCCAAACGCCGCTGCTCGGCCAGCAGCTTGTAGTAGTTCTCGCCGGGCTCGGCCTCGCTTGTGAGATCCTCCGCCGTTATGGGTTTATCTGAAGCGCGGCTTGTGGCCGCCTCCTCCGTTTGGGTGTCCGCATCCCTCGTCGACGTCGCCGGCGCAGCGGTGGCCGTGTCCACGCACTTGCGCTTGCCGTACTTGGGCGCAACCTGGACGCCGGCCTTCAGGCGACTCAGCTGATCCACGATGGAGGCGCGCCCGGAACCGGTGAGGTTCTCCTTGTCGTTCACGTTGCCCTGCAGGGGCTTCAATGTCTTGCGCTGCTGCTTCAAATGCTCCTGCTGTTCGGCCTCGCTCTCGACTTGGATGTAGACCCTGGCAGCGCTCGAGGACATCTTCGGAGCTGTTCGTTGTGGTTTCGGTGGGTTGTGTTCTTTGGGTTTTTAGGGCGGCAGCGCGTGTGCTATTTGCTAGCCGTTTGTTTATGCATTAATTTGTGATCCCCTCCGTTGCGCTGTTTTCCACTCGTTGTAATGGCCGCCAAAAAATGCCGATGCCGCGTGCTGTTGTCCAACACTGTTTGCTCATGGAGCTGCCAACCCCTTTTTATAGACCAGTAGAGAGTTGCCAATTCGATTTCGCGAACTGGTTCCTTAAACCGATGACTTAAAATGAACCAAGGTTTAAATCCGTAAATTGTTTGTGATTAACGGAAGATAGGATTTTAAGGTATTTCTTAAACAAAACTGGTAAAAAAATTGATTAATTGAACAGAATTTATAAAGTAAACTAATTCGAATAATAGTAATTCAAATATAGCTGTAGCCAATCATTTAACCATTTTTCCTGTACAGGTAATTCCTTTTGCACTCTGCAATGTGCCACGTACGAAAACATTAAAATAAAAAACGATATTGCAATAAGAAACATTAAACTATAAAATATAATTAAAAATCCCAAAAATTTTAAATAATTTTTTTAGTTGGTATTTTTTTTTTAAAGGAGCAGTAAGCAGTTATTCTCCTATAATGTTTGACTGCACATACATATTTGAGCTAATTGTGCTGTTCATGCTCAAATAAGGTAAGTCTGCTTGATTAGTTTGTTTTCCTAAACGAGCAAAGCTGTTTTAATCGACTTATGTATAAATTTCAGAAGCCGATTTTCCAAAATCATAGAAAAGTAAACAACCTCAACCTCGAAGCTAATTTTAAACTCGACCAGATTTCTAAAAAGAACATTTTCGTGAACGAAGGTTCTTAAGTTTCGAAATAAGTTTTATTTTCCAAAAAGTTGAACAAGCGTTAAAACAAAAATTAAACATTAAATTAAAAATTAAAAATCAATCTTTGAAAATGTGCATATCGAATTCGCAAATCTCGATTGCTGTGATAGAATCGCCAGGTGGCAACCCCCGCTCACGCCACGAGGACACGAAGGATAAACGGGCGATAAGAGAAAAGCCGATAAGAGCTCCACCCAGTCTCGGCTCAGAAAACATGTAATTCTCGCGGTAGCGCAAGGAAATCTTTACATTCATTTTATTTTCCACTCGCCACACATCCGCCGCACCCCCGCCCGCGCCACCGAGCAGCACGACGCCCCAAGATGGACCACAACGAGATCTCGATGAGCATGGACGTCAAGCTGGATACACACGACAAGCGGCCAGTGGCGCTGCGCTACAAGACGTGGACGCGCTGCCAGGTGAAAATCGAGGCCATCAAGTGTGTGCCCTGCTTCCTGCGGCTGAGCTTCCAGTCGCAGGAGACGGAGGCGCAGGACCATCATCCCGCCAAGCCCATTAGTGTCTCCGTGAACGTTCCAGGAGTCAGCCTAAGCCTGGCCACGTCCCGCACCAAGCAGCACTCCTACGGGCTCTTCTGGACGCAGAACCGTCGCGACTGCTTCATCTACTTCGCCCTGGAAACGGAGACCTCCTGCCGGCGGCACATGAAGTGGATGCGCAAGTCCATCAAGAACCTGGAGCTCTACCGCCAGGTCTTCCTCGAGCAGCGTCGCCTGAGCCGCGGTCCTGGTGCTCTTGGCCCGCTGCCCAATCTGCCAGAGAACCTGGACGCCAGCGTCCTCTCGCCGCGCGTCTCGCAGATCTACGAGGAGATCTTCGACGGCAGCCGCATCTCGCGAGTGTCCATCGCCTCGGGCATCTACGAGGAGATGAAGCCCTCGGTCATGGAGACGCCCTCGCCGCCGCCGCTGCCCGCTCATCCCCATCGCCAGCGCATCAACACCTTTGATATTCCCCGCTCCAGCACCAATCCCGAGTCGGAGTTGGCCAAGAAGAAGAAGTACAAGAACATGCTGGACACTCTGTTCGGCGGTCAGCGGCAGAAGCAGCAGCAGGAGGAGGAGGAGGCGCTGCCGCTCTACGAGAATGCTCCCACCCCGGAGCCAGTGAAGCGCACTTCCCAGCTAAGCAAGTCGCAGCGCAACAGCTTCTCCAGTCCCGATCTCTCCAAGCTCAATTTGCTGGACACCTTTGGCGAGTATTTCGGCGAGCAGAACCACGAGTCCAGCCTGGAGCTTAACATCAGTCTGGACGAGTCGGCCATTGAGCCGATTTCGCGCCATCAGATTGTGGCGCAGATCACCAGCCAGCTGAGCAGGGCCGACTCCCTGGAGAGCCTCAACGTATCGGAGCAACTGCCATACAATTTCAACTTTTCCGCCTGCAACACGTCCACCATCAATCTCATCGGATCGCATGGAGCTGTGCCGCAGAGCAATCTGCTGAAGAAAAACAAGATCCTGGAGGACGATCTCACGGGCTACTGTGTGATGGCGCCTATTTTGAAGACGGTAAAGGAGCTGCCACCGCAGCCAGCTGGCAGCACGGTCTCCACTTCGTCCGGTTACTCCACCGGCTCCTACTGCTCCTCCACCAGCAGCTGCAACACCGAGGATCAGCCCACCAAGACGCAGCAGGCGGCGGCGGCCAACGAGAGTGACATCTACGAAGCCATGCACGGCAGCTCCTTGAATAGCACGGTTGGTGCAGCTGCCGCTGGATTTGCAGAGCATCTCTACGAGAACCTGTTGGCGGTGAAGGCCGCACAGGAGCTGGAGGCACAGCCACTTGGTATCGGACTAAGCACCAGCACACCCACCGAATCTCCACTGGCGCCCGCTTTGCCGCAGAAGGGAACGCCCAAGCAGAAGCCCGAGGAGGAGGAGGAGAACTACTACCAGACGCCGAGGAAGTCGATCATCAGCGTGGACGACAAGATACCCTCCTACTATCCCAACAGCTGCGACACTCTCAAGTCGAAGCGACGCAGTCCCACCGAACATGGCCCCAGTTTGAGGCACCTGGTCAGCTCCAAGTTGCGACGCGAGCGGAAGGAGAACCTCTACATCTCATCGCCCCAACAGATCATCGAACAGCGCCACAAGGCGGCCACCATCTCATCATCATCTTCATCATCGTTAGCCAAGACTAAAATCTCAACCAAGAAGACTGCCGCCCACAAAATCTCGGAGAGCGTTTATGCTGTCACCCATCCAGTTAAGCGCCCAAATAGCACCAATAGTCAGAGCATCCAAAACAATAACAATAACAATGAGGGCGTGGACGATGAGCTACTGCATTTGACCATGCTGAAGAACATTGACTTTAAGTTCGACGATGGGCAAGTGGGTGAAGATTCTAGCCAGCCAAAGGAGAAGGAGCAGCAGAACGAGGCCACGCGAATCCTGCAGAAGTACGCCACGCTGGCCATTCGTTCGCCAAACAAACAAAAGACAGCTGAAAAGCATCCGGAGCCCATGATGCAGTCCGTGGCCACCACAAACGAACTGCAACCTGCAGGAAGCGGCATGAAGAAGTTCGCCTCGCTGCCACGCTTCAAGAAAATTGACTTTTCTCCACTGAAGATGCGGCTCAACAATGTCCTGCAGCGAAATCCTCCGTCGCCGCAGCAGTAGCTTTTTATGAACTCCGCTTTTTATGTCGTAGGCTCTTGTGAATGTGATCTGCCCACCAGTTGATGTCATCAGCTTATTATTATTAGTTATCCAAGTATGTAATACGCTTTCCCACGATGCACTTAGTCGTAAGCCTTATAGGTTGATCTTGCTTTCTCAAAAGGTATTTTAACGAATCATATCCGGCTCCATTCGAGGAGCCCACTAGTATTAATGTTGTGAACCAACGATGGATGTCTACGATTTATACATATGAATATGCTCAATTATGGAAATTTACAAAAAACGCTTTTATACGAATTAAAGGAAAACTTACTGTTGACTTATTTAGGCGCCTCGTTGTTAAAAAGAAACTAAATTTAGCTAAACAAGTTTTAATTATACACATTACTTACTGAATCATATACCAAAATAAAAACTACGCTTTTTGGCTTCGCATAACATATCAGAAACTAGTTAATCCAACCGTAAAATGCTTAAAGATAGCATAACCAAAGCTCAATTGTACCGTGACTAAAACATAAGCTTAACAATAAATATATGTCGCAAAGGAAATAAACTAAACAACCCACAGAAAGTATTACATTTTTTTAAAAAACAATTTACTTTATTTTAACTGTAAACCATGGGTCGTCGCTGTTCGTGTATGAACTCCTGTTCCACCCGGGAATCCTTAGGCACAATGTAAAAGAGCAGGGCTCCGCCGGAGACGAAGAAACCCTTCTCCGCGATGATCTCGGCCAGCGGCTTCTCCTCGGCCACCTTGTGGACGCAGCCCACCTTGCGGTTCTCGTAGTAAACGTTCACGTTGCCCTGCCGGTAGCTCTGCGTCTTGTCGCAGGGCAGCGGCTCCTTGAACAGCGTCGCCAGGCAATCGCCCATGGTCGCAGTTTCCGGCAGCTGCTGCTGGAAGTCGCTGAAGAGGAACTCCGGATAGGAGAAGGCGGCGGGCCAAATTAGCGTACTGCCGTCCTCGTCCAGATGCACTGGATGGTCCTCCAGGGGCAGGAACTTGGGGCGCAGCAGCTCCTCGCTTAAAGTGGCTTTCTTGCCCAGCCTTTGGTCGTCGAACTTTATGGCCCGCTGCTCGATGGCATCGCGCAGCCTGTGGAAGCGGGTAAGCCGTCGCTTGGCCTCGGCAGCCTCCTTGCGCTGATTGCGCTCAATCTCCAGCTGTAGGAATAAAAAGTGATTTAGGTGACTTCTAGAATTATTTTGAATTTTGAGTTTAATAGAATTGAATGATTTTGAATTTTGAGTTAAATAGAATTGAATGGCATGAATTCCGCAATAATTCAAACGACAATTTCTTTAAAAGAAGAATGGGCCATAATTTTGTGATTAAATCTGCGCAAATTTTATTTACTATGCAGTTAAAATTGATTTGTTAAAAATTTTCCACTTTTTGTTCTCAAAAGAAGGCACAAAGAAAATCTGGCAATTTCAAAAAATTCATTAAAATTATTCATTCATTCATTCAATTCAAAATTAATTAGAAAAACATTATTTCACATAAAATTGAATTAAACAAATCAGAAATTTCATGGCAAACTATATTGAAAACAAAAATTTAATGATTCACTGACTTCTAGTCAAGCAGAACTCCGAATCCTCACCTTCTTCATCTTGTTCTTGTGCAGCAGCGCGTTGGCCTCCTTGTGATCGACGTCCACCTCGAGCAGCTCCTCGCACATCTGGGTACAGACGTCGAATCTGTCCAGTTCGTAGGCACACTGTGCCGACCGCCAACGCGCCTTCGTGTAGTCCGGCTTGTGGAAGAGGGCTCGCTGGGCGTCGCTCAGCGAGGATCTGTAGTTCTTGATGAAGTAGTGGGCCGCCGAGCGATTGTTGTAGAGCACGGCCAGCGTGTCGGGATTCTCCGACTTGGACTTGATGCCCTCGGTGAAGCTGTAGATGGCCATGCGGAACTTCTTGTGCTTCATGTAGAAGTTCCCATCCTCCTTGTAGTTCAGCGCCAGCTCGTCGCGCGTGTTCTCCTCCGGATCGTACTTGAGCTTCTGCAGGCCCTCGAACATCGGATGCACATCGTCTCCCGGCTGCGGAGCACGTTTCATGAAGAACGGATGCTTGTCCATCTCCTCCTGCCACCGGTCCTCCGGCCAGCCCTCCTCGTAGCGCTTCTTCTCCAGGCCATCGATGAAGGCGTCCAGCTCGGCGTCCAGCTGGGCGGCCAGCTCCAGTCGCTCCTCATCCGTCCAATTCCGTTGCGCGGCCAGTTGCTCCATGTCGTCAAATTCCAATCAGAAATAGTGTGACCGCATGCGGACCGTTGGAAAATACCAGCTGGCTTTTGGGAAAATACCAAAACTTATCAGCTCGATTTTCGGGTGAACTTTTTTGTTTTGCTTTAAAAGGATGTTTTGTAAGGTGGTGGATAAAAAGGATATAAGGAAAGCATCGACGGTAAAATCAAGGTTTGCGACCCAGTATCAGTGTTGTGCAACGCAGACCCTCCATTGGCAGAGCCGCGACTGCGACATTGGCACAGACGTAAAGTGCCGAGCGAGAGAGAGTTTCACTGGATTTTTTAGGGCGAAAGCAAAGTTTCCCATCTGGCAACACTGCGCTGGCAGAGACGCGACTGAGACGTACCGTTGGCAGAGAACCAGAGAGCAGAGACGCGACTGCGAAATAAAGTTAAAACGTCGACGTTCCTTCCTCGCAGAAGAAACCAATCAAAATAAAAACAAACACAGCGTGCGTTCGCGCCAAATACCTAACAACAATTAGCAAGCGAAAGAAGCAAAGTGAGTGTCGCCGTCGGCCAGCGAAGCCCGAGTGCTGCCTGGGAATATCCACATCCACACAATCCCGTTTCGCCTCTTGCTAAATTAACTCTTGTTTCCCGTTCTCCCGTCTGCCCCCCCTCCATCAGTGCACACCCTCACGGCGGCCATTGAGATGGACAAGCTGGATGCCAATCTTGAGCAGCAGTTTGATCTCAATCTCATAGAGGCTGTCAAGCTGAACCCAGTGATATACGACAGGTCGCACTACAATTACAAGCACTTTGTGCGCAAGGCCCAGACCTGGAAACAAATTGCCGAAACTCTCGGTGTGCCTGGTAAGTGAAATTCAGCTGGTTTTTGGCTTTTGCTACGGGTTTTCTGCTTTCTGTCTGCTGTCTGCCGTCTTCAGTCTCCAGTCTTCAGTCCGTGCCCCAACCAATTGATTAATTCTGTCCGAGGGCGGGACGGGGCAGAGGGACGAGTCGGTCGACGACGACAGAAAACGACGCAAAAGTGAACGGCGACGCGACGCAGTAGCTGGCTGATGGTTGGCAAAATCCAGGGGCGCATCTGCACGGGCGAGGGTGGGCTGAAAAAAACTCTAAAATTTCCAGTCAATTGTTTATTTAATTTTTTTCACATTTAATGTTATTGAGATGTTTGTTTGCAGTTACAATAATTCAATTCTTTATTAGGTTCCTTATTACAATCAGAAAGTATTAAGACTAACTCCGTTTTAAGTTTAATTTTCATTTAAATCGCCCCTTTCGGGCGCTCGAACTCCGCCCCTGGCCGCTCTGTCGGTGTGAAAACCTCTGTGGCAGTGTGCTCAGTCGATATTTTTGAAGTTGCTGTACTTTGCCGTCGCGTCGCAGTAGTTGTCTCGCTCGCACCGCTGTTGTTCTGCTTGCGCCAGCGTTTATTTTCGTACACTGCGCTGCCTCTGTCTCGGTCGACAGCCGACTCGCTCACACACGCTCGTATGTATTCATGCATACAGTGCCGGGCAAAAGTATGTCCACAGCATATTTTATTTTGGGTAAACAAATAGTTTTGTTATGATAGAAATTCATTTTATTAGAGAATTCAGGCAAATAAGTTTATCCATAAATTTTTAAAATAATGAAATACAGAGCTTTAAGTTGATGAAACTTAATGAAAAAAGAAAGTCAGCCTGCGTCTATACTTTTCTACCGCACTGTAGATACCGGAGACCAACCAGGCAGCTTTCGTTTCGTTTTCATGAGTATACCAACAAAATGTACCGTTCACTCCACCCCCTCGGCGGCCTTTGATCGAACCCTAAATTTTCGCCTATATCGCTGCACCTTATTCGGCTTTCGATTATGCAAGAAGGTGGCTCGAAAGCTGGAGTTGCAGCCAAGTCGACTTGGGTCGAGAAGCAATGCCACAGGTTTCCGTCTCCAGGCAGAGGCCGCGGGCAGCGGAGGAGGAGCGAAGTCGAAGTCGCAGTAACCAGTCGACGTCACAGTCACCGTCACCGTCACGTCAACGTCTCTGCTGGCGCTGGGAAACTGCTGCCCGCTGCCTTCCTTCTGCCGCCGCCTCTGCTGCTGCCAGCGGTTTGTTTTGGTTTCCGATTTGATGCTTCTAGCAGATGGGCTCTCAGGGGTGGGTAAGGTGGGCCATAGTAGTTCTAGTTCAGTTCTAGTAGTGGTCTAGATGATTTGATGTTTGATGTTGCTACGAGGAACAAGAACCAGAAATTTCAGGTGTGATATAAGGCCTCGATAAGAAATATTTATGTATTTATTACTTCTCAAATAAATATTTAGTCATCCAATTAAACAATTCAAATTTTGTTTGCTCATATACTGCTATTGCAAAATGAGTAACAATAAATTGTTAATGGAAAAAACCACAAATAATGATGATTGATCATAAGGCAGCCTTAATAATTATTCATAACTTTTAACTAGTCATCTCAATATATAAGTATATGAAAAAAAAACTATATTCATTCAGCATTGTAAAACTAAATGCACAGGAACTATTAGAGCCAGAATTAACTTTCAATAATACTGTAACAATTTTCTCTTTTTCACTTTTTGTATACGTAGTTGCAGCCTGTTATCTTAAAGAAAGCTTTTACACCGAGAAAAAACTATTTAATACTGATCTAAGCTATGTAAAGACCAAGTGTAAGCAACAATTAATAAATACACACCGGGTTTTTAGCCTTGTTACTCAAAACCATGATGACTAAGTTAACCTTTTCCCCTTAATTGCAGAACAAAAATGTACCAAACGCTGGAAGAGCCTGCGCGACAAGTTCGCTCGCGAGATGAAACTGTGCCAGGAATCGCGCTGGCGCTACTTCAAGCAGATGCAATTCCTGGTTGACTCCATCCGGCAGTACCGAGAGTCGCTGCTCGGCAAGTGCGCCAATGGCAGTCAAAACGCCAGCCAGGTGGCCGATCCGCAGCAGCAGCAGGCCCAGCAACAGACCGTCGTGGACATATTCGCACAGCCCTTCAACGGGAGCGCCACAACCTCGGCCCAGGCCCTGACCCATCCGCACGGTAGGTTCTCTGGTCTTTGGGCATCTCAGATCCCCTCTAATTACTCTGATCTCTTGCAGAAATCACCGTCACCAGCGACGCACAGCTGGCGACTGCCGTGGGCAAGGAACAGAAGCCATATTTCTACGAGCCGCCGCTCAAGCGGGAGCGCAGCGAGGAGGAGCACAGCGACAACATGCTCAACACCATCAAGATTTTCCAGAACAACGTCTCCCAGGCGGTCAGCGCCGAGGACCAGTCGTTCGGCATGGTCGTCACGGACATGCTCAACACGCTGGGCGTGCGGCAAAAGGCCGAGGCCAAGGTGCACATCATCAAGTATCTGACGGACATGCAGCTGTTGGCGCAGCACAACAAGTACTAACTGTCGGGCGGCTGTCACCGGCAGCTGCTGCAGCTGCTCCAACTGGAGAGCGTTCTGCCCTGAGATCAAACGAAAGCGGACCTACGGCCTGCGGTCCAGTGCGGTCATTTTCTTTAGTTCATAGGTCTTAAAGTCAAACTACAGAATAACATTAGACGTAACTCCCCATAACGCGTAATTATACATCCCCAAGCCCCAAACGTAGTAGACAAACATATATATTTATATGCTTAGTTGGCCCCATGATCGGTGATTCAATTCGCGCCCAGTTCTCAGCTCTGTACAAAAGAAAGATACGATTGAAAAGTAGCGATCCTAGAATTACGAGTAGTTTGTTAAACGACCGTGGAAACACTTTATATGCAGCGTATTGTAAATTTTTGACTACGATTTAGTTGCAACTTGCCATCGGGTCTTAGCTCTGTAATTAAGTACACACGTAAAAGTTATTTTAATTTTATAAGTTCTGTTGTAATATGCTGAAAACGCTTGGAGGATACTTTGAAAGGCTTTAATTAAGTATGACAGAAGGAAATATTAAACACCTTTGTTCATAGTGAGCGCATATTACACACTTTACACGGATAAAATCGAAATAGTTGCCGGCAACGCGAGTTGCTAAACATTTTCAATGATTAATTGTGCAATTATTTGGTATTAAAAGAAATATTTGAAAAGTAACCGGCTCCTTTCAATTGGAACGAAGTGGCAACGCTGCCAGCCAGCGGTATAAACAGAATCAGCTGTTCGAGTTGAGGAACGATTTTATGTAATTGAAATGGCCACGAAAACGGATAATGCTGACACAAAATCGAGTAAATCAGAGGACACACTAGAAGATGCGTGGGCTGTAAGTACTTGGCTGCGTGATAGGACCCGAAATTAAGGAATCGCCCTTCCAGATTCGCCCCTGCCACCTGTACAAGGAGGAGTACGACGATTGCACGAGCTTCAAGGCCCGGTTCCACCAGTACTTCATCTTTGGCCAGGACACAGACTGCTCCCAGTGGCTGACTGACTACCGGAACTGCGAACGGTATCAGCAGTCCAACGGCAACGACGTCGCCGCCGGCAGGGCGATAGTCAAAAGCGAGGAGGACCGCCGCCGGATCCGACTGCGCGCCCACTTCGCCAACGACACCTGGCAGAAGCGGAAGGAGCCGCCGCAGGATTGGGCCGCTCCACTGCCCGACTGGATGGAGAAGCGCAACGAGAACACCTATCTGGAGCTGAAGCAGAAGGAGCTCTCTGGCCAGGCGCAGCCGCAGGGGGAGGAGCGGTCACTGTGTGCGATCATGTGAAAATATATATTTATAGTTAAGGAAACAAGGATGTTGTTTCACTGTCATTTAAGGACTCTAATGCATTGTTTTTAATTGATTTCTTAATCAAACAAATGTTTGACCAAAGTCGCAACGGTCTGGCAGCTCTTCCATCAGCTGTATGGTCAGTGTTGTTACCCTTAGCTATAAAATGTTTAAAAAAATAGCTAAAATATAAATAAAATGTGAAATGTAACGAAACCAACTTTCTTTTTCACTTAAAAGATAAACCAAACGTTTCAGAAACAATTCAAATTTCAGTGAATTTTTTAAAACATAATTAAAGAGTTAGCTAAATTCAATCAGTTAATATAACCGTTTATGCAGCCCCTGCTAAACACACACATCTGGCTAAGAATACCCCTAATTGTCACCACTTGTTTTGCGACATTTCGGATACGGATACACCTATCTTTTTCCGCATCCACATCCCAACGCTCCAGCTTTGCCTAAAATGCTAAAGGGCAGCACACTGAAAGCCCTGGACGTCAGAATCCTACGGCCCCTTATTGAAACAAGGTCAGCAGGTAAATGTAAATTACATAACCCGAGGCAGGCGCCCGTTCTATTGGGACAGCAAAATTGACCGTGCCACTCAGATTGCTCCTCTCCTGTTGCAGTGGAGGACAGCAGCGCAGCCTCTCCAGCAGCATCCACAGGTCGTACATAACGTTCAATGACCTCCGCAACAAGCACCGTTGGTACACCAAGAAGGAGCTCGTGGGGTGAGTGGTTCAAGGTCCGGGGATGATGAAATCATCCGTCATTAATATCTATTCATCTGTAGGTACTCCATGCAGGACATGTACAGCGTGGTCTCCGACGTCAGCAACTACCACAAGTTTGTGCCGTATGTGAAGCGCTCCCACGTCCACAGCCAGAAAAAAGGAGGCTTCAAGGCGGACCTCATCGTGGGCTTTCCGCCGCTCAGCGAGTCGTACACCTCGCAGGTCACCCTGGTGCCGCCCAGCCTGGTGAAGTCCGAGTGCCACGATGGTCGCCTGTTCAACTACCTGCTGAACGAGTGGCGCTTTAGTCCCGGACTCAAGGACATACCCAACTCCTGTGTGCTGGACTTCAAGGTCTCCTTCGAGTTCAAGTCACTGCTGCACAGCAATGTGGCCAACATATTCTTCGACCTGATCTGCGACCAAATGGAGAACGCCTTCATCCAGGAGGTGCGACGACGGAACGGCCCACCCTCGATCCGCTCCCATGTGCTCACCTCGCAGCGATCTTGAGGTAGTCGTTTTTCTAGTGATTTAAGTTGACAAACCTCTTTGTTAGTACAATTAACCGAATTGTAAATAAATTGTCTATCGATTTGTGTATAAACAGGCAATCAACAGATACCTCTACCCGCCAGACACCAAATGAAACAATACACGAGTACAAAGAACATAAATTAAGTACGTTTAATTTGGTTCACTTAACACAATACTCAAAATCAATCATTTTCGTTAACAGTCTCGTTTTGGGATTAGTAGTGATGGATTAATTGACAGCTTCTCGGTGATGTTAAAAACTTAGGAGTTAAATAATATTACGTCTGGAATGGCATCGTTTAAGTGGCGAGAACTACATAATATTCTCGAGTGGCATACACTACAATACATTACATTACAGGCCTAACATATTGAAGTCGTTATTATCGTGCATCGTTATTCGGGGTCTGGGCAGTTAGTACATGAGTGGGAACGCTACTATTACCTCTGCACGGGAGGCTAAATACAAGAGTCTACGTTTGTATCTAACGGATACGGATACTACCTACATATGTTCTACAACTATTACGCTAAGCTCTCTATATTACTTTATACAGGAAGGTGTAGTAACGAACTCTACTTAGTTTGCGCAGTAAAAAAGTCTGACTAAAACAGTAAGTGTTAAATGTTCATTTCTAGATATTGTCCAGTGAGTGCGCGTGCATCTACTCTCGGCAAACAATTAAGCTATCAAATAGGGGGGATTAACAAATTTTCAAAGACGAGGCCAACATCTGATAATGCAATCGAAGGTAAAGGTACAACAGCTTAACATTGGACGCCTGGCTAGACGAGCCAAATTAGGACTTTAGCACAAGGACGAGGTCGGAAATAACACAATAGAAACGCGAAATATTTGCGGGTCAGGAGTGTGAGGGCACGGCACCAGGTGCAACCATTTAGAATGGTTAAGCACAATACGTAAGCCCTACAAAATATCACTTTTTCGACGGCGATAGGCCGCCAGTTTCCTTAGTTCTCAGTTGTGCTTGGCCCTCCGGCCAAACATGTAGCCCTTCCAGCGCTCCGCTGTCTGCGCAATCAGCGGATCGCTGTCGATGGTGGCCAGCAGAAGCAGCTGGTTCACGTGCGTGGCATGGTAGTCCCAGCGCGCCAGGTTGGGAGCCACGCCCAGGCTCAAATGGCGCAGGTCGTAGCTGGTCCCAGAGCCGGTGTCGTAGAGCAACAGCATCTTCTTCAACGAGTACATGCCCTGGGCGAACAGCTTCCCAGCATCGCGGGCTATTTTCGCTGGCGCAGTGCTGTTGAGATCGTACAAGCCCAGTAGAGAATAGATAAAGCCGTTCAGCACATAGGACGGCGGCGTGGTGGGATACTCCTCGTACCTGTAGAGGGAGAAATATTAAGTAAGATCAAGTATAATTATTATGAGTACTAGAGGCCTGCGTGAATCATTCAATTTTTGTGTTTTCATAGTATGCCATGAAATTTCTGATTTGTTTAATTCTATTCTATGTGAAATAATTTGAATGTTTTTCTAATTCATTTCGAATTGAATGAATGAATGAATATTATTTAAGAATTTGCCAGATATTTTTGTGCTTTCTTTTGAGAAGAAAAAGTGGAAAATTTTTAACAAATCAATGTTAACTGCTTAGTAAATAAAATTTAGGCAGATTTAATCACAAAATTATGGGTTTCTTCTTGAAAAGAAATTGTCGTTTGAACTATTTCGGAATTAATGCCATTCATTCTAATTAATTCATTCATATAAAACAAAAAATTCAAAATAATTCATTGAATCCATTCATGCAGGGCTCTAATGACTACTCACCAGTAGAACTTGTCCATGAACTGGGCAAGAACGCCGCCGTCCCGCGAGTAAACCCTGTATGGCTGCAGACCGGCTGCGGCCGCCCGCAGGTAGCGCTCATCGCCGGAGTGCCAGTAGGCGCGTGAGAGCACCGAGATGGCGTGGCCCTGGCCCATGGCCGAGATCCAGCCCGGTCGCAGCTCGGCAAAGCCGTTGAGGCTGCGGCGCACCGGATTGGTCCAGCCACCCGTCTTGCGGTCCTGGTTGTGGATAAACCACTCTGCCGCATCGTAGAAGTGGGCCAGATGCTCGCTGGTGGACAGAGTGATGTTGTCGTAAAAGCCCAGGCCCAGGAAGCCAATGGAAAGAACCTCCAGGTCGGAGCGGCGCACCTTCAACGGCGAGCGCTTGTCCCCCAGGACTATTCCCTTCTGGACGTCGATGTGCAGGTCCCGAGTGATGTGACGCCACTTGTTAAGCGCCGATCCGCCCAGACCGTAGTAGATATTCGAGTCCTGCACGCTGAGCAGCAGGTCGGCGGGTATGTAGTGCAAAGTGTAGCTGTGCCGGGTGTCCCGGTTCTGGACGGTGACCATGAGGCTGCTGCTGTTGGTCACCAGCAGCAGGTCCACGCTGAGCAGCAGGTCCAGCGTCTGGTTGAGGGCGATGCTAATGGCGCCCTCGTAGCCCGGTGCCGTCTCGAACTGCACTACGCTGGTGTTGAACTTGTGGTGCCAGATGCGCGTCATGTTGCTCGTCTTGGGAGTGCTCCAGTCCATCTGGTTCCCGTCGCCGTCCTCCAAAACGCGCACCCTGGGCGGCGGCTCCGTGAGGTTCTTGCTGTAGTGCGACAGAGCGAACTGGGCTATCTGCGTGGGGTAGAAGTAGCCGCGCTTCTCCCACTGCGTGCTCACCGGCACGCCCTCGGCGGCGCTGATGCACTTCACCCGGTCGCGCACCTCCACGTTGTAGTTCTCGAAGTACATGAAGACGCCGCGTGGATCGTACTTGCCCCTGGGCAGGTTCACCTTGGCCGTGCTGTGCACCCAGTTGAACCTGGCCACCTCGCTGCCGGTGGTGGACACGGCTCCGCTGACGTCGAAGTAGTTGCGCAGAAAGGAGAACGGCACGTACACCTCGTTGGCGTTCTCGTCCCGCTTGCAGTGCACGCTGTACTCCTGGTTTATGGAGCACTCGATGTCCTGCAGGGCGGTGGGTTCTCCTGCGCCGGAGGATTGCCTGCTGGCCGCGCGGTCCAGTGGACGCACAAAGTCCGGCGAGAAGGTGAAGGCGGCGCAGCGCATGTAGACGCCCAGGGTGATGACCACCACGGCCACGGTGAGGATGAGTAGCACGGCTTTCAGGTTGAGACGCATGATGAAGAAGACCAGTGGCTCGCGTTGCTAGAGATTTGCCCTGGATTAGCAAATGACTGATAAGGGGATATAGTAAGTATATTTACTTTAATCCCCTGCGGTTTTCGTGGCTCCCTGTTTTCCCTGCTCACTGAAGGCGAGGGCACGGCGAAGGCATCTCTCTGGCTGCTGGAATATTTGGACATCCGGTTGCTGATCTTTCGACTGGGCGCAGGTGAGTCATGCTCTAAATATAAGACAGCGTTCATCTGGCAGATGCATGGCGAAGAATATTGATAGTGGTGCACCCAGAACTATTCGTGCCTCTCTGTGGCTAAAATTCCACCTGCAGAGCCTCTAGCTCATTGATTTCAGACCACTGCCATTTAATGACTATGCTTTAGCTGCTGCCCAGGCTCCTCGAGCATATTTTAATTAGATTTTTCACGGTTTTCCTAGATTTTCCCCGAAAAACAGCAAGTACAATACAGATGATGTTTTGACATCTGACAAATGGTCGCTTGCGGGCGGCCTCTGCACGTCGATAGCTCGGCTAATCGATATCGATAGCGACGACGGGACGGCGAGTAATCAATAGTGCAATGTTTACATCTTTTAACTAGTTTTAGTCATGTCTAGTCGTAGTTTAAGTGCAATACTCCTGCTCCTGGGGGCGTTTATAACCGCCAGCCACGCCTCCAACGGTGACCGCACCCAGTTTTTTCACAATTGTCGGCAGAATTGCGAGAGAACTAATTGCTCTGCAGGTAATTTACCAAATTTATTGTTATCCTTGTATCCTTACGAGATTTTGGTTTCCCTTGGCAGATGGCCTGGAGATCCAGGAGCAGGCGGTCAAGTTCTACAGGCAGTCGGTGTTCGACAAGCTCTTCCAGTGGAGCTGCGCCGACGAGTGTCAGTACGGATGCATGTGGCGTACTGTCTTAGCCTTCTTTGAGCGCGGATGGCCCATTCCGCAGTTCTACGGCAAGTGGCCCTTCCTCCGCCTGCTGGGAATGCAGGAGCCGGCCTCGGTGATCTTTTCCATCCTCAACTTTGCCATGCACCTGCGGCTGCTGCGCAAGTTCCGGCGGGAAGTGCGTCCGGACAGTCCCTGCTACATGCTGACCCACATATTCGCAGTGGTATTTCCTAGATCCTAACACAAAAGGACTCTCTTATCAAGTAAACTCCTTTCTTCCTAGACAAGCCTCAATGGTTGGGTCTGGTCCGCCATCTTTCACACGAGGGACTTCCCGCTGACCGAGCTGCTGGACTACGCCTTCGCCTACTCCATCATCCTGTGCTCGCTGTACGTCATGGTCATGCGGATGCTGCACCGCTACTCCCTGTTCCTGCGGGGTGTGATTTCGCTGGCCTTCGTCTCCTACTACATCAACTACTTTGCCTACCTGAGCGTGGGACGGTTTAACTACGCCTTCAACATGATGGTGAACGTGGGAACAGGAGTAATTGCGGCCGTGGGCTGGTTCGTTTGGTGCCACTTTGTGCGCACCCGCAGGCCCTACTTCCGCAGGATCCTGCGCTTCTACGTTCTCATGGCCCTGGCCATGAGCCTGGAACTGCTGGACTTTCCGCCCATCCTCTGGATTCTGGATGCCCACGCTCTGTGGCACCTGGCCACAGTTCCGCTGGCCGCCCTCTACTACGAGTGGGTATTAATCAGAAAGATTCCTCATCAGTTTGGCTTATGAATTTTCCCATTTTAGCTTCATGATCGAGGACTGTCGAACCCTGCGAAAGGAAAAGGCGGCGGCCGGAGGCTATCCATTCTACAACTAGTATTATTCAGGACATTTAAAGACAGGTCGATAAAGCGAAACTGCCATTTCAAATTCTTAAAGGAGGTCATGATTGACATCAACCGGCTTTGCAGAAAATGTACTCGCTTCGTTTACAAAGACATAATAGAGACTTTATTACAACATTCACAACTCCGGGCTACATTTGCCCGCACTGCGAAATGGTCACTGGCAGTTTGGGCTTGTTGTTGGGGCCCGTGGGCACGTTCTCGATCTTCCGCATGATGAGCAGGCCGTCCAGGACGCGACCAAAGACCACGTGCTTGCCGTCCAGGAAGTTGCATTTGGCGCAGGTGATGAAGAACTGGCAGCCGTTCGTCTCCTTGCCACTGTTCGCCATGGACAGCAGTCCCGGCGAGTCGTGCTTCAGGGTGAAGTTCTCGTCGCCGAAGGTGTTGCCGTAGATGCTGGTCACGCCAGTGCCATCGCCCTGGACAAAGTCACCGCCCTGGATCATGAAGTCCTTGATCACCCGGTGGAAGCTGGCGCCCTTGTAGCCAATGGGCACTCCATCTGGTCGGTACTCGCCCGTGCAGAACTGCCGGAAGTTCTCCGCCGTGCGTGGCACTGTGTCGGCAAATAGCTCAAATATCATTCGTCCAATCTCCTGCAACCAAAGAGGGTTAAAACTGGATTTATTTATGTTTGTTAATGCTAAGCTGGCTTTCCCTTACCGTTGTGCCTACGGCTATGTCGAAAAAAACGACGGGATTGTTGGAACTCCGCAGCTGCGACTGTATTTGATTCCAGTTGGGCATATTTGATTACTACTATTTATTAATTAATTTTTATTAAAAATAGAAAATTTGTCTGCACCGGCAGATTTTTGTTTACGTTTTGAGCGATGGTTCGATGACGATAGATCAGTTGGTCAGATATATCGATAGATTGCACAGCCGGTAGTATCGATTGGCACACGTGTGCCGAGTGTTTGTTTTTTTTTAGCTGTGCACAAATTGTTGAAATTGTTTAATTATTATTTAAGAAGGTGAGTTCATCCAAGAGTCTGAACTTTGGATCGACAAAGTGATTTAGTACGACGACAGTGCAATAGTGAATTCTTTACTCAAATTACCATAATATTTGCTGCTAGTGGACTGCCAAGGTTTGTTTACGTTTACTAATAATGGCTTCCCCTTCCCCTTCTTAAAGCCCTGTTTATATTTAATCAAAATGTAATTCTTCACTCTAATAAAAAAATAAATTATTCATTTAATAATTGTCGCTATATTTAAAATGCAAATCCTTTCCGTGACACTACAAAAAAGTGTATGTACGGTTTATACCATACAATATTAGGGGAAGTAAGAGTTTAAACTTTAAAGCATGCTTTAAATTTAACATGAGGGCGAGAAAATGGTCATTAATTCTAAGAAAGTAGTGACGATCGCATCTTGAACGTATAAAAAATCTGATATTAAATGACGAATAGTAACGATTACATTTTGTGATGAATAATGGTTATCCACTGCGTAAAGCCTACTTTAAATTTAACGTGCGGACGAGAAAACGCCTCTAAATGTCATATCGTTCAAGACCCACAATTAGTTTTACATGGGGTCGAAAAACGGGCATAAACTTCTCAACTAATGGTTCCAAAAAAATTCCTAATTTGTCACCGTAACCGCCCAGAAAAGACACGCGACGTTTTTCAGTTGCAATTTTTTAGATATTGTGCATAACAAATGCCAAGATAATGTTTATAAATAAGTGCTTTTTCATGATAGTAACTTAAGGTAGATACAAAATATTAGCAATTACGAATGATTCAATGTTTAAATTACACAATATTCAGCAACAACTTAGGTCCTAAATACATAAATAGATGTACTTAAATTCAAACGGAGCAATGCTAGTCGGTAGACTCTAGGTACCTGCCTCATTTCAGCTCGACAATTAATACTAGGTAGAGGTAAATCCGCGAATCTTTGTCATCTCGGCACTCAGTTACTCGCCTCGTCCGTATCCACGTCGGATATATCTTTAAGTTTTGTGATGCCGTTGCCGTTGTTCTTCTCATTGTCATCCGCGGCCTTCTGGAAGTTCTCCTGCAGAGTTTTCGGGTCCACAACCAGGATGGGTGTACAACCATCCATCAGGTGCTCGCTCTGGCTCTGATATTGCTCCCGCGAAATGCTACGCGTGAAGGAGAATCGCAGGGACTTGGTTCTGGTCAGCTTCTTCTTGATGGGTGGCTTACCCGCCACTGGAGCCACTGGCTCCGAGCTGGTCCGCTCCGAGCCCTCCGGCGTGGTGGGTACGGAGCTGGACTCCAGCTGGTGGTCACGCAGTATCTCCTCCGCGAAGCACTTTATCTGGCTCCAAGCGTCGAGGATGTCCTTTTCGGTGGCATGCTCGTAGGTGACGCAGAAGCGAATGACGTAGCGGTTGTTAAACTTGGCCGGTGTCATGTGCATCTTGCCCGAATGGTTGATCTGGGCCAACAGCATGTGATTGGGTTCATCGCCAGTTCTGTAAAGAGGTTCGAATAAATCTTAAGTCCAAGTTTATTCATAAATATTCCATGACCTTGCTTTTATACCATTATCTTTACAACTACACGCCCACAAAGCTCCAAAATTTCTGGCATTCCATAATATTAGTATTGGCCATAGACGCAATAGTCCAACAACATAACAAATTCCTATTAAAGGTCATGCCTTAATGAAATAACAACAATTGGTCACATCAACCAGAACTAATAGAACTGTCTCTAAGAAAGTAAAACTTTAATGAACTATAGTCCATATAAACTTTCTTTTAGAATAACCTTCAAAACTGTTTATATCCAATCCATTAAAACCCCTTTGCCTTTTTAATAAAAAATATCCAACATTTAAATTCTCAAAAAACCCGCACTTTTGGTCCTTCGAACCATTTAAGGAAATTGTTTTCTTAGTAATAAATAGTTGTTTGACTTACCGCATTCTGAAGCAGACCAGGCCAAGGTGGACATCGTTTCGCACCTCGAATCGCTCATCCTTGCGCACCAGCATCTCGAACTTCTTGGCCAGCGCCATGTGATTGCGGATGTACTCCTGCAGGCCCCTAATGCCGTATGTCCGGAAGACGAACCAGAGCTTGAGCGCCCGGAAGCGGCGACTCAAGGGGATGCCGTAGTGACGGTAGTCGACTCCGCTCAAGTGCTCATGGCGCAGGTACAGGGGATTCACGTTGAGCGCGCTCTTCAGATTCATCACATCCCGCACCCACAGGGCGGAGGCATCGAAGTTGGTCAGCAGCAGCTTGTTGGGATTCGTGTTGAAGGAGTCGGCGTACTCCAGTCCGGCAGAGAAGACCCGCATCTCGGGCAGGATGAAGGAGTTGCCCGCGTAGGCACCGTCCACGTGCAGCCAAATGCTGGACACCTGGCGGCACACCTTGCCGATCTCCGTGATGTCGTCGAAGGCACAGCCGCCGGTGGTGCCCACGGTGGCCACCACAAAGAAGGGGGTTAAACCGGCATTCACATCGTTCTGAATGGCCTGGCGCAGCAGATCGACGCGCATTCGTCCGCGCTCGTCGGCATCGATGATCCGGAGCTTGACCAGCGCCATCTTGGTGGCCTTCTCAACGGAGGAGTGGGCCTCGCGGCTGGCGTAGGCGATCAGGCTGGGCAGGAAGACGCTGTCGTGGACACTGGTCTGTCCCTTCAGCTCGCTGATGGCCCGGGCGCGAGCTGTGATCAGCGAGACGAGCACGCACTCGGAGGCGGATCCCTGGAGGGCACCGCCGCCCGTGCTGCCCGGCGCATCCGAAACGAAGGCCTTGGGCAGGCCGAGGGCCTTGGCATACCAGTTCATCACGATCGTCTCCAGCTCGGCGGCCGCCGGGCAGCTGGCCCAGCTGAAGCCAATGGAACCGATGGCACTGCTCAGCATGTCACCCAGGACCGAGGGAAAGGAGTTGCCCGATGGGAAGTAGGCGAAGAACTTGGGATGGTTCCAGTGCACCACGCCCGGCATGATCTTCTGCTCGAAGTCCTCGAGCACGTCCTTGAACGACTCCGGCGACTGGGGAGCGTCGGCTAAAGATAAACAGGCAGTCGGGGGATTAGTGGGATGGGCCTTAAATATTTCTTTTATCACCCATAAATTTCGGGGGGGCCTTTGCTGCCTTTGGGCAATATTTATGGCGTGTCTGTTGTTTTTGGCAGTGAGTAGAAAGATCAACAAGTAAGTCTATACGCAAGGTGTGTGTTTGCGTATGCATAATTAATTGATTTGTTTAGTTGAACTCGGGATTGCGGCGTCCATTCCGGCGTAAATATTTAACTTATCCAACTGCGCGGAATTCGCCTGAAATTCGCCAGCGGAACCTACTCTTTCAACCTGGTAGCCATCGGAGATCCGAGATCGGAGATCCGGAGTGTGTGAGTGAGTGAGTGTGCCCCAATTATGCCTGGTCCCCACCCACGCACCTCGTTGCGGGGCACTCGAATCCGTGGGCTGGGGATTTTCGAATAGTTTACACTCGCACAGCGGGCAAAACAATTAGTCAACATGATTTAACAAGTTTTTGAGAGGCATTGAGTTGCCTGTTGCCTCTGGCCTGGCTTTCTTTGATTATTTTTTGATTTTTGCGCAAAGCGAAATATTTTCAATTTCATTGCTAATTTGTTTGGGCATAGTTAACAAATTAGTGTATACAATTTATCACTTGTGCTATAATTATACTTTGCCTTCTGATTTTAAATGGAAATCCGCAAAAACAATCGAAGAAAATAGATCTGACTAAGTGAGATTTGTACGAACTATATTTAGGAAGAGGCTTTTGAAATCCTGAATATGAAATCCTGAATTTATAAGGATAGTTTCAAAACTTTTTTGTTTTTAAGCCTTTAAATATTAATTGAAGTATATTTTCATTTAATATTCACATTCATTTGTGATGTTCAAATAAGGACCTTTGAAGTTTTCCCTCTCCTAATTTAGTTTTAACACAAAATACCTAAATACCTTTATTGTGTTTGTCTAGCTTTTGCCGGCTCTTTGATAATTTCACACCTCCTCTTTTTTGCTTGCTCACCTGGTAGAAGTTTTTTCAGGTAACCCGGATCCAAGGTGGGCGCCACATCGCGCTCCTCTATATTGGTGCCGTATTGGCATATATAATCGATCACTTCCTTGCCGTATTTGCGAAACTCTTCCACATCCATTTTGTTCAATTTGCACTTCTCGCTTGTCTAATTGTTTGTCAAAGTTTGAGTTTGTTTTATACTTGGCAGTATTTATTTTTAGTGGCTGAATACTAGGCTCTATCACTCGGAACACACTGACTTATCTCGATCACTCTTAAATCCCGGCTATCACGTATCGCCTGTATCGTATCGTTGCAGCTCAGCTTCCTTGACGCGAATGTCTTGGCCAACTACGCTGCATTCGTTTTTATATGGCAAGAGACTGTTCGCTCGATCGCCCGATCGGCTGCTCTCGGCTTCTCTCTTTTCTTGGCTATATCCCCTTCTATAACACCTGCGAGGTGTTCGGTGTTCGGTTTTCTGTCTTCGTACTGACGTTGATTGTCTCGTGATCACACTCAAATTACTGGCCCGGGGACTCGGACTTCGTTTGGCTGGGAAACCCGCTTTGGTCATTATGGCCACTTCTCCCATTCTGCTCTCGACAACCAACGGAGCATTAGCTTACTTGGCGAAAAAGTCCCTGGTGGGTGAGGGTTTTCAGCTTCTGGCTTAATTATAAGGTGAGTTAGATGCCATTTCCTATGTGATTGAGTAATTAATGATTGCTGCTTCTGTAAAATTGGTCAAATTACTTCATTACAGTAGACCAAAGTTATAAAGTCGTATAGATATTTTTGGGAAATACACCTAACCAATTATCTTGATAATAACAGAGCAAACTCATTAGATATGGTAAACTGATAACCTTTCAGTTAAAAGAAATTATGAACTTTGTATTCAAACTTAAACGGACCTATAAATGTACTTTTTCCTACCTCAATAAATTGTTCTTTGCCATTTCTCAGTTTATATTTATGATATTTAAATTGGATTCAAACGTGTTTCCCTTTTTAATAACCTAACCTGAATTACTTTGTCTCGATGGTTTTTGGGGGAACTTCTGGGGATTTTTTAAAATATTCGGCACGTGTAAAGAATGTGAAAATATCTATTGAAAGAAGAGAACAAACTTGTTCCCTTTAATCGGTTGAAAAATTACTAAAACTTTCCGAGGCTGATGTCTTTGGTAGCACTACCTGTGGGGGGAATCACTTCGAGTACTTGGAAAAAAGTGGCAAACAATTGTCCAAACATTGACCAAATCCGTTAACAGAATTTGGGATGTACGAATGACCAATCCCTGGCAACAGGCCGAACTTATGACGTAGCTGTGAGGAACGCCCATTGTTTCATGGAATCTCCTGCTAGGTGAAATACAAAAACACAAATATCAAAATAAACAAACGTTGCCAAATGAATTTCACGGATCTGTTCAGGTTGCGCGTCGAGGGAACTTGGGAGATAATAGGTGTGGGTGGGCGACCGTATGAATGAATGGGTCTGTTGTGAGAGTCAGCTGGAGGTCCCCCGTAATTTGGCTGGGTGCTAATTGCCAACGATTGCTTATCTAACTCTGCCCTGTAATGATCTAACATCAGCTATGCTTACTTGCAATTCATCATATTTAAAAAGTAATCTATGGCTGCCATTTCATCATTGAACAGTAGCTGATTTTGACAAAAGGTTAATAAACGGGGTATTATCAAAACCTTGAATATCTTCAGATCTAGAAATTTAAAATATATTTATGATGTAACTAGTTTATTGGATTGAGAACTTAGAGCAGAGATGAATTAAGCTGTTTCCGATATACCTAAAAATTTCTTTAATGCATTTTTAAAGTAAATTTATAAAGTTTTTATTTTTTTTACTCATTTAGATTTAAACTATATTTAAGTTAAGCATGCTATAGGGATAGCCCAGAGTCATATTAAATTTTAAAATACATGTAGAGATTTATATATTTTGAAACCTTTTTAATACATATAACATTTGTGTGAAAAAAATCCATAATTAACAAATACATAGAATTGGTTGATCCATTTTCCAAATTTGAACCCTTTATTGTTGAAATAGGACGTACTGATTGTTAAGAAATAAGCCCATTTCGACCATTGTAAAAAGGCTAAGCCACACTTTGGTAAACATGGCTGACTCACGCGGCGCACGCGTCGCCGCCTTGAAGGGGCTTTCAGTGGGAGCAGAGTCCGCTGCAAGAGATTCAGAGATTCGGAGATTGCGAGACAGAGATCGCCTGAACACCGTGACTTGACGTATTTCTCTGCTCCTCTTAAACTGAACTTTCATTCACAGTACCAGCCGCCGCAGATGACGTCGTGCGTCTAAATATAAAATCGTATTCAGTTTACGCGGTCACACTTCAAAATGCTTGACGGCCGTTGCCATCATCCACCGAATCTTTATCCATCCGCCTTCTGGTTAAACTTGGGCTACGTACGTGAGATCGGGGATGCGTGTTTGGATCGCGGCTAACGCTTTTGTTGTCTACCCATTAATTATGGCAGTTGGCACTGCCAAACACCAAATAAAATTCCCATGATGTCTCGATACAGTAAAACATCTTTAACTTTACTTTTAAAGTATTTAGATTTTAAAAATAGAAAACAAGCATTAGAAATATTCTCAATTGTAATATGCTCATTTGATTAAAGCCATGTTTTAGTTAAACATAGATTGGACTTATTTAAGAACCTTTTAACCACTGGTTAAGAAAAGTAGTTAGAATTAGTTAAGTTCAGATTAAATGATTTAAACAAACTCAGTGCAGCTTTTTTTGTTGTGATGACAAAATGGGGTGCTGTATTATTTAGATCTAGCTGTTGAAAATATTAGTTAAGGAAGGTTGATCAGTGAACCTTCGATTGAACGAGCGCTGCCTGTACACTTTTTTTAAATTTGCATAATATATTTCTTCGTTTTTGATGGTGCACGCGCTTGACAACAGCTGACGGATATTGCTCTGGGTTTCTTCTATTTTCGTTTATTTTGGCAATTTCGTTTGTTTTGGATATTGCCAAATCATACCTTAGGCATTTCAATCATTCTGGTGCGTCTGGGCATGCTAATTTTTTAGGTTCGGCATTTTTTATTGATTTATTTTGGACAAAGTGTCAAAGATTTTGTCAAATGATACTTTGTATTTTTATTGCCGCCAGAAGCATATAATTGGGTTTATGGGCGATTTTATTTCGTAAATCCGGTTTTATTTTCGTCGAATTTCATGATATTGTGTTAGAGAATCTTCCTATTTAGGCTAAGATTAGCTGCTTTGTTTGGGTTATGTCATGAGAACTATAACACGATCTCTATAGCCTAACCCTAAAGTTCAAATGTAACAATTTTGTAGTTATATTTTAATAATAACCCTTAAACTGCTCTTAGTTGCCATGCGAATTTTAATGTGGTAAATTTTCTTTGTGAATTGTAAAAGTTCCTGAAACAACATTAATCCATCGTACTGGTGCAGGTATTTTTTTGTACTCATCGCTATTAATGCAGCTCTAAAGATCAATGCCAAGTCAAGACAAAAGGCGAAACTGGCAGGCGACGACCCGCTACGAGCGTATAATGAGGTCGTGCAGAATTTGATAAAGAACTGGGAGTCTCCCGTTGTTTTCCTCAGAGATCGAGGTTTTCTGCCTAAAAACTTTGAGGATACGTCGAAAATCAAACCCAATTTAGACGCTCTGATGCAAAGAATTGAGAGAGCCAAAAGGAATCAACCGATTATAAAGATACAACACAGAGAAATGCGGGAGATAAAGCGGCCAAGAAATCATCGCGGATTTGGGGCCACCTCGGGATCTATGCTTTCCAACTTGGAGCAGTTGAAAGCCCTAGACAGCAAGGGAAAAAAGTCGAAGTCTAGGGCAAATGATCAGGAGCTACAACTGCTGGCCATGAAGCGGCGCTTGGAACAGTTGCAACAAGGAGCCGAAACTCAGGATCCACCAGGATTCCGTAGACAGATCAAACTAATGCCAAGAGCCAAGGATCCGGTCAAGTCTGCGCAGAGCTACGATGAAGTATTGCAGCGAATGATTGAAAAGACGAGTCCGCACTTTAAGCAGCGCCCCAATTTGCATCTAGATAAAGTTGCATCTTCCAAGGAAGATAAACTGTTGCATTCGGCCCCTCTAAGCTTGAGTACGTATAGAGCGCACAGCTATCAGCCCATTCTAACCGATCTGCCCAAATCTAGTCGAGCCCAGGAGGCCAAGGAAGTCAAAGATGACGCGATTGAATCGGAATTGGCGGCCCCCAGGTATCTGAATTGGGACATGAAAAAAGGGCGACTCGATCATTACTCAAGCGTCGAGAAGGAGGCCTATTTGAATCAGTTAGTAAGAGTTTTTGGCCAGAACCTGGACTTGAAGGAGAGCCAACAAAAAAAGGGATGACCCGTCTTCCTAGAACCACACAAACCATTCCCAAATGTTCACATTCATTATCTTCAAACGATTAAAAATATATGATCTTTGTTCAATGAGTCATAATCCATTTGGAGTCCGTGCCAATACACAATAATTATCGCCATTTCCATTTCCGAATTCATGACGATCCTACGTCATATCCATGGCATCAGCAAGATGATTCGGATTTTGATTGTTTACCTTGCGAAAGAAAGCAAAGAAATCACAGGATATATCTGTTTACCATTTGTCAGTACACATGCACATATTTGTTTTCAATGTTGATCCAACATATTGAGTCGATGAACATATGCTGTGGCAAAAAAGAGGTCAATCAATATATAAATGCGGCATGACAGCGTGTGAAAAAATGTTTTATCGTAATATTTTGAAATAATATTTATTGCATTTCATAAACAAGAAAGTTACTCGGTTGATATTGCTACCACGGAACTTAGAGCATAAGTATTATAGAGGAGATAACCTTTACTTTGGTTGCCCACCGCATTGTAGATTGGTCTAGAATTCAACTAGGCGCCTGGCTTAGGGAAGCGCTAATACTGTATTATATGAGAGTGTTTCAATAAACTGAGTGGATATTATTAGTTGAGATTATCCCGAGAACCGGAGGCCTTGCGAACAACCATGGGCGATCGTCGTGGGGATCGCTGCTCCAGTTGCTGCTGCTGGACGTTCACGTATTCCAGCTCGTTTTCCGGCGATGGAGAGGAGCCGGCTCCGGAATTTCGTCGAGAAGAAGTGGGTCGAACGTTGGTGTCCAGATGTCGAAAGCTGCAATCGAAAGATAGGGATTTGTCCTTATTTAGAGATACTAGAATTGTTGTCATAACAATCTAGATATGCTATGAATGCAAGTTATGTTGTCGTGGATTAACTAATAGCTACACAGAGAATTTTTCACGAACGGTGCACTTAAAAAATAAGTACAAATTACTCACTTTCAGTACCAATTTTTTAAATAAAATACCTCTCTTTTTAGAGATTTTTTTCTCAAAAAACGCGGACAAATAAGAGAGAAACAACATGGTGAAAGGAATTTTTTAAAATTTGTCCACAAAATCAGTATTTCCTCAAATTGAGAATACAAATCAGTCTTCTTGAAAATTGTTCTCTGTGTAGAAAATCGCTTTCTTTGTGGAGGGTGTTTTAAGTTGTCCATCAGTTCTTAAAATTAAAATACAATATCATCTAGGGTACCCATAAAAATTAAGACATTTGAATTTGTATGACAAATTGATGATATTTTGAACAAGACATACCGCAATGAGACATTGTTGCCCTTCTCCTCGTTGTTGCTGTTGAAGAGGAAGGCCAGCGGCCAGGATATCCACGAGTTGTGGTCCACCGACATCTGGGTCCGGATGATGGGGGCACTACCGCGGCTCACCACTGGCGAGGGCAGCTCCATGGAGAGCTTGGGGGTGCCGGCCTTGTTGATGGCCGGGTTGTAGATCTTCGGATCGCTAACCATGCGCACGAAAAAGGAGCGCTTCTGGGCCAGAGTGTCCTGCTTCTTGCGGTTCATGATCTCGGAGAGCTCGTCGTGCTGCTCCTTCTCCAGCAGCTCGTTGGCGAAGTCCACGATGATGTCCCAGGCGTAATCGATGTCCTCGGCGGTCGCATTCTGGGCCACGGCGCAGAACCGGATGATGTAGCGATCTCCCACGCTGGCCGGAACCATGTGCAGTTTCCCAGACTCGTTGATTATGCTCAGCAGCTTTTCGTTCAGCTTATCGGTGCCTTTCAGCCGGAAGCAAACCAGTCCCAGCTGGAACAATCAAAATATAGAATTTTTTAAATGGTTCAGCGAAGCTATAATAATATTTAAACCAAAACCAGCAGAGAATTTTCTAAATACTACTTAAGTATATCATTTTCAATACTTCTAGACTATCTGATTGATTTTATTGACAATTAGAAAACAGAAAGGAAAATGATTAAGTAATTGTCATTTTTGAACAACGAATTCACGCAAGTACTTCAAATCTGTGATTTTTGTATACCTTTTCTCCGTAAATTCCCGTGATCCGTAATATTTCAATGACTCCAGACAAAACTCGTGCATTTTTCCTTCCCATAAAAACTACCCACTGATTCCAATCAAAAACCAATTTCTCAATTATAAACGTCTCTCGAATATTTTGATAAAATTAATGAAGGGGTATAACAAAATACGGGATAGCCTAATAAGTGTGTGGATGTTAGTAATAGGTTTAATAATAAATGAAAAATTATCTTGATCTCAACTTGGGCATCTGTAGATCCGCTAGCACATCGATCACTCGATTGAGTTGGGCACGCTTACGCTCAACGAGTTGAAAACACACATGTCAGTCGCTGACTCGATGAATCACTTGTGCCTGTCTCCGAATGATTTTCTATGGCAATTATGCCAAAACACTTCTATTGCCAAACCAAAGCGAAAAAGAAATCAATTTTTTGCGCCAGTTTCTTTGCGGAATTTGGCGTGTAGTTGCGCACGTTTGCTTCGTTTGCCAGGCGGGTGTGAACAAGTTCACGTCTTCGTGGCCAAGGCAACCCCCTCCAACCCATCGATAGAGTTAGACACCTATATTTGCGTTACTCGCCAATCAATTTCCCAATTATAGCTGCGTCTTACATGAACGCTCCACATAATGGACCCACACACCCACAAGTTGCCTCAATGAAAATCCCACACATTTCAGTGGGGTGCACAAAAGAGCTTTGAACTCTGAGCATGATTAATTACTGGAAGAAATCGAATCGATCGAAAATAAAAGAGAAAGAAGGGAAAAGAAACGAATCGAAAGCAAATGTAACTCACCTTGACTTGATTACAGATCTCGAAGCGTTTATCTTTGAGCACGAGCTCCTCGAATCGCTTGGCCAGTTTGATATGGTGACGTATGTAGTGCTGGAGTCCGGAAATCCCATAAGATCGCAGAACAAACCTGAAAATATGATTTCCGTTGAGGCACACACTCGGAATAAATATTATTCGGGGTTCGTGAACAATTAGCAATAAATGTTGATGTTTGACCATGTCATATTTCGGTGTGGACCCATCTCATCTGGGGAATAGATTCGGCACACATGTGCTTACAACTAAATCACAAGCAAACAAGGCGAGGGCATACTTGAGCTAAACAAGTAAACATACTTAACGCCACTCCAGGTCAATCCAAAAACAATTCAGTTTTCGACAATGGTAAACAAACCCATAGCCATACCCATTCGCACTTCTCCGTCGAGGGCCTTTTTTGGACCTACTGCTACATACCACAGCTTCAGCGAACGAAAACGGCGACTGAGTGGAACTCCCCAATGACGATAGTCGATGGCCGCATCCGAGTAGCCGTGCTTCAGGTACAGCGGATCCACCACCAAAGCTGATGTCAGACGGATGCGATCCCGCACCCACAGCGTCGAGCAGTCGAAGTTGGTCAGCAGCCATTTGTTGGGATTCGTGTTGAATGAGTCGGCGTATTCGATGCCCTGCGCAGAGCGGAGATAGTATCATGATCTATTTCCGGGGAATTCACCTTGCTCTCACCTTCAGGAGGGGCTTCAGTTCGGGACAGATGAAGCTGTTGCCCGCATAGGCGGCATCCACATGCAGCCAGACGCCCGGGAAGCGCTGCAGCTGCTTGCCAATCTCCGGCAGATTGTCGAACGCACAGGAGCCCGTGGTGCCCAGTGTGGTGGAGACAAAGAACGGCACCAGGCCCTGCAGCTCGTCCTCCTCCATGGCCTCGTAGATCGTCTGGCCGCGCAGACTGGCGTCCTCGTCGGGTTCTAGGATGCGCAGCTTCACGAAGCAGATCATCGCCGCCTTCTCCACGCAGCTGTGCGCCTCCTTGGAGCAGTAGGCCATCAGCTTGGACAGCAGGTGGCCCTCCTCCACGAACGGATGTTGGGCCTTGAGCCTCTTCAGGGCCTGCGCCCGGGCAGCCAGCATCGTGACCAGCACGCACTCCGAGGCGGAAGTCTGGAGATGCGAAGGAAAACCAATTCAAATTCGGAATAAATATTGTACTATACCATTAGAAGGATCGCAAAAACTTAACACCTTTTAATAATATTAATATTTGTTTGGAAGAACTCTTAGAATTATTATAATCATAATAATTTTAATAATATTAATATTTTGTTAGAAGAACCCTTAGAATTATGATATCATAATCTAAGTAATATATTTTGTTGCTATAAGAAAGCTATAAGAAAGTTAAGCAGCAATTTCCTTAACTGTGTTTTTGTTGCAAAGGTATATGATAAATTGATATAGTTTTTTCTTTACCAGTTAGTTTTGCATTAAATGATTATATTTTATTCGTGCCACAGTTTGTAACAGGAAGAATAGGATGGAAGAAGTATTAAATTGCCATTGGGAATGCAAAATAAGTTTGTATTCAAGAAACATATATGTTAGGTATTTTCACTTACACCCTAAAAAAATCGATATGAAACATAGATGGATTTTATATTACTTAAGATCAATTTTAATTTGATATGCGGCCAGGTAAATTTGACCTGGTCGAAAAGAGTATTTCATGGAAAAACAATATGGATTTGCATGAACTGAAATTTACATGGCCATGTCGATTTTAGGGAAACATGCTTTTTTTGTGCGTATGGATAGTACTAGGCGTTATGTCTTGTTTTTAAATGCTTACCTGTATGACTCCCCCGCCGGTGCTGCCCTCCTTGAGGGCCAGAAAGTGATCCGGCAGGCCGATGGCCTTGCCCAGCCAGTCGAGCACGATCGTCTCCAGCTCGGTGCAGGCGGGACTGGCCGCCCAGGAGAATCCGATGCAGCCTATTCCATCACCCAGCATGTCGCCCAGGATCGAGGGGAACGAGTTGCCCGCCGGAAAGTAAGCGTGGAAGCGCGGATGCTGCCAGTGCGTCACCCCGGGCATAATCTTGTCCTCCACGTCGCTCATGATCTGGTCCCAGTCCTCCGGCTCCTGTGGGGCCTCGGCTGTGCAAGGGGAAGTGGTTGTGATCTGTGTCTGTTTAATTTTTGAGGCGATTATGGCTTACTTGGCAACAGATGCCTCAGATAGCCCGGCTCCACGCTGGGCGTGACTCGGCGTTCGTTCAGCGTCTCCAGATAATTGCAGATGTACTCTACCATTTCCATGCCACGTTTTCGAAATTCGGTGCTATCCATCTTGGGTCGGTTCTCCAAATCACTTTCCTGCTTGTTTTCGTACTTTTTCGTTTACCCCCACGCTGCGATTTTGTATTAAAAGTTGGAAAATTTTTGAATGAATCAGCTAAGTAGGCGGTTTTAAAACAAGTAAACATGTTCGAATTTTGTATTGAATGAAACAAATTTGACCTGTTTTCTTGCAAAGAATCCTAGAAATTAAGCTATTTCATCAAGGAATCGGATTATATGTTTAATTCTTATAATTTATATATATTATATATTTATGTTATGTATTATTTTTATTTATTTAAATCTATCTATTTGTTTTAACTTTTAAAATTATCGTTAACACAATTTTTAGATCATTTTGTTGTAGGGGAAACAAAAACGTACAAGCTTACAATTTTTGCATTTTTAAGTTTTACAAGTTTTAAAGAGTTTAACACTTTCTTAAAATGTAAAATTTTAAAAGAAAAAAAAAAAAAAAAAAGAAAAATTTGAAAAATATGTATATATAAAACTACACTTCCCGGAAAAATTGAAAAATATGACTTTTCTTTCGTATAGAGTTTAAATTTCGTTTTTGGTATCGTTCCATTTGTTTAACAATCCATTACGTTTCGTTAGGAAACAACAGATTTATTCTGCATTTTATTATTATGTTATTTATGCGATCTGATTTATCCCCGCAGTGTTTGGAGTTTTATTTGTGGCTTTTTTAAAACCGTCGATTAAATTTTACATTGAACTTGGTGTATTTATATTGAGGCTATTTTAAATTTATTTTGTCGAGGTTGTGCGGTGGTCGAAAATTGCGTTCTTCCTCAATTTGGCTCGATTTAATCGCAGGTAGTTAGCATAAACAGACTTTTTGTTTGTAATTAAACTGCGGTTCCTTAGGCATGTTTTACGGCCATGTAAAGTATACAATTCTCGGACAGTTCACTAATTGTCGATGGGATATCACCGGATCCATGGCACTTACTTCAGGCAGAGTAAACTCGACGGGTGATTTTTATTCCGGAGCCGAGACGACGAACCGTTGGCCACGACTTGCGAAACCAAACTGATCCTTGCTCTGCGGTCTGTCCAAAAGCTAAGCTCGGTTGTGCCGCCTCCTTCGTATCCTTCGGCTGCCTTGGCATGTCTAATGAATGCATACTTCAGTGGGCAGGAGCTGGGATGAGGAGGCTGTGGTTGGTGCTTGGTGCGATTGAAATGGCAAATAAATGGAATTTTTGCGACGCTTCATTCATGGCAAGGAGCGAAGGACCAAACCTCTTCCGTTGTGCGTGAAGATATGCAAAAAAAAAAAAATAGGAAGGGAGAGTGAAAAATTAAACATCCACCATTGCACCACTGCGTATGCTTAATATTGCGTATACGCATAGGAAATTGAATTTTGAACTGTTAAATACTTGGCAAACCTAATTTGCCCTTAAAATAAAACTCAATTTGGCCATGGATGAGTTAATTCAAAGTACGTGTTGTCATAAACAGGATAGCTTCCCACGACTTTCCACTCGTCCTTGTCCGGGGTGCGAATCGTTTTATTAATAACTTCCGCACCAAATTGAATTATGGTTCAGGGCGTACTCGATAGGAATGGTGGCGATGCCGAATGATTATGAGAATGGAAATGACGACAACGATGGGCCGGGCAGAGCAGCCCAGGCAGGAGCAGAAATAGAAGGAATTTCAACGCATTCCTCTCGGAAAATTCCTTTCCGTCCTTTTCCTTTTTTCAACTCGGGCTCCTTTCGTTCCTTTCCAACTGCACTGGGCCATAGAATTGTCTGGGACACGTGGCTCCATGTACTTGCCATCATCATCATCCCACACAATCGCCTGGTTCCTCATCCGTTTTTTTTGTTGTTGGATGAAAGTTCATTAATAAACTTTCATTGCTGCTGTCGAATTCAGCTGCAGCTACTAGCTACCAGCTACCAGATACCACCAACCACCGGGCCCTGAAACGATGTTCGGCCTCCGCTCCAACAAGTGGCATCATGCTTCTGCGGTTATCATCCCCCGGTGACCTCCTTTCCTGGGGGAAAGCCCCACCCCATTGCCCTTTCTCTAGTGGCCGACAGCAGCAGGGTTTTATTTAATGGGAAATGGGAAAACGCTGCGAAAACGCTCCTGCATCCGCGCTCACTTAATTGCTGCAGAAATGGTTTTTTATTGACTTTCACTTGAACTCCTCTTCAAAATGCAATGCAAAGACTGTCATGCTTTTAAAAACTTCAAATTTAAGTATAAAAACTGATTATTGATTTCATAAATTAGTTTTAGTTTTGTCATCTTTGATTAATATTTTTTGGGTGCCAAGGCAATAAATTTTTTCAATTTATAAAAATATATATTTTATAGAATTAGAATAATTTGCTGTAAGATCTAGAAGTTATCCGACATTTAATGGTTTTATCTAACCAGAATAGTGAACCTCACTTCAGAAAGTGTAGGTAACATCGCTGTCTATAAAACCTGGCTGCTTACACCATTTGCAGCTTGTCTTCTTCATTTCTGCCCTCGCTCTCTCGGCTCATAAACCAAGCAATTATTCAATTTGCACGGACTCTGCCCGGAAAATAGCTGCTCCGGACAGTTTACGACAAGTGGTTCGCTGTTAAGTTGGTTCTTGAGATTCTGGACCTCCGGCGTTTTTTTTCTCCCATTATAGGTTCAAGGTTATTGCCAAAGGGCTTCGGTGTGATTATATTTCTGATAGAGTAAAACAATCTTTTTTTCAGATTTCATTAGACGGCCTCAAAATGATGCACTACCGCAAGGCCGAAAATGTGGAGAAGGAGCTCAGCAAAACCGATTTGCCGTTCGAGGACTGCATGCCAAAGTCCCAAAAGGATTTTCTTTGGATGCATGTGAGTACTAAATGCTATTCCTTGAAACTTTTTTCTAAAATGATTTATATTTAAAGGTAAAAGGCGGTACTAAAGTGAGCAATGTGATAGAATTCGCTCAGGCATCGCTCAACAAAGGCGAACACAGATGCGTAGTTTGGAGCGGATCCGGTGGCGGAGTGGTCAAGACTATATCCTGTGCAGAGGTGCTCAAGAGGAGCCACCCTGTCTACCAGGTGACCCGCATGGCCTACAATAGGTAAGTGGATCGAGAATAACAAATGGTTTATTTGGTATTAAAAACTATTTAATGTAGCGTGGAGGAGCACTGGAAGCCACAGATGGAAGGCCTCGAGGAGATCATCGTTAACCGCCAGATACCCACCCTACACATCCTTATGAGCCTGGACGAACTGCCGGACAGTATAGAGGGGTGAGCTTTAAGGAGCTTCAATATGCATCATTATCGTAACCCAACACTTACATTTACAGCTTACAGAAGCCAAATACATCCACCGATTTCTGGGAGGGCGGAGGGGCAAAGTCGCGTCCCCAACCACGCCAACAGCAGCAACAACAAAAACAACACCAAGGTGATGCAGGTCGGTCAAACAAGCGCCACAGATCCGGACGCAATAAACCAGCCCAACAACACGGAACACCTGCCACTGAAGAGAATCAACCAACCAGTCAGAGTCAAGGTTGAGATAAACCGTATAACTAGCCTTATACAATTATGAAAATTCCTTTATTTGCCCTTTGTAAGGATATACAAATAAAGTCTAGTTTATCACAAAGCATTATGGCATTAAAGCAATTGAGGGCAATGGAAGATTAGCTCTGCGAAGATAAGCGCGGGCTTTGTATAATTCGTTTTTATAGATACAGTAATCAAATTTACAGTAAATGCTCTTCAGGTACAAACGTTTAACTTGTCTTTTCATTCTTGGTTTATGGCAAATTTTATTAAAAGTTGACTTCATGACAATAGTATATTTTGCAAAGAAAGTTATTGTTTCTTTTCCCTTAATATTCCTTATTTTTGAAACAAAAATATTTTAAAGAGTTCTGCCCATTTTCAGGAAGAGCATTTCTATAGACCTGGGGGATCTAGAAAACTAATCAAATGGGTTAACTTCTCTGTAAATTATTTTTATTTAATACTTAAAACTTTAATATTTCAGTTACTATCTTTTAATTCGTAATTTTGACAATTCATGTTGTTTTTCATTAAATAATAATAATAAAAGGAGGATAATAAAAAAAGTTTAAAATGCTTTTTAAAAGAATCCAAATTACATCTCTAAATCAGTCCTCCGAGGCACCTTTTACTGTAATTCTGTTTCTATTTGTTGTGCACACAAAGTACTTACGGAAAGCTGCACAAATCTAATCTGGCGGATTTCAATGGCGTTATCATCGCACGAATGTGCAGCCCCCCCAGTTAGTGTGAAAAATGCTGTGCCTGCGAAAAGTTCTGCGATCGGCTGCACTGCGTCAGCTTCGCTTTTTGAGTGGCAAGCCACAGGGCGATGTCCTTCCCCAGAGCTGCGATGTCCTGATAATCGGGGGCGGCGGTATGGGCGCCTCTTCCGCGTTTTGGCTGAAATCAAGGATGCTGCAGCTTGGCAAAAAGCTTAATGTCCTGGTGGTGGAACGGGATGCCGGCGTAAGTACAATTTCCTAAATCCTTTTATCCTTAAGTAGAAAATTTGTAGATTATAGACAATTAAGTACAGTACCAATACGTACTGAATAATTTCTAAATTAATTTTGGCATGGGTTAAAGAATCTTTATTACGGGTTCTTAGGAGTCTCTTTTTCAAAATTTATAGCCCTATAATCCGACAGATGATAATTGACCTCTGTTATTAAATAGTTTAAAATACTAATGTGTTTACTAGCGCTGATTGTAGTGATTAGATATTTTATTGCATGTGTGCATTGTATACTTCTCGCAGTTGCAACGCATTTCCTTAATATTTCCATAATGCATTTCATAAATTTCAATAAAATAAAAACTTAATCCTTAAGATCCTTTTTATGTAATATTTATCCTTTAATGTTTTTGTAGTACACCAGTGCCTCCACCGTGCTATCCGTAGGCGGAGTTCGCCAGCAGTTTTCCCTGGCGGAAAACATAGAGATGTCCCTTTTCGGCTACAACTTTGTGGTAAACGGCGAGAAGCATTTGGGTGATGTGGATCTCTGTTACCAACCGAACGGCTACCTGATCTTGGCCTCCTCAAAGGGAGCCCATATCCTGGCGCAGAACTCCAAGCTGCAGAACGAGTTGGGAGCCCGAAACGAGCTGCTCGGTCCGGTGGCCTTGCGTCGCAGATTCCCATGGCTGTCCACGGAGGACGTGGAGCTGGGTTGCCATGGGATCGACAAGGAGGGTTGGTTTGATCCCTGGGCCCTGCTAATGGGCTACAAGAAGAAAGCTCGTGCTCTGGGCGCCAATTTCGCCAACGGCTCGGTGGTTGGCTTCGAGTGGGACGCCTCGGGTGCCCTTTCAGGAGCGGTGGTCGATTCCGGAGACGGTGTCCAGCGCACGGTGAAGTTCGACACGTGCGTCCTGGCAGCGGGAGCCTATTCGGGACAGGTGGCGCGACTGGCAGGCATCGGTGATCCGGCTGCAAAGGAGAGTTCCCTGAGCGTAGCTCTGCCTGTAGAACCCCGCAAGCGGTATGTCTATGTGTACAGCACTCAGGGACGGAACTGTCCGGGCGTGGCCACGCCTCTGACCGTCGACCCGGATGGCACCTACTTCCGGCGCGATGGTCTCTGCGGGAACTTCCTTTGCGGCCGCAGTCCCAACGAAGACGAGGAGCCCGAGTGCGAAACGCTGGACGTGGACCACGGCTACTTTGAATCGAATGTCTGGCCCACACTGGCGACCCGTGTGCCGGCCTTCGAGTCGGTGAAGATCCAGAGCAGCTGGGCAGGCTACTACGACCACAACACATTCGATGCGAACGGCATTATCGGCCGACATCCTCACTACAGCAATCTCTTCATAGCCGCCGGCTTCAGCGGTCACGGCATCCAGCAGACTCCGGCCGTGGGTCGCGCCATTTCCGAACTGATCCTGGACGGCAAGTTCACCACGCTCGATCTTTCGCGGCTCGGCTTCGAACGACTGGTGAACAAGCAGCCCATGTTCGAGGTGAACATCGTTTGAGAAGTTAGTTGTTTCCTTGTTTTTGTGTGTATGTACTTCTTTTATTGCAATTTCTGTTGTGTATATAGTAATTTTGTATAGTAAAGTTCACGTTTTAGTCACGTACAGCTTTCTTGGTGTTTTGGCTGCCAGTTGTCAAGGGGGTTTTGGTTTTTTTTTCGGGGTTCTGGTGTGTCTACATATAATTTATTTAAAATAAGGAGTTAAACATAATCGTAATATAACTTGCGGAATAATTGCTGACTTAGGATCAGATCAGGGGGCGAGCGGGGTGGAGGGGGCTGCATATATCTGGGTCTGCCCCTGTTACTTAGTTATCGTTATGTAGCTCTATGTGTATCTGACATCTAAACTACATACAAGATCTGCATTCGAGTTGGGTTCGCTCCGTGTCCGTGTGTCTCTGTCCGGGTGAGAGCCAACCCAAGCTGCAAGCTATTGGTAAATATAAATAGATGTATGTTGAATGAGTGTTCCTTGCGAATGCTACCGATCTAGGCCTCGCTTTCGCCGGGGGCCGCGTTCTCGGCCGCGTTGATGGGCACGATCAGATTCTCCTTGGACATCAGATTGTATTTTGTGACGAAATGCGTGAATCGGTGGCACAGATACGTCTCGGCCTCGAACTCGTCGAAGATGCGACGATGGTGAAAGTAGGCGTGCGAGAAGATGCGGTACACGCGCCGGCAGACGGAGCCCAGCTTGGTCACCGAAGACTCCTTGATGGAGACCCTGTGGGAGGCACTTTGCTCATTATATTGGCTAGTTCCAGCTAATCTGGGTGCGCGCATACCTGCTCGGGAAGTACTTGTTGCTGTTCAGCAGACAGGCGGCACCGTCCAGTGTGTGGCGCGTGTAGTCAATGGCCGGACACTCCTTGGGCGTCTTGTGGGCGGCGCACAGGAATATCCACTGGTCGGTGGCCGTCATCTGGGTGCACGTCGACGGGGAGCACTCCTTCTGCAGCCGCACGGCCAGGCCGTTCAGCTCCATGCAGAACTGGCGCAAATGCTCGTACTTCCACACGCCCTCGTCCTGCGCCTCGGGCATGGTCAGGATGAGCTCCACGTTGCTCGGGTCGCGCTTGATCAGCTGCTGGATGTACTGCTGCACCGCCAGCGTGCTGTCCATCTCCTCCAGGGGCTCGTCGGGCCAGCGACAGAAGTCCTGGAAAAAGGCAAGAGGGTATTTTAACCTGGTCAGGAAGTGGGTTAGATGCTCACCTTGGATTTGGTGCCTGGCCGGTTCCTACGCAATATGGTCGAGCCGTCAGCCATCTTCATGTTTCACCTGCTCGGATTAGGAGACGCGATGATCCACAACGCCTGTGCCTACGCCTTGGTGAGAAAATCGCTGGCGGAGCCTGAATTCGGGCGCAGTCCCTGCCCCACTGGAATCTCCGTCGTTGGGATCCCTGCACTGTAGTCACTTGAATGGAGTCTACTTGCGCTGGCGCATCGCACTACGAGTAAATAGCGTTTTTTAAAAACACTTTGCTTTGTGCGAGAAAATTTCTGACAAATTCTACATACATACATAGGCCTATCGATTGGGCTATCGCTATCGATAGGTTTTCGGTATGTTTTCGGTATTTCGGCCAGCCCTGGACCCAGGCGATCTGGCAGCACTGCGGGCAGCCAGTCATCATAAATACGAACAGATTGGAAAAGTTACAAGAATTGCGTATTATCTGTGGCATTACGAGATTGAACTTTCTAAAAGCCAACTAGCCGTAACTTAAATAGCTGCAAACATGTCCTACGCGTACTTGTTCAAATACATCATTATCGGCGACACAGGTGAGTGGAAACTGCGACTCCCCTTGGAAATGGTCAGCGAAAAGTTGGCCATTGTCAGGGAAACAATCTGTAATTGGAAAACAAAACAAAGGGCATCGCTGGGGCAGAGGTCGCTCCTAAAATCGAGGTGTCCAGACCATAGGGCAACCAGTAAAACAGTAATATGCAGAATAAAACAGTGTCTGGCTAAAAGTATCCCAGGAGTGGGCGAGCGAAGGAAAAATCAATAATACCATAACAACGCATACAGGCGTTTACTGAGATGGGAGTTAACGGGGAGCGGGGTGCGGGGTGCGGGGAGCAGCCCACACACTAAACCCTGCTGCTGAGTCACCCAACCACCCCCAAGTAATTGAGGGATTCCGCCCCAAAGAGCCACGGGCTTATCAGCATACTGTTTTTTCGGGATGTCCAACAGCTGTTGGCACTTTTCCAGCCTTTCCAACATTCCCCCGCTCGCCAACTAACCGTTTTTCCCGTTTTCCACAGGCGTGGGCAAGTCCTGCCTGCTGCTCCAGTTCACCGACAAGCGATTCCAGCCTGTGCACGACCTGACCATCGGCGTGGAGTTCGGAGCACGCATGATCACCATCGACGGCAAGCAGATCAAGCTGCAGATCTGGGACACAGCTGGCCAGGAGGCCTTCAGGTGCGCAGATCATCCCCTATTTAGTGTTAATACATCCGGTTCCTCAATGTCATGTTAGGGCTCCTGATTGCTTATTAGGGAGTCCCACAAATCTCTTCCGAACGAGTGAATATATCACTGTCAAACTGTAAAGTTCAACTAAAGATCAACTTCTAAAGGATTCGGTTTAAAAATTCTAATTCCAAGATATTCCTGAGATTAGCATTCTTAATTTCGGGTTATATCATCGAAATAATCTTTTATGAAGGATGAGAATCTTTTTTCTTGAATTTAAGGAGATATTGCCTCCAAGTTTAAAGTTTTGAGGGCCGCTTTCTCGTCCGTTTGGTAAATTTAAAATAGGGTTAAAACCTTTAAGGGCCGTTTTCTCGTCCGCCTGTTAAATTTAAAGTAGGGTTAAAACTCTGATTTCCCATACGATTTCAAGGTTTTACCCCACTTAAAATTTAACAAATGGACGAGAAAACGGTCCTAAATCGTTTGGGAATTCAGAGATTTAACCCTACTTAAAATTTAACAGTCGGATGAGAAAACGGCCCTTAATCTGAGGTCTTACATGATATTGATGAAGCAAATATTTTTCGAAACATTGAAATATTAACAATAATTTAACCGCAATCTGACGTTAAATTTTCTATACCAGATCCATCACACGCTCTTACTACCGTGGAGCCGCCGGCGCCCTGCTGGTGTACGACATCACGCGGCGGGAGACCTTCAACCACCTGACCACCTGGCTCGAGGATGCGCGCCAGCACTCCAACTCGAACATGGTGATCATGCTGATCGGCAACAAGAGCGACTTGGACTCGCGGCGCGAGGTGAAGAAGGAGGAGGGCGAGGCCTTTGCCCGCGAGCACGGGCTGGTCTTCATGGAGACGTCGGCGCGCACGGCGGCCAATGTGGAGGAGGCGTTCATAAACACGGCCAAGGAGATCTACGAGAAGATCCAGGAGGGTGTCTTCGACATCAACAATGAGGTGAGTTCGAGGTCATCCGTTTAGCAAACTTCCTGTAATTACACTTTAAACTATCCTTTGCCAGGCAAACGGCATCAAGATCGGCCAACAGCACTCGCCCACAAACCCGTCGCTGCCAGGAGCCGGAGGAGCAGCTGGAGCAGCAAACAGTGGCTGCTGCTAGGAGTAAACTGCAGATGCCCGATTGCAATTCTGGGATAGACGTAGCCGCTTCTGTAAAAGCTACTTTAGTGACTAACTAATAGAAGGTAGTTGGAGGGACATATTCTTGTTTTCTATCTCAACCGTAACTAACCACGTAATAATAGCTACCACTAAACTAGCAATCGAACACTAAGCGTAATGTTAAAACCATAAAGATCAGACAACTACAAGAAAACACATCTCCTTGTTCAGCTACGTTTTAATTTGCCAAAAGAAACCAAAAGGAAAGAAACCAGAAATAAACCAAAACCTACAACATTTGTGTATGTGAATGTGTCGTGCGTGATTTCTAAATTTTATAAAGTTTATGGAAACATTGATAAATGTTTTATGCATGTATTTTGTGTATATTGAAATTAGTTTGCTAGTTACTTTGTGTAAGGACCGATAGTTATACATTGGGATCTTGACAAAATAATGTGTAATATATAAACCAAACTCAAACTATGTGAATTTTCATTGTGATTCGTTTTCAGTGAGGTCCAGCCCTGCAAACGCTGCGCCACGCCCCTTTTTGCAATGGGTATCTGCTCCTCTTCTATAACATAAATACATAATAACATATATGAATACTTTTACTTTTTCTTCTCAACGCATTTGCTTTGTCTATATTTTGTTGTGCAATCCGCTTTAGTCTTTATAAACACCCTACACTAGAAAAAAAGAAAACGTACTTTAACAAAATATACAAAACAAGATGTGAGCTGAAATGGGATTATATAATTTACACACTCAACATGCATTAACAGTGGATTCACGAAAATGCTGCGATTCAATGATCAATTTAGTATTTTACGAAGTTTATATATTTAAATTAAATTAAAGGCGAAAGCTAAGACAAAACGAAAGATACAACTGTAAACGTAAATCAAATTATTTATAATATTTGTATTTGCCCAACACAATGCAGAATAATAAATATACATACATACTAAATATTACAAAAATATTGCTTACCTTGGGGCGAAACTTTGTGAATTTAATGGTCTTACCATAGAAAAAATTGTTTTATATTTTTCTGACGAGTAGTAACATCTAATCACTTATTTAGCTCCCCAAACTTAATGCACGAAAAATGAATACCAAGTCAAAGTATAGTTTCAAAATTTTATTTGTTTTGTAATAGGTTTTCTGTAGATAATTGTTCAATGGTTGTCTTGTAAATAATCTAGCATTGTGATTCATTTTTGTTTCTGTACATATTTGCTAAAGTGATTGGAATCAACAACTACCATTATCTATAAGTCGGCTATGGTGTCGCAATTACTTCCTTTTTTTGAAGAGTGCTTAAATCTTAAAGGCTTTTTTACTAACGATATATACTATTTATAAATATTTTTGTATTTTCTGTAATAATACTTGAACTCGTAAGATATTACATAAATTTATTTTTTAAATTCTGAACCTTTTTTTGTGTTTCGTTTAAGAAAAATGTTGCCAAACTGCATAAACAGGTTTTTAGATTGAACAGTAATTATTTTGTATACCCTAGCTTGCTCAGTTGTTTGGTTTAATTTGGAAACTATTCCGATCCGCGATGTTTGATGTACAAATATTTTTTTTGTTTAGCTTAAAAACAAATGCTCCAAAGACTGTGAGTTGTAGGTCGATTGAAAATGGTCGCTTGTTATTGCATACGTTACACAGATTGTTGTTTATTGTATTCACTTTAATCAATATTCGTACGAAATGTAAGGCAATTAAATCTATTTCTCTAATTTTTGTAAAGAAGACAATTGAGGGACCCGTTTGCACCTGGCAGTGATGCACTGCATTGATATTGATTGAAATTGAACAGTTTGTCTAAGTGTGATTACAAGATGCGATTAGTAATTGCCCTAGTGCGGTAATTATATATATTAGGTGTATATAGATATACTTAGCTACGATTAGTCAAGTCAAGTATAGGCTTACAGGCTAGTCTTACGAAATAGGCTTAGTTTCAGTTACAATTCTGCTCTGATTTTATGGCTGCAACACCATTTGACATAAGAAACTCGTTAACATTTAATGCTAGTCCATTAATAGGCTACAGTTCTGATTTGTAGTACCTCCAGTTGTCTTCCACCTTCGGCATTCAACAGTGTAGTAACGTAATCTATGTAACCTAGTGTAAAAGTTGAGCTTTTTTAGTCTCTGAGACATCACTATCACTCCCCTTAGGTGCTTTCTTCTCACAGAACTCGATCAGATACGAACAGACGCCGGAGAGTGCTATAAATATGCCAGCATAGTAGAAGGTGTCGTCCCATCTGAAAGGGGGATTTAAAAATGATAAGGAATAAGTCAGGTTATTACTGTTGCACCCAACAAAACTCACCTGCCCGTATGCTCGTATATAACGCCTGCTATTGGGGGTCCTGCAATCATGCCCACTCCCTGGACCAGCAGCACCAGACCGTAGGCACACGTGAAATCGTCCAAATCAACAATACTGACCAGAATGCTGGGCGTAAACGAAAAAGAGCTGGCGAATGTAAATCCGAAAATGACGCACATGGCCATTAGGCCGTAGTAACTGGTCATCAGCAGGGGCATAAAGAACACCGAAGCTCCGGAGACTGAAAGATATTATATTTTACTATTATAATGACATGGTCTTGATCACAACTTGATTACAACTCACCCAGCATGCACAGCGAGTAGCATATGTTGATGTTCATCCAGGGCTGATCGCCCACATAGCCCAGTCCTATCATGCCCACCGTTTGGGCAATGCCAATATCCGATATCAACTCGGCACTCACGCTCACATCGTACTTGTATTGCTTCATGTAGTCGGGTAGGTACAGATAAGGGATAATGAACCTGTGGAGCGTGCCAAGGGGTTGATTAATCGCTTGCAAAAGTTAGAAAGGGGAGCCTTATCTGGACAAGGTTGAGTTTGAATTGATTTCAACTAGTTTCCTTATCGAGCTAATGGGGCACTCAAACTCTGCGCACATGGGGTAAGATAAACCCCTGATCTTGAGCCTACTAGCCAAACTGATCGATAGCATTGTACTTGGAATTTCACTGCTGTTGTTGGACAATACATTTATTATTATTATTGTGCAACGACTTTTCGTTTTCGATTTCGATTAGCTGCCAAAATTGTTTGCGAAATCTTCTGGCAAGTGTACAATTTTCGGTTGACGGCTTGGCAGGCACTTTCATCTATTAATTTTAGCATTTCATTTGCCTTCGGTTCGTGCGCAGCTTGTGATATTGTTTTCCTCTATATTGCCAAAAAGTACTCACCAAATGAACAAAAACAAGGTAGAGAGATTGAAGAGGGCAAACTTCATGTCCAGAAAGAGGGAAAAGTCGAAGATGGACTTCATGGTGTCCACGAAATTGTCATACCAGGTCTGACGGGAGAGAAATGGGATTGAGTGAATATTTGGTAGGTATAAAAAAAGAAATGGAAAATATATTTCACGAGACGGGTCTTTAATTTGTTATACGAGCGTTGAAAAGTCTTGCAACTGTATAAAAATGTTTAAAGCTTTTTAATATGATAAAAAGATCATTTCTAGGTAATAGCATTTCAGTTTTCTACTCACCACAATAATAAAAAAAAAAGGTATGGGATTTTTTTGTAAAAATATTGTGATTTTAGTATAATAAATAATGAAAAAATTAAATTTAATCGACTGAAAAGAAATTTGAATTTTTTGTTACTTTGTTTAGAATTAGAATTAAGAAATCATGGCAAAGAAAGGAATGATAATAAAGTAAGTTCCCCAGGTAAAAGTCTGACTATTTTTAAAAACTCTCTTGAAACTTAAAACTTGATGAATTTATTATTGTGATATCCCAACTGAATTACGACTGTTTCGACTAAAAGATGATATTTCAAGGTTACAAATAAACGAGGTTTTTGAGCTGATATGGATTGGCTGCGTTCCCTGCGTAGGCAGTGCGGAAGTCACAGCGGGCACCTTATCACTTGCCCATGTGGTCCAACTTGGTGACCATAGGCAAGGACAGGGAGGCAGGGGCAGCTGATAAGCATTAACCAGCTGGGGCTGTTGTCAAGCGACCAGGAGATAAGGGCGGGCCAAGGGTCACTGTCTACTCACATCCTCCTCCTCCTTGGCGATGGTGGTCATCGAGTTGCGGTAGATGTTGGGGCAGGACGAGGCCCTCAGGCGGTAGCGGTGCGTGTTCAGCATGGCGCCGCGATAGTGGATCGAGTTGCGGTGGATGCGCATGTCCTTGAGGAAGTTGGAATTGCGGATCGAGATGTTGCGCCGCAGGTTCGAGCGGTGGTAGCTGGGCTTCTTGGAGCGCGACAGCCGACGGATCCCAGTGATGCTGTCCAGCCGGGCACGTCGTATGGCCAGCTCGCTGTTGACCGGCGGTTCCTGATCATGCGGCATCGCTATCACCGTGGGTCCCATCCGCCTGCCAGGTTCCAGCAAAGCGAAGGTCTCGTCCTTCGAGTAGTAGCAGTGCATGTCCTCGCTCAGAATGTCCACCGAATTGTGGCGCAGGCCGTTCACCTTCAAATTGGAGATCGAGGGCGTCGTGTGCTTGGCCATGAAGAGGTTCTCGTTCAGCGAGTACCGGGAGCTGGCGTGCTTCTGGGTGAGGTAGCCCTCGTCCGAGGAGCGCAGCGATCCATTCGGAGTGCCGCCGCCGGTGGAGCGCTTCTCCGACGGCGACAGCGTCTCGATGGAGGCCAGGTAGGACTTCTTGGCCAGCTCGGCCGCCTCCTGGGCAATGCCGCCCATCAGGGTGTCGTCCGGCGATCCAATGACAGCTGTGGATGGCGGATAGGCACCCGCACCCGAGGACATGGACAGGAGATTTTCCCTCGACGGCGCCTCCGCTCCCTCCTTGTGGCGCAGCGAGCGCCGGCTGAGGCTCTTCACCTCGCAGATGCTGTCCAGCTCCTGGGTGCTCAGGAAGGTGGGCAGGAAGATCTCGCTGCGGTAGCGCTTGAGCACCGAGTCCAGGGGATCGTCGATCTGCTGATTGGCCTCCGTGTTGTTCTTCGTGACCAGCGAGTCCAGCACGGCCTCCTTGGTGATGCCGGTGTCCAGCAGCTTCTTGATCTCCTCCAGGCAGACGCTCGAGTTCGAGAAGGTGGTGACGCTCTGCGACCGGCTCTCCAGCCGGTTCTCCTCGATCAGCCAGTCGGGATCGCGCATGAGGGCGCCGCAAACGCAGGCATTGAGCATGGTGCCGCCCAGGATGAGGGTGGCTCCCCGCCAGCCGAACGACTCAATCAGATAGGAGGTGAGGCGGGCGTACACGAATGTTCCAATCCCCGTGCCCGAGGCTCCGATCCCAGTGGCAAAGGTGCGCTTCTTGTCGAACCAAAAGGCTATGGACACAACCGCCGTGACGTAGCCAATGCCCAGGCCCAGGCCCGAGATAATGCCAAAGGTCACCATCAGCATCTCTATGGAATTGCAGAAGGAGGAGAGCGCGAATCCGAAGGCAGAGACCACGCCGCCCAGAATGGTCATCTTGCGGCAGCCGTACTTGTCCACCAGATTCGAACAGATGGGACCCATTAGCAGGGGCACCGAGAAGAACAGCGAGGATATCCAGGCGGTCTTCGAAGTGGACTCGCCAAAGTACTCCAGCAGCTCCACGTTGATCAGGCCGAACGAGAAGCTCAGTCCATCGGCGATGAGGGAGACCACCAGCGAGGCGAAGACCACCACCCAACCGTAGCCGCCGTCCGGCATCTTGGGCGTCTTCTTCTCCGTGGAACTGGAGTCGATCGAGTCGCCCGATTCGTTCGAGATCAGCCGCTTCCGCCGCTTCACCTGCCCGTTGCCGTTCATCAGGCAGGTCAGGGTGCCGTCATCCAAAGCGACGATGCTGCTCCGCACCACCCGGCTGTGTCCGGCCCCATCGGTCAGCTCCTCCGCGGACAAATTGCAGAAGGTGACCTCCGGGAAGAGGTCGTGCTTGATGGCCTTGTGCAGGGGCGTGTTGGCCGGCGCAGGCGTGAGGGGCAGGGCCTGATATTGGGAAGGGGCCACTCCATTGTGGTTGTTGTTCACCGCCTCGCAACTGTTGTTGTTGGAGGAGGCGTGGGCGTTAAGCTCCGACGCTAGCTTGGCCATGTCGAAGGATCCCGGTGATCTTGCGTTGATGGTTTCGTGTAAAGGGTTCAGCTACGTCTATAAAAAGGTTTGTAAAATTTGCACTTTCTTGTCCAAGCGATTATTGGAAGTGAACACAATTTGCATTAGATTTCAGCATTAATTTTCTTAAGTAGGCGCTAGATGATAAATATTTCCCCTTTTCTCTCCTCTTGGTCAACTGCAGTGCGTAGCTGAAAATAGATAGAAAATGTGCATTTGAGCCTGGGAAACTTTTAAATGATTAATTGGAAAAGTTGCTCCAAACTTTTGCCCCAGTAACATGGCTTTATCTACCTCGTAAAAAATATGTTTCTATATCTAGATGAGCAATCGGCGCGACTACAACAACATTTGCCTCAAAACCATTTCGTTTAAAAATCCGCGCAGAAACTGTTTGGTCATTTGGCATTTCGTTCGTTTGGTTTTCAGAGCGCCTTCAACTTGACCTCAGGAGAGGATTGTCGAGAGAACCTAGTGGCTTTCCTCTTACATCGGTCCCAAAACAAAGTGCGTCACACGAATGCGACGACGGCAGCTGATGTCTCCCAATAATTATATCCGAAAATGAATATATAATGTGTATTTTCAAACCAATTCTGTGTTCGCGGATTGTTTTGCTTTCGAAAAGGCTGTCTGTGGTTAATTATAGACTGCCATATAGGCTGTATAGGGCAAAATTCATTAACGATCGGACGTATATATACCTGTACATGCGCGGATCCACGGGGGGATATGTGGTATTCAAGGAATGTGCTACAAAATATTTGTTCTGGATCTGCCACTGATCCTTGAACATTTGTTCGATCTTTAACTATTTAAATTGCAATTTACCTATAGGTATATATATATCCTCCATATCGATACTACCAATTATACGAATTTCACATTTTTTTAGGTACAAATTAAGGCGTTCAGAAACGTGGCTGAGAATGTTATCTAAAGATTTTTCACCTAAAACACAGCAACTAAGTGCGAAGTGATAGGAACGGTGGTATTCAGAAAGCTTTTCTTTGAATCTTATAATTCTATTATCCCCTAAACTATTATTTATCTTACCCTTTCGTTATCCAAACAATGCTCTTTCCGCACGACAACAGCTCGACCGAAAAACGAACGATTCAAAACGATGATCTGCTTATTCTGATTCTTAAGATTTCACTAGCACTTGTTTCACTGTCTCAGCACTGCCGCCAATCAATTCACCATAATTGCACAGATCTTCAGTTATGTTTAGCTCGCTGAGGGTGCGATTCGAGTGTTTATTCAGGGTGGCGGTCTTGTGGAAAATTCTTAGGCGCGGATCGCGGGGTATGTAGTGCAGGAACACCTTGTTCGACTTGCCGCTGTTGTTGTAAGTACGGGGATTGTTGTTCTGGCTCTTGTCGAACGATTTAGCACTGCTGCTGCAAAATGCAGATGTTGCAGATGTTGCTTTGCCTGCACGATAGAATGACTTGGACCGAATGTCATTCATTAAGAACGCTAAGGGGTTTATCACAGGCCAACGGAGAATATATTGAGCGATCGCGGGGCAGTTGCAGTTGCAGTTGTAGCAGTTTGTGCTGCCGGTAAGCGGATTTTGCCCTGGCAGCCACATGCGGTACTTTGTTTTCACGGAAATCAAACACTTTTCGATTCGCGACCGAACACAAAAAATAACGAATACAAATTAAACACAAAACACAAGGAGGTGTTGCCGCGGCTCCGGGATATTCTGCCGCTCCCCGTGTCAAGTGCGCGGGGCGTGGTGCGGAGGCGGATGGGCAGACATTGTATATCCTATGTATATCCTATGTATCCACGGCGGGGCGACCAACGCGGCGTATGATTAATTCGTCTCTGGCGGTGCAACTCAATCGCTGTTTGCGAATCGCCTCCTTTGCTCGCTGGCGCCTGATAATGATTTATGATCTGCGTCCTCGATTAGCTGCTGTCTTCGGTGCAAATGCTGCAAGGGAGGCGGAAAGAGTGGGGACAACGGTTAGTTGAGATTCCTCTGATAAATGACTTAAATACGACCAAGGGGCCGAGCTTAAATCTATTAATATATTCAATGGGAGCAATAAATGGGCTCCGAGCTCTCCACGAAATTCCCACAAAAGCAATGGCCGCATATCAACTTAATCTACTCAATTGACCAACAATACTGAATTGGTGTATGTATTTTTATTTTTAGTGAAGTCACCATATCGTTTTATTTCAATCTAATAAATAAAACTAAATGTTTTTTAAGGTTTTTAAAACTAAACTTTTTACATTTTTCAAAAATATAACGTCTGCCTAATTAAAGCGCCCTAAACCGGCTATACTTTTATTTAAATCTTTATCAGCCCTAGCTGCTGTGACAAGTTTTGAATGGAAATATTAATCAAAGGTTTTTTTTTGTCGTTTAAAAATGGAAAACACGTTTTGCGCCTTAGCATTTGTATTTCTGCAATACTGAGCGCCTTCGTTTTTATAACTAATGAATGAGCCAAATGATTATTGCATGAAGGTGAGTTGCGAAAATGTCTGCCCTCTACACATGGCAAAATAAATTTGGGCCACAATATATGGATGTTATTCGGGTAAATATTGAGCATATTCCTTCTGAACATTTATGTCAAGATCTAAAATCCATTTCTTAACCAAAATATTAAATATAGCTTTACTTTTTCCCAACCAATGGGAAATTTTGTACTCTAATCATCAAGGAAGCTACTAAGTATATTGAGTAAATACAGAATGTGCCTGCGAATGGCCAAGTTCAACGTTCGATAGGCGAGGTGATTAAAACGCTCGTATATTGCAGGCTGAACCGAACAGAGAAGTCGAGTAAACAAGGAGCGGCATGCTTTATTTGCCGAGATTTTCAGTTCTAAAAACGCGACCGTCTGGTTTCCGACTTTAGCTAGACAACGAAATTGTCTCTTATCAAAAATCAAATTCGGATCACGATTACATGTACTTGTGAGAGTACACGATCTATAGTTGGTATATAAATGTGAAAAGGTGATAGCGGCTCTCAGGCCGAAAGTGCTGGCTGGCTTATCTTTACAATATAATTGGCAGAAAATGGTTTTATTCGTTTTGAGGCGATAAGCTAATGTCTAGCCTTCGAACCAAAAGATTGTAGTTGAAGTTGACATTGTTGCGAACAGGCGACTTTCGATTATGGTGTATTTATAAGCTTTCTTTCTCGGTAGAAACAAATCCTTTTTAAATTTTAAAATTAAATAAAAATATTTTTTTCTTGACATTACATTTTTCATTGAACTCGTTGCAAACTAGTTCAGTGCTATCTGCTGCGCCCTTTTGTATGCTACACTTTTGGAATGCACTCGCGTTTGCCGTAGCACTTTTACTTTGTAGAGCAAATCGTGCTTGAAACCTAAAGTCCACATTTTGTTTAGTCCGTATTTACACAACAATAGCGGCCGAAAAACACAAAGAAAGCCGAGAGTTGTGGTGCTCAAGGGGCAGCCGCCAACATCTCTGTAAAGTCCACACGTTTCGCACTCGGATTTTAATACGGATTCGGATTCGGACTGGGACTCAGGGGTCGGATTGAAGATTGAAGAACAACAGACCCGCAGCTCGGCGAAAGACCGACTAAACCTAAACCCACTCACGCCGCTGCCCTGCCGGCGGAATAAAACAGAGCAAAGCGTAGCGGCGGCTATCGTTTGCCTTAATCTAATAAATTTCTTATCAAAGAGCGTCGTGAATATAGTATTTTTCTATATCTGTGCGTTTGTGCAGTTACAAATACACGCCGAGATACTCGCCGAGTGGGGCGTCGGTATGTAATGGCACACGCGTCGGCGTCTGTCAACATGCCAACCTTTTGTGATGCGGTCTTCTCGGTCTCTTTTTTTTGGCAGTGGTGGTCAGATTTTGATTCGGAGCCTGACATATATGTATTTATATGCTTTTATATAGACCGGCGAATGTATGCGCTTTGTAGCGCTTGTATACCAATCATGTGATTGTGGGTAATTGCTATTCTAGTTACAACGACAGTGCTATAAAATCACACCAGACGTCCACAACCTTGATCTGCTAATAAATATTATTTTTCTATGAAACAGCTGGGAACTGTCAAGTGTAAAAAATTCAAGTCAAAATCGATTTTATAAATTATTCTTCATTTAATGCAAATTTAAAAGAAATGGAAAAACCTTACACTTCGTTCAAAAATGTTAAATCTGTGACACATTGATTATAGTTAATAATAAGTATTAATTATTCGACAACGATTACTTAAGCCACATTTTTTGCTAGCATTTTTAGAAATTTAATCTGTATCATTAAAATTATTTGGCATTAAAACTTTGGCCTGCCGAATCCAATCAGATCTAGACCAATCTGCTTTTGCATTTTATCAGCTGCTTGACATAATTCGAGGATAACGAGTAATTACCAGGCACATAACTTGGCTAAAATTGCCTATTTTAATTATGTTGATAAGTCGAAAAAAAACTTTCTGCGTCGTTCTTCAAAGCAGCTAAATTGTGAGGCAATTATTTTGTGGGTTCTACGAGTTTGGCGATAAGTTTTATAGCAACCATATTTAACACGGGGGTTCTGTTTGACGCTGACCTAGGCTATTGAATTTGGGCCATTGGTCTGATTACTATATGGCCAGCTCTAAAATGTACGTTTACCTGGGAAAACCGTAGGAATGTGCGCATTGTCTGGAGCCGAGATATAAAACTCGGGTTGTCGAGCTCAAGCTAAATACATTTCCTTAATTGCTTGTTTTGATTATACAAAGGGAATACCTTGAAGTAAACTGAAGACCTAATGCAATTTCACCGTCTGCCTTTACGTTTTAATTGAAAGAGTTAAGCAAATTGATTGAACCATGTGATGGCGGCAAGGACAAGCTAGTCACCTTGAATCGAATTGAGTTTGCTTTTCTCAATCGCTTTCAGAATTGCCCATTAGTGTGTCAACCGGACGAAGTTTGTTTTGCGAATGGTTTGTCTAAGATGGAGGAGCACCAATAACAAATATTCCCCACTGGCAGCCATTGTCCTTCGAATCCTGCACTTTTATGGCAGCTGAGGGAATTCCACCCCGAGATCTTAGCCCCGACAGCGAAAAGTTTACAACTTAAATAATCTTTGACGCCAAAGTTCACACCAAAGAAAATCGTTCGATAAGATGCTTTGTAATGTGTGCTCAGCTTGCTAACATCTGATGTTGGTTTCGCCTTCAGTTCAATTGAGCTCTGTAATTGATAGTGGGTTCGGCTAAGAGCCATTCTGGATAGAAAACAACTGGTGGCAGTTGTTAATTGATTTGCGGTTTAGACGTTTTGTTGGGCGGTGTCAGGGGGATTATTTTCCCACGGATTCAAGGGAGATTCACTTACGTCCTATTATGTATGTGATTTCATGCTCAATTTATTTCTCAAGTATTTGCGGAGAACTTTTAGATTTTTTATTGAGGCAGTATTTAAGAAAAATTTGTTAAATCATTTTTCCAAACAAGTGAAAAACAATTTTTAAATAAATAAAACATTTGGAAAATCCAACTGCTTAAATAACCTCGGTTTTTGGATTTTTTTATTAGCGCTTGTAAATAACTTATAAACTAAAATGGGACTTGGCTGAAGCCGTCACTTGAAAGCTTGACGAAAAAGCCACCGCAAAAATAGCAAAGGAGGCCACTGGATACATTTAACAAGTGCAGGTGGGTACAAACACAGACAGGTGTCGCTGTGGACTGGCACACACTTTCGGCGTCCTTTCATGTTTTATATTTACCTTTTACAGGACGCGGACGGAGGACAACAAATGGCAACAATAAACTGCAGCGACAGCAATGTCAGCTCTCAAAAAGTTATGGGGTCCATAAAAAATGAAAATGGCGGCTGCACTTTCCCACTACGGGGTACACATGGTACATATATATGTACAAATATATTTTTAAAGGATTACCATGATTTTCGCCTTCAACTTGACAAACTTTGCGGTTGAACAAACACAAGAAAAATTCCCTATATTGATTTTTTTCCATGCTCTAGGATTTTTGTATTTTCTTGTTCAGGGTTGTGTGCTCCTAATTGTGCTACCGAAGGATATGCAAGATGAGATTACTGCCAATATTTGTCATCTTTATAAGTAATGTAAGGTAAAATTTCATGTAGAGGTCAATAATTGGATGTCTTAAGTTTCTGTTTATTATCAACTATAAGGTTTTCTTAGCTAATTTGTAATTGATTTGTATATAACAGCATGAAGAGGCAATATAAACTTTGGCACAGAATTATCTAAAACTTTTTGATTTATTTTATATTAATTGATTTTACCTATCTTTCTGAAAACAAACGATAGTTATAAATATGTTTGCTTAACTGACTTGTTAATTTCGGATTAAAGTTATAATGCCCTCTTGAACGGTTTAAGAAGGAATAATTCTAAGAAAATTACCTGAACTAATTTCATCTGGTTCACTGGGACAAATCTAAAACGCAATTCTCCCCTTGTGATTGAATGGGAACTTAGAAAAATACACAAAAAAACGGACCAAGACAAAGGGCTTTGTTTTGCCACTCTTTCCGTGGTTTTTTATGTTGTGGCTGCAGCCTTTTAAAAAGGGCAAATCGGCAAAAAAGGCGGACATTTGGCTATGCGTGTAAACAACTTCAAGGCTGGGGTGTTTTTCATTTTCTAATTTCTGCTCTCGACACGGGCTTCCAACGCGAAGCCCAAAAGGTTGAATGTGAAATGCAATATGCAAATGAAAGTGCAAAATTTAACAAAGTAATAAACCCGTTGACTGAAAGTTGGAATGCATTCACATGAATTTAAGCACAGCACTCAAAATTAAACCTGTGAATTATTCATAATCGATTTAGAATTAATAAATCATCCCAACTGATTTCATTAATTAACCGACCATTAATCAGATATTCCGATATTGTATCTGTAATTGGAGAA